GGAGAGGGCAGCATAGCAGCAGAAGCCGAACCAAAGAAAGTTAGCACCAACAGGTTGCACTGTGTTGGGCAGAAACCTCTCAGAGGACCTCAGATAAAGAGTAAGTGATTAGGACAATTTGGAAGGTGGCCCTGAGCTAGAGGTGAAGAAAAGGCAAGCTCTCTGTGTATAACCCAAACTATGCACTGGGTTCAAACTCCAAAGGCTGGGATTAAAGTTAGAATTCTGAGTCTCAGTTTACATCTTGGTAAAATAGTAACAGTAATACTTATATCTCAGAGTTGTTGGGAGGAATAAGTCAGAAACTATGTGAAAGCCCTTCGTAAACTATAACGCACCTTACAAGCATAGTGATTGTTAGGATTAATACTAAAGATAAAGAGAATCTAGAAGGAACTTCTGGCAACATGACAGACTGAACTAAGGTAGCTATTTCCTCACCCAGCTTCCCAAAGACACACATGGAAAACTGCATAAAATAGAATTTAAAAATTAAAATATGGACAATTGCAAAAATTTGCTTTAAAAAAGGAAATTCCCAGATAACAAAATTAAAGAAAGAAAACAAAGCCAAAGAAAAAAGAAGAGGAGGCTGTGGCAGTGGCCCATAGTGGGTTTCAGACCCAGATATATGCCCAGGGATCTGGAGCTATATTTTAATGCTTCCAGTTATAAGATATGTGACTTCAGCCCACTAGGGACAAGGAGCTGGGACTGAACCCCCTTCATAAAGCTTAGAACTAAAGATCTACCTTGTCCATGGAAAGAAGACTAAAAATGACACACATGAGTCCAAAAGAGCAGAGAGAAGGGATAGAAATACAAATCAACCGTGAGAAAGTGAAGTTTGCCTGAACAAATGCTTGTATTGTATCTGGATTTATGTTACCTGAATGGTGCTAGACCCCAAACTAAGAAATTAAATGTAAATCTGGTTTAGGATCCTTGAAACCCCTAGTAATAACACAATTCCACAGAAGTGAGAAAGAGTTCTGTAAGAATGTTTTCATAATCCAGGGCATATGAGACTTTCATTAAAAACAAAACAAACAAAAAAAACACCTGCTGAAGAAGAGTTCACAATAAAATATTATAAGTCAGGCAAGGAAGCAATCCACCATATGTAAGAGTCAGCAGACACAACAGGGGATTTAACACTCCAAGAACAGTGCATACGAGAATAACATGAAAAACACTATATAGTAAGTATACTTAAAAGCATTAAAGATTAAACACTAGAAAATAAACCATAATAAAAATATTATACTATTAAAAAGGCAGCTTGAGGGATAAAAAACAAAACATTCATAAATGAAAGACATATACCACTGACATTTAAGGACTCGATGCATTAAACAGTAGACTAGACCCAGCTGAAAAGAGAATTGGTAAATTGGAAGATAGAGCTAATGAAATCATTCAAAATATTGGGAGACAGCAGAAAGTGATGAATTGGAAAATATAATAGTTGAAAGACATGAGGGAAGAATGAGACATATATTTGTTATATAAATATGATTATATTAATTACATATAAGTATATGTGTATGTGTGTGTGTGTGTGTGTGTGTATTCCTGAAAGAGACATAAAGAATGGAAGAATATTTATCTATTCCAGTAGATAATGGTTCAGCATTTTCCAAAATGAAAGAAAGACAGGTTGAAGAGACATGAGTTTATGAACACATTGTGGTGAAACTGAAGAATGCTGAAGAGAAAGAGAAAAATCTTAAAAGCAACCAGAAAAAAAAGCCTGTTTGCCTACAAAGATAACAATTATATTGGCAGCTGACTTCTTACTAACAACAAAAGATTTTAGGAAAAATACCACATCTTCTAAAGGCCAAGAGAAAACTGTTAACCTAAAATTCTATGTCCATTAAGTTTCCATTTAAATGGTGTGAAATAAAGACATTTTAAGACAAAGACTGAGACTGTGTACCACTTAGCAACTTTTCCTAGAATCCTACCAAAGGATATACTACATAAGAAGGGCACTGAAATAAGGAGGACTGGAATTCAAGAAGGAATAGTAAGCAAAGAAATATATAAATATGTTAGTGAATATAAACAAGCATTGAAAGCCACTGTTAGTGGAGTGTAGATTGATCTTACTGCTTTATAGAGCAATTTGGCAATAACTTGTAAAGTTATTGCATGTATATGCATATATTTCATGACCCAGAAATTCTACTTCTAGGAATCTACCTTAGAGAAGCGCTTACATGTATACCGAGGAGGCATGCACACCACTGCCCACTGCAGCATTGTTTATAATACAGAAAACTGGATACAGCCTAAATGACCATTAGCAGAAAAATGGATAAATACTTTGTGACATGTTCAAATAATGAAATAGTTTTAAGCAATTAAAATTCATGAACTGGAGCTACATGAAACACCATGAATAAATGTAAAAAAAAAAGAGAAAAAAACGTTTGCAGAAGAACGTGTGCAATAAAATAGCATTTAGACTTCTAAAAGAAGTCAATATTCTGTATTGTTCATGGATCCATACTTTTTTTTATATCATTAATGTACAATTACTTGAATGACATTATGTTACTAGACTCCCCCTATTATCAAGTTCCCACCCCCACATACCCCATTACAGTCATGGATCCATACATTTTAAGTAAAACTAAAACTAAAACCTTAAATAGAAGAGCTATCTCTGAATCAAATGTGGCAAGAAATTAAGTTGCTGTATTTCAATGGTGTATACATGGATATTTGTTGTTATTCTTTGTACTGTGTTTTTCTGCATGCTTAAAAGATTCACATTTCTTTTTTTAACAAAGGGATATAGGTATTTAGAAATAAGGGTAAAGGGGGATAAATGGCAGCATCAGTCCTCAGAGAGGATGATCTTCTGGGATGGGATTAGGGGGAGGCTGAGTCCTGAGTCCAGGGATTACAAGGCTTAATTCAGATCATCCCCCTAAGCTGATTACCTGGCTGGCATCGCCACGACTTCTGGCCAGTCAGAGATTCATTGCTGCATCACAGCCTACTTTTCCCATACCTGCTAAGCCCTTCCTCCTGCCTCCTGACTTCACCCGCACCCTCAGCCCAATGCTGGTCTGGCCAGGGTTTGTCCAAATTTGGGTCCTAAGAACTGACTGGCTCCGGTCTCCCCTGAATGCTCCCCAAATCAAGAGTGAGAGTGACCTGCACCCCAGGAGCCAGGGAGAGATTAGTCCTAATATTCAATATCAGAGCTCCCTAAGGAGAACTTGGACCCCTAGGTGTCCCGGTTGACAATTTCCTCCTCTACCCCTCTCTACATCAGCCAAGGTCAGCAGTGTGATCAGAATGAGAAGGAGCTGTACTGGGCCGGAACAAACAGCCACTGGGCTACCAGCATTAGGCCCCTGTCAGTCCCTGGAGCTCTGTGCCCCCCACCCTCCCAGTGCCAACCCCTTTCCACTATCCCTGACAATTGCCCTGCTCCTCAAGTTTTGACAGGCCTGATAACTGCAGCAGGCCCTCTTGTTCAACAGCCTTTCCCCATGACTGGAACACCTTGACCACAAGGTCTGGTGTGGAATCCTGTCCTCTGGGGAGCAAATGAAACCCCCTTGATCTGGGCTGTCAGAACACCAGGCTTGGGTATGAAAGAAAAAAATGGGAGGGAGAAAGAGGCTTATTAAGGTTAATAGAACACAGTTAACTCCAGAAGTGTGAAATCATGTTAGATAAGACAGAGCATTAACTGTGGAGTTGGGAGATTTACCTTTACTCATCTGTTCTGTATGTCAGGTATTTTGTCAGATGCTGGAGATACGACAATGACTAAGATACTTCCCAACCTTCCAGAAGTTGGGCAGACAGAAGAGTAAAACCTGACCTGGACAACCCGGAGGCAAGACAGGGTGGAGCACAGCAGGGCATCTAATGAGCTAGGATGGGGCCTCAGGGAAAGCTCCCTAGAGGTGACTCCCACCTGAGGGTTGAAGGATAAGTAGGTGTCCAGGCAAAGAAGGGCGTTTTTTTTTTTTTCAGGAGGAATATGGAGGGTTTGTGAACTTGGGAGCCTGAGGGGGTGAACATAGACAACATATGCCCATGACCCATGTGAGTAGATATGCAAGAGAAGGGATGCGTGTATATCCCTGGTTTAGGAATCTCCTGGTACTTGTCTGGATGTGCTGGGATGGCACAGTTTCCACATACAACCACTTCTTTCCTGGCAGAGACCTGCAGAGATGTGAGGACAACTGCCTTATCGAGATCCTGCACTCGGCTGACGTTCCTTGAATGAATGATTGAATAAGTGAAATAGGCCCTCTGGGCTTCCACATCTCCATTAGAGTGAAAATATGCAGTGCCCACTTTAGGCAGGCTACAGGGGCAGGGTGAGTAGTGGTTGTTGCTCGCGGCCAACTGGATGTGGAGCCAGGCGGGAAGGCGGAGTAGGGGAGAGAGGAACTCCTCGGGGAGGGCTGCGTGGGGCCACGGAGCGGGCCCTCCTAAGAGGGCCCCTGGTTCTGGTTTGGTGGAGGTGCGGGGAAAGCAGAGAGATCGGGCCCGCGGGTCGCACATCCCCGCTTGGGCTTCCCTCCTTGGGCCCTCACGGGGCTCTGGAGAGCCGAGAGGCCACTGCCGCGGACTGGGCAGGCGGCCGGGGACTGCACGCCGACTGCAGAGGTAGGGGACGACGGCCCTCCTCGGTGCGAGGGGGAGTGTCTGCTCATTCGGAGGAAACAGGCCTGGAGGACTGCTCCATCCCTGTCCTTCTCTCCCATCACTGCACGGGACACGGCGTAGGGGGGTCTCCGCGCGCAGCCGACTCCGGCAGGGGCCACCGCCAGAACCCAAGCATCTTGTCGCTCCCCTTGGGGCATCCTCAAGCCCCGAGTCGCTATCGTCCGCTCCCCTTCTCCCTCGCCCCGGGCCTCGAGGGGTGTCGCCGGACGCGATAGCTCGGCCCCGAGCCGGGAGGAGGGCGGGCTTCCGGGCGGGGGCGGTGTCAGGTGGCCGCACCAGCCCCGCCCCCTCGGCCCGCCCGCCCTCCCTGCGCACTCCGCTCGGTTCCCGGCCTCGCGGCTGCGGTGTCTATTCCGGGCGGCGGCGCGAGCGGCCATGGAGGCGGGTGCCGGGGCCGGCGCGGGTGCCGCAGGCTGGAGCTGCCCCGGCCCAGGTCAGAGCCGCCCCTCCCTCACCTCTTCACCTCCGCCCCTTCCTCTTCTCCATCGCTTTCTGCTCCAGACCCCACGTCCTCCTACCTCCGGCGCTTCCCACCTTGCAGCCTCTGTCTTCTCCCACCCAGTACGCCCCAACCCGGGCCGGGTCTCCATTTTTCCGGACTGGGTAGTGCCCACGCCGGCTGCATCCTCCCTGGCCCTCCCTCCCCTGAGCCTCCCTCATCTCGTCTCTCCAGCCTGATGGTGCTTCCAGCGCTGGGGGCTCCAAACACTGCACCCCCTTCGGCCCCGAAAGCTTCTGAACGCGGGGCTGGGGTAGAAAGGAGAAGGTCTAGTGAGACAAGGCAGGAGAGCGCATCGGCCCCGGCCCAGAACCCCTTCCCAAACGTCTCCTATCACCTCTTCCCCTTCCACGCGCCACCTCACCCTTTTAGCCTCTTCTTTGCTGGCTCCTGGCCTCTCTTCCATCCTTGCCCATCTCCTCCCTGTCCGCTCTGGGCTGAAGAGATACACAGCCTTTCTGTCTATGCAAGGGAGAGGGCCTGGAATGGGGGTGCTGAGGAGGCTGGGCAGCATAGGGTGGGGTCCCCGCATGCCCAGCTAGAGGGGCGGCTTAGGGAGGAGAGTCGCAACGCTGGGCAGACTGAGCCAAACACTTCCATCGGGATTAAAAACCCCAGGGCTCCAAACGACTAGAAGGCATGTTCCCCCTCCCTCCCCCACTGCACCCAAGGCCCCAGCTGCCACTAGCATCCCACAGTCATTTTCTTCCTGCTCTCAGGACCCACAGTGACCACTTTAGGCTCCTATGAAGTGTCTGACGGCTGTGAGAGAAAGAAAGGCCAGCGCTGGGGGTCCCTGGAACGGCGGGGGATGCAAGCGATGGATGGTAAGTTTACCCAAAAGCTTTCTCTCCCCCTCACCCAATTTCCCTTTCCTCCTCCTTCCTCTCTCTGACCCCTGAACACTGAACCAGGACACACAGCCCTTCCCCCCAGCCCACCTGAGCCCCCTCTACCCTTTGGGCCTGAGCTCCACCCCTCCTCAGGGCTCAGGCTTTATGGGAATGAAGTTCTGGGTGCATCCCTTTGGGGCCCTAACCACCAGCTAACGAGGTTGTGTGTCCCTGGGGAGCTGCCAAACAGAGAAAGAGGCCTCCTTGGACAGAGTTTTGAAGCAGCCTTTCAGCAGGGGGTTAGTTCTCACTGCCTCCCGACCCAGATTGCAAGCTGTCTCTTATTTTTGAAAAGCAGGGAAGTGAGCATGCAATTGTTTTTCTCCGTGAACTCTGACTTTGAATGCAAGCTTAGTAGCTTTGGTTTTCTAGGATAACTTACTGCCCAAAAGCAATTGCTTGGGACAGGGGTAGGTAAGAAGGCCAACCTCCCAATGCTCATGTATCCCTACTGCACCCATCCCATGTGACTTAGCAGGTGCTGATGACACTAGGCCCCTGGAAAGATGCTGATCTGTCTTCCAGGACTTCCTGTGAAGTGTCCTCCCCAGGCTCCTATGCACACTCAGTGTGGGCTCCCCAAGGGGAACAGATGATGGGAGGGGTCCCAGATGAATCTTAGGCTGGTGTTACTGGGGAATGTAAGATGGATTCCGAATTTTAAAACAAAGCAAACAGTCACCATCTAGAGAAGATTCTGCTATTTAGAGGAACTGCATTGCAGCAAAGGAGGGGGTACTCACCAACCAGAGGCTGGGGACCAGCACACCCCAATTTAATGCATGAAAATGGCAGCCTTTCTTTTATACAAGGGTACAACCTCAGACTTCCCCCTGAAAACTACCTGTGGTCAGCAGGAGAGGAGGGGCCTCCTTACAAGCAGGGAGGGGAGAGGAGACCTCCTGAAACTCAGCAGGGAAAAGGAAGGTAGACCTTGAAGAATTTTTTAAAGAGGCTATTTGATAGGATATATAGAAAGGGCCCCAGTGTTTGTCCAGTAAAACATTTAGAATAATTTCATTTGGATGTTTTCTTTCTCTACCTACTGATAGACAAAGCTTTCTTATGGAAAGGCTGATTTCTCACAAGCCACCTGAATGATTTTTTAATTTTCTACAAACCACAAACTAACTTTTGCCCCATTTGGCCTAAACACACACTGAGTGTCTGAATCCTCTCTTGACTACTTGTCCCACTACCCAGAGACCACCAGGACTGGAAGAAGCAGGTATCCCTGTACAAGCTCCACATGGCTGAGCCAGCACCCAGCTGCTCAAAGGCAATAATAGAAGGTCACTGGGTATAATATTCATCCAGAAAGGGCCTGGGAAGGGGGTGGGCTACCTCCAGACTTAACCCTCACACCTGAGGACTCAACATGAGTGTGGGTCCTGCCCAGGGGCTCCTTGGGGGACACCAGGTGGCACTATTCTACCATCTCTGCCCTGGGACCATGAGTTTGTGGGCCCTCTAACTGTGGACAGGAAGTTGGCTCTGACTCCCTGGTCCATGGCTGTCTCCCCTAGGGGAAGTGTTACTCCCAGCTCTCTATGAGGAGGAAGAGGAGGAGGAAGTAGAGGAGGAAGAGGTGGAAGAGGTAGAAGAAGAGGAAGACCAAGTACAGAAAGGTGGCAGTGTGGGCTCCCTGTCGGTTAGTAAGCACCGGGGCCTGAGCCTCACGGAGACGGAACTGGAGGAGCTGAGGGCTCAGGTGCTCCAGCTGGTGGCAGAGCTGGAGGAGACCCGGGAACTGGCCGGGCAGCATGAAGACGACTCCCTGGAGCTGCAGGGTGAGTGCCTGTGATGGAGTCAGAGGGCCTGGGCCCAAAGGCTCTGTGGTCACTGGATGCCAGGCCTGCTGCTCCCCCTCTCACTGCAGGGCTCCTGGAGGATGAAAGGCTGGCCAGCGCCCAGCAGGCGGAGGTGTTCACCAAGCAGATCCAGCAGCTCCAAGGTAATTCCTGGCACTCAGCAGGAGGGAGGTGGCCATCCAAGTACTTTTGTCCTGAAGCACAGCAGACAAACATAACCTAATTCGGTACTTTCTCCTCCTTTTTCTCTACTGTTCTCACCCTTTCTCCTTGTCTCTTCATTCTCTTTATTTAATCACCTTTTTTTTGCATCTCTATCAGGCTCTTCTCTCTTCCCCTGCCCTTGCTTTTCTTCCCATTTAACCTCTTCTTCTGGTTAACCTCTCCTTTCCCTCTTCTCCAGCCTCCCTTCCCACCTGAATCCCTTTTACTTTGTTTCCTGGTCAGTACCAAGATAGGTAACCAGAGCTGAATTCCAAACCAGATTGCTTTTTCCTGTCTCTCCAGTGGCACAATGGGAAGAGCAGTGAGCCAATGACAAGTGACTGGAGGGGATTCTATGTATCTTTTAAGGAAAGCAGATGAGAATGCTTCTATTGCTCCCTAGGACCGAGCTTGTGGCCCCAAATCCCTTCCTTCTAAGGCCTAAGGCCTATGTCCCTTTGTCTTGGGGAAGCAGCAAGGCAAGCGTCCCACATTCCACTGCACCATAAAGAGGCAGCTTTGTTACTTCTGTAGGCTTCCGGAAGGTTTAGGGGAGCTGCCCTAGAAAACAGCAGGGCCTCTCCAGGGAGAAGTGAGATCAAGCCAAATGAGAAGTATAAATGGAGAAAAAAGGGAGGTCGGGAAGCAGACCAGGAGAGGAGCAGGCAAAGGTGGAGAAGTGGGAGGGAAAGAGATGGGGAAAAAAGATGTAAGCAAAGGTAGATGCAGGGAAAGTAGACAATGAAGGCAAGGAGGGTGGAGGAAAGAAGTGGCAGGAGATGTGTTCCACGGGGAATAGAGTATGAGCATTGGTCTCAGATCACCTAGATTCTTAGGCCCAGCTCTGCCATGTAACATGTTTTGTGATCTTGAGCAAGTCATTTTTATCATTCTGTGACTTGGTTCCTTATTTGTAACACGAGCTAATTTACTCATCAACCATTTATTGAATGCCTTTATACTTGGAGGACCAGCTATGAACAAGAGACTAGATCCCTACCTTAATGAAGTCTACATTTTAAAAGAGGAGAGGCAGAAACTAACAGAAGTTCAGGTGTCAATAAATGCTCCAATGACAATAGAACAATATGATATAAGGAGATGGGGTGAGATGGGAGTTTATCATTGATAGGGTAATTAGAAGTGTCCTCTTTGAGATGACATTGGAGCTAAGACCTGAATAATGAGACAGATCCGAGGGAAGAGCACACCAGACAAAAGGAATGGTAACTAAAAGCTCAGAAGCAAGAATGAGTTTCATGTGTCTGAGGGACAGAGCAAAGGCTACTGTGACTGAAGCAAAGTGCATGTAGAGGACTCTGGTAAGAGAGATCTATGGGGCAGACAGAGATCAGATTACAAAGGGCCTTGTAGGCCAGATGAGAGGTTTGACTTTTATTCTCAGTATAATGCAGAAACATGGGAGGATCTTAACCAAGTCTAGAGTGATACGATCTGCTTTACATTTTTAAAAGGACACTTTCACCACTGTGGAAGTTGAATGGAGGTAGATGAGTCCAAACAGTGAGGCTGGCCAGCAGTTTCTGCAATAGTCAAGAGATGATGGTTGCTTGGATTAGAGCAGTAGAAATGGAGATGATGCACAGTATCTTTGAAAAGTGGAGCTCTCAGGGCTTCTGATACATTGGATAGGGGGTTAGGAGAGACATGAAAGGTAACTGCCTTGAGACACTGGATGAACAGTGGTGTTATTTACTGGGATGGGGAAGACTTTGGCAAAGAACAAATTTCAGGTCTAGGGGAACCATTGAAGACATGTAGATGTTGAGTTTGAAATAGCTGTTGAAATGGGTAAGTAAATATGTTAAGGAAGGAGGCAGATGGATATATAAATCTAGAACCAGGGGAGAAATCGGGCTGGAGGTATAAATCTGGGAGTCATTAACATATAGATGGCATTCAGATCCATGGGAGATCACCATGAAATAACATGGAAGAGGAGAGAAGAGGTCCAGTCCCAGGAATACACCAGGATTTAAAGGCCCAGTATAGAAATAGTAATGAACAAAAGAGATCAAAGTAGGAGGAACTAGTAAAGCATTTTGTCCCCTGGAAGCCTAGAGCACAAATGCTTCAAGGAGATAATGATCAATTGTGTCAAAGTTACTACTGTAGGATGGTCATTGGATTTTATTTGATGGAGGGTAAATGACTGAGTCATTATTACAATGAAGATAGAAGCCTGAGTGGACTGGGACTGAAGAGGAAAGGGAAGGTGAATGGAGAAGGTGAGTACAGGTAATTCCAATCGTTGTGTTTTGCAAAGACATAAGGGAAAGGGGAATGAAGTAAAAGGAGAGTTTTTTGGTTTTTTTCGAGATAGGGACACACTAGGTCATGATGAAGGAAACCGTCAGCAGAGCAGAAAGCCTTTGCTCGGAGAAGAGGCATTCTTCCTTTCAAATAGGAGGGAAGGCAGAGACTCTTAAGTAGACATGCAGGTAGGCAACGATCTGGGAAAATAAAGTTCTGGATCGATTCCCTATTCAGTAGGGTTGTTTCTAGCATTAGACCTCACCCAAGCAGGCGGGGCTGAGGATCTGGCGAAGGTGCTTAGGCCCCACCCCGCGTGAGGAAACACAGGTCGTCCCTGCGCACGCGCGTTGCCCGTTTCCGCCAAGAGGGGGCGCGCGCGGTCTCAGAGGTAGCTGGTGTTGAGAGGCCGTTCCGGCCTCCACAGCCCCGCGGGGTCTGGGACTGGCCGGCGGCGGCTGGAGGACCCCTAGAGAGACCGCTTGCGGCGAGGGGGCGGGGGGCGGGGGGTGGGGACGACGAGATGGAGGACATAACCAGTGAGTACGAACCACTTATTTGCCCCGCAGCCCTACTCCCGGGCCGTCGGCCTTAGCCCCGGCAGCACCAACCCTTTGTCAACCGGCGACTGCCCTTCTGAACCCGGGTCTGGCCCTTCCAACTCCCAGCCAGCGTCTGCCCCGCCCCGTTTCCGGATGAGCGCCGCCCCTCGGGCTGTCAGTCCCGCGCCCTGCCGGCCCTGCCCCTTTGTGTTCCTAATTAATAGTTTTCGGGACTGAGGAAGACCTCCCTCCATTCCACAGTGGGTCTGAGAAAGCCATTCTTTAGGGCCAAACTGCAGGGGAGAACTGAAGGGAGGTTTGAATCCTAACATCAAGGGCGTAGTTAGGAAGCAGAGTTTGGTCAGCCCCCCATAGAAAAAGCCCTCCGCAGGCTCTAGGGCTTTTATCTTTTTTTTCCATATAAATGAAGTCAAATATTCATTTTTGTGTCTTTCCTTCACTTTGCGTAAAGTTTATTGGTTCTGCCCATATTCTTGTATGTATATGTAGTTCATTACTTTTTTTCTGCTGAGTAGTATTTCATTGTATGAATATACTGCAGTTTATCCATTCTTTTCTTGATGGAAACTTGGACTGTTTGTATTTGTCAATTGTGAAAAGTGCAGTAATCATTCTTGTACATGTCTTTTGGTGGACATTCGCTTAATTTCTGTTGGACAAATAACGAGGAACGAAACTGTGGAGTCAGGATAGGTGTGTGTGTGTGTGTGTGTGAACTTTATGAAAAACTACCAAATAGTTTTTCAATGTGGTTATACAATTTTACCTTCCCACCAGCAGTGTATGAGGCTTCTGATTGCTCCACAGCCTTGTTCACACTTTAATTTGTTCATCTTTTTAATTTCAGTCATTGTGGTGGCTGTGCAGCAGCATCTCATTGTGTTTAAATGAGCTTTTCCTCTAAAATAATGAGAATGAATACTTTCTCATGTGCTTATTGGTCACTTGAATATCTTCTGTGAAGCGGTTTTTCTTTGCCCATCTAAAAAGTCAGATTCTTTGAATAGTCTACATTCAAGTGCATTGGCAGATCCGTTTGTGAATATTTTCTCTCCAGTCTGCAGATGGTCAGTTCATTGTCTCAGCAGTGTCTTTCACATGCAGAAGTTTTTAATTTTGATAACATGTAATATATCTTTTTTTGGTATCACTAATATACAATCACATGAGCAACATTGTGGTTACTAGATTCCCCCTATTAAGTCCCCACCACATACCCCATTACAGTCACTGTCCATTAGCGTAGTAAGATGCTATAGAGTCATTATTTGTCTTCTCTGTGCTGTACTGCCTTCTCTGGGCTTTTATCTTAATGGCCAGTTGACCTATGTGTCTCCCTGACTAGCCTGTGAGGTCCAAGAGGCAGACAGCCTCTGTGCTCTTCAGTAGTAGGTAGAGCAAGGACTTTGTTCTTTTCAAATAGGAAGGAAAGCAATGAATTGCACAGAATTGATGCATCAATTAATATTCGTTGAACAGACCCAGGGGAGGAGACAGCTGGGATCATTCCAGACAAGGAAAGACTGGCAAAAGATGTGCGCAGAGCTGTGTGTGTGAGCTTGGAAGAGAAGGGTGGGAGATACCCCTGGCCCCGTAGACGCTCTGTCCACTCAGCAGCTATATTTGCAGTACGTCCACATTTTTCTTCTTAAGCATCCAATTGTGTTCTGATTTTTTTTTTAATCCAAACATGTAATTCTGTACCCATAATAGATACTTAGCAAAAGTTTGTTGAATAGGTGAGCCAGCCCCTGCCGTGTTTACGCATGAATACAGCAAATATTTATTGAGCTTCATTTTGCCAGGCCCTATGACTATCCTGGAGCTGTAATGGTGAGGAAAACAGACATGTTCCCTGCCTTCATGAATCTTATAACTAACACACACACACACACACACACACACACACACACACACACACTCTCACTCACTCACTCACTCACTCACTCACTCACTCACTGTAAGTCCAAGGTTCTATGAGACATTTATTACAGGACTTACTTTACTGCTTAATTGTTTTGAGGAGATGGGGTCAGGGGCTAGGGACAGTTGGAACCTGAGTAGTGAGTAGAATGAGCAGGAGCTGGGGACAAAGGGATGTTGGATGGTGTGCTTCTCAAAGGGTTTTGTGGAAGGTCTTGTCCCTCCCAGCCTGATCTTCATTAATCCCCTAATTCTGGCTTCCAAGGCTTGAATTCTCAACTGGTGTCAGTCCGTTTTATTCTCTCTCACTTTTAGATTCTCCTGATCCTTGATGGGTACCTGTGTCCAGAAATTCTGAGATGTTCCACAGATAATTGAGAGCTCTGACACATTTTTTAAAATATAAATTGAAGTTTATTATAAAATACAGGCTTTTTGTGAAAATTCAAACAGTATCAATGTGTATGATGTGAAGGTGTAAGTCCCCATCATATGCTATCTTGCTTCTTAGAAGCAACTACTGTTTATGGTTTGGGGCATAGATCTTTCCAGATCTTTTGTATGTTTTTATATATTTTCTATGTTATGTGTTATACATATAAATACTTTTCAGATATAGGATAATACCATATATTTTACAACTCATTTTTTACATTTTACATTTTCACATTTTAACTCATTTACAACATTTTCATTTTACATTTTAATATATTATGGAAGCCTTTTCATGTCTTCTCTATAGCTCTGCCACCTTTTAAAAAATGGCTCCATGATACCTTATGTAACCATCATCATTTAAACAATCCCTTATTGATCAACATTTACGTTTTTTCCTCATGTTTGGTTATCATGTGAACCCACATTTGAATTTCAACTATGAACTCTAAATACACATTGTTTTGGGTCCAGTATACGCAGGTCAAGGGAACTCTCAGGCTCTGTAATATCTAAGCTTTTAGACTGAATAAATAAAATGAGAATAGTAAGTTTTCTGAGTCAGAATTTTTGGAAAGATTCAGGACATCAGGAAAATACTGTAAATTAGGTTTCATCTTTAACTTAGAAGCATTTACTAGTTTTTGTTAGCAGTAGCCTAGGTTGTTTTTGGTGTGAAGCTTCAAAATCTACTTTTCTATTGCACCTTACTACATAGATTCCCTCTCTTTTCCCTTTCTAGATATTCCCTTTATGCCATACCAGATGAAACAATATGTCTCTGATGGGTTACAAACTTGGTTGTCAGGAGTTTCTGGATAAGAAAAACTCTGCCTTAATAGTGAATCTGTGGCATCTTGCTGCACTGATGGACAGTGACTGCATTGGGGCATCGGTGGGGACTTGATAATATGAGTAAATGTAGTAACCACATTGTTTTCTCTTGTGAAACCTTCATAAGAGTGTATATCAATAATACCTTAATAAAAAAATTTTTTAAAAAAAGGAACGAAAAGAAATAACTCTGCCTTTAACTTTGCCTCTAGAACATCATATATTAGTTCACTAATCCTCTTGACCATCCCAACCTGTGGGCTTTGCAGGTGAGCTGCGGTCCCTACGGGAGGAGATTTCTCTGTTAGAGCGTGAAAAAGAAAGTGAACTTAAGGAAGTAGAACAGGAGTTGCACTTGGCCCAGGCTGAGATCCAGAATCTGCGGCAAGCAGCAGAGGATTCTGCAACTGAACATGAGAGTGACATAGCATCCCTGCAGGAGGATCTCTGCCGGGCGCAGAGTGAACTCGAAGACATGGAGCGCATTCGAGGAGAGTATGAGATGGAGATCACCACCCTCCGTGCAGAGATGGAAATGAAGAGCTCTGACCCATCCAATAGTTTAAGTGCCTCAGATTTCTCTGAGTTGCAAGGTATGAGAGAGCAAGACCTCCTGGTCAGTAAAGTCAAGCAAAGGGAGGTAGTATACAAGAAGATGGTGGAAGGTAGTCTTAGGTCATAAATTGGAAACCTCTACAAAAAACTCTCCAAGTTGAATTCAAGACTATAAGGGAGAAAAACTTACCAGATGTCATATAGCCAGGCCATAGCATGAAGATGTACCCTGAAAATTTTCCCTTGGAGAGTCATTGGGCATGTGTTGACTTGACTGTGGGAAAGACCTTCCTTGGAAAGTTTCCAGTTCTAGGGTGGGAGTAGCAGAAACTAGAATAGGATGGGAGTATAGGAGCCTGTCACCTTGGAAAACTCTTCCTGCTGCTCTGGTGGCGTGGTGCTTTGCCTGGACTGCTTTATGGGGGGCCTCCATTCCTGTGGCCAGGTCCTGGGATGTTAACTCTTGGGCTTTTTTAGACTTCTTAAAAGCAGAAGCTTTAGAGGCAACAAATCAGAGCACAAGACAGCTGGAGAGGAAGAGAGGTTATTTCCAGTAATACATGAAGTACTCAAAAGCTTAGAGTTCTGCTTTCAGACAGTGAGTGCCAGCTAGTTGCTAGGATTCATGACATCAGAGAGTTTGCCTTTATTCTGAAGCTAGATTTATGATCTGGGTATAATAGGAGGCCCTATATTAGGCCAGGTTGAGCAGAGGCAGTCAACAGGGCATCAAAAAACTGCAAGTTTTCCCAGCTGTGTTAGCCTCTCAGACGAGCCCTTGACTGACAGTGCTAGAAGTGGGAGGCTGGTACAGTGGAAAAGCTTGGGCTGGAGCTAAACAGACTTAAGTGCAGAATCTTAGCTCCACTAAGTAGCAGGATGAACTTGGTCTGGTTATTATCTCTCGGAACCTAAGATTTCATATCTATAAATACTGGTTAAAAAAACTTTAAAGCTAGATAGGATCCTGGAACAGAAAAATGTAGAGAAATTTGAATAAAGTATAGTGTTTAGTTAATAGTAATGTACCAATGTTGACCCATTAACCATGATAAACGTACCTGTGGTAAGATGTTAACAACAGGGTAGACTGGGTGAGAACTCTCCCAGGGAATTCTGCACTTTCTTTGCAACTTTCCCGTGCCCCACAGGACATGGAGAGCAACAGAAAAGGGCTAATTGGGGTATTGAATGAAATGCCTAACATGTTGAAGTAATCACACACTAACTGACTGCCTAACATGTTGAAGTAATCACACACTAACTGACTCTGAGGCTGAAGTCATCAAGTCTAATGCTTAGCACATGGCTGGCTTTCATTAAAGATTAGTTTCCTTCTTTCTGTGTAGTCTACAGTATTTCAAGGACTTTTGGTAGGAATAAAGAGGGAATATTAGAAGTAAATTTCAGGGAGTTGAATCTTATGGCAGGTGAGATAGGCCTTGTGTTCTAATCAGAGCAAGTTAATATATTTAAATAGGAGTAGAATCAGTATTCACGCAAAATAATTCTTAATCATGAAGAAACAAAACAAATATGAATATTTGTATTATCACAGCATTAAAAAGTTTTGGTACCTGGCACGTAGGGACATGTGCTAGAGCGTTTCAGCCAGATCTCTGATGATGTTTAGGGATGATATGTGGGTCTGGTGGGGTTGGAGTTTTCTGTCAGCAGACAAAAAAGGTCATTAGAAAGAATTCTTGACTTCATGCAGGCAGTGTCTTCAGTGCGGTAATCAAGGAAGTGAAAGGACATTCTGGTGCCTGCCGTTGTCTCTGAAAGGCCAGGACTGGCAGTGTGACATCGGGCAGTTCACATCCCTCAACTTTTTGTACTAAAAGAGTAATAGGGGGAGGTAATCATTAACAGTTTAGTGGAAACCGAAATATAATAAACTAAAAACTTAATTAAAACCCTCACAAGCTCCTAAAATCTCAGGACTCTGCATTGGTTGGGATTTTGAAGATGGGCATACAGAACGAATCTGAGAAGATGAAGAGAAAGGCAGCTTCCTGAAAGAGGACACAGATCGAGAGCAACGTGGAATTTTCTGGGCTCTCCTAAGCCTCTTCATGTGTTATCTCTTTAGAAAAAGAGAAAGTATTCAGCCTTCTCTGCTGGCAGATTTCTATTCAGGAAAAGTGGGGGCTGGCCATCAGTGCTTCTTCCCCTGGATCTCACATCTCTCTGCTTGTCCTCTGCAGAAGAATTGCAGCAACTGCAGGAACGCTACCACTTCCTGAACGAGGAGTACCAGGCCCTGCAGGAGAGCAACAGCAGCCTCACAGGGCAGCTTGCAGATCTGGAGAGTGAAAGGTACAGCCATGAGGCTAGTAGAGCTGTGTACAACTCTGCCTTGGGCTTTTCCCTGAGTAGACACCATGAAGGCAGATGCCAGGCCTCTGCTCCTAGAGGCCTGGTCCTTTCCATAGTATCCAAAGGGTATGATATTGCCTAGAAGCAAGCATGAGGATCCAACCCAATTGCCTCAGGACTAGAGTTCTAAAATTTAGTTTTCTTCCATTCTAGGCACAGGGGTCTGGTTTGCTCTGCCCTAGAGTAGATCAGAAGTGATTCCTTTGTTGTCCATACAGACTGGATTTAGTCTGATGGCACAGTGCCTCCAGATTGAAGCTGGCTTGACACCAGGCCCAGTCTCGAGCCCTGTTGAGCACTCTTAAGGGCTCTCAGAGCCAAACATGCCCTTGCATATTGAGATACTGGGACTTTTTCTATAATCTAAGTGTGTTTGAGAGGTAAATCACAATAGAAGGCTCCTTACCATCTTTTGCCTAAAATGAAGGCATTAGCACCAAGCACACTTGTCAGGTGATGTCAGCTAGAGATCTTTCCCAAACATGGCTCTGGGGTTCTGGATTACAGGACACGGAGAGCAACAGAAAAGTGGCTGGAGTCCCAAACAGTAAGGAATATGATATCAGCAGGGTCTCAGACTTCGGAAATGGATTTCCTAGAACCTGATCCTAAAACCCAGTTGTTGAGACAGCAGCTGCTGGAAGCTGAGGAGCAGATGCAGGACATGCAGAATAAGGTAGGGGAAAGCAGGCACCTTTCACTGTCCTTCTTTTACCTTCTTTTGTGGTAGACATATCTCCTTAGGCATATGGTTGCAAAGGAAGTATGCGCTATGGCCAGAGGTAGTACCCTGGGGTCTCGCTTGCCTGATGTAAATATTCCTATAAAAGGAAAGACATACTCTTGTCAAGTCTAATCTCGGAGTGCCTGTGGTACCTGTAGTGAATCAGACTTCCTCTTCTGTTTCCCACACAGTGTAAGGAATTATGTTGTGAGTTGCAAGAGCTACATCAGCATCGCCAGGCCAGCGAGGAGGAGCAGAAGCAGCTGCAGAGGGAGCTCAAGTGTGCCCAGAATGAGGTGCTTCGGTTTCAGACTTCCCACAATGTCACTGAGGTAAACCCTGGCAGGGGAAGGGCACTTGGGGAGGGCAGAAGGGCCTACCTGGAGTCACTGCTTCCAAAGGGGACAACAAATGCAGAGTAAGGCTGTGCTCTGCTGACTCTTGCCCTGCAGTTAGGGCTACAGTCTACTGGAGACCCATTGGAGAAGTCGTATAACTTTGCATTCTAGAAGTGGTAGTCATTTTTAAGATCTGCTTCAGAGAAGAAACCAAACCTAGACCTGTGGCAGCCCCTCAGTCTTCTTCTGGAAAGGAACCAAACTGATCTGTAGAGGGGTCTGCTGTTTCTTGGCAGTAACTGTTGTACCCACATCCTCCCCACCACAGAATGAGGAGTTGAAGTCCAAACTCTGTGCCCTGCAGCAGAAGTATGATACTAGCCAAAGTGAGCAGAGTGAGCTCTTGAAGTTCCAACTGCAACTTCAGACCGAGCTCCAGCAGCTCAAAGTCATGAGACACCCAGCCGTAGAGAGCCAGAGTGAAAAGGTAACAGCAACCAGAGGTGAGGGGCAGCTTCGGCGCTAAGAGGTCTGGGGAAGGTGGATAAGGGTAGAGAGTTAAAATAGCTCCAGTGCCCCACCACTACTCCTCCACCCCCATATGGCACCTTGAGTCCTGCCGAACGCCCAGTGAGCAAAGGGCAGGAAGAAGTCAATTCTTAGGCTGCCCATTTGTGAGGGCAGCTCAGCAGAAGAACGAGTGGGTTGTGGATCCCAGAGGTACTGCCCGAAGCCCTTCCACCACAGGAGTCACAGTGCCGGCTACAGAAGCTGCAGCTCCAGTACCAGCACATCGTGTGTGAGAAGGATAAGCTGCTGCATGTGCAGCAGCAGCTGCAGGACAGCCTGCAGTACCACAAGGCCGAGGTGCAGCACCTCAGGGACACGGTGGCCTCCCTCCAAGACAGCAGTGAGAAGGTAACAGAAACCTTGGTGTGGGAGGAGGTAGCAAGGCAGCCTTCTCTGTGAGGGTAACTACAAAGGAGGTGCGGGAAGGGCTGGAGTTCTGCACACTGGCTCTCAGTGCCGGGATGAAGAGGTGCTTGGTAGGAAGGTGAACTCAGCTTCCTTTGATTTAAATCAGGAAACCAGCTTATAAAAAGGAAGCACTTTCCCCACCTCCCAAAAAAGGAAGCCCTGAATGTGTCTGTGCAGAGACTTAGGGACTGGTCCCTCTCAAGAAGCCCCCGTTGGGATGAAATTGGTACTGGAAAGGACAGAGTTGGATCTCCTTAGTTCCCGCCTGAGAGGAGAGAGCGGGACTTTTGGGATGATGGCGGGGCCTGCCTCTCCTGCCCCAGAATGCAGAGTTGCACGCCCAGCTTCAGGAGATGAAGTGGCTGTACCACAGCAGCAAAGATGAGCTGGAGCGGCAGAAGCACGCGTATGATCAGCTTGAACAGGACTTCCTGCTTTGCCAGCAAGAGTTGAAGGAACTCAAGACCACTGAGCCCATCCTAGAGGACAAGGGAAAGTGTGCTAATAAGGTAACTGTAATTAAGAGAGGTGATATCTCCTGGGCACTTTCTCTCGGGAAAGGAGGTGTAGGGGCAAAAGATGAAGTCATCCAGCCACAGTCCCGATGGGCTTCCTGTACAGTCACAGCTGAGTGTGTAACAGAGGCAGAGCCTCTGTGCTATTAACTTTAAAACAATCTTCCTTGATTCTGACTTTGAGTCTGACCACAGCTTAAGATCAGTACATCTGGATCCAGTCTGAACACCTGAATGTTTTACACATGATTCCATGTGTGTAGACATTTATACTTCATTATTAGAACTCTAGTAATATCTTGTCATTCATGGAGAAAAACATGCACGTAGGCCCACATACACAACTTTTACTGTTAGAACTAGTAAGAGAAGGTCCAGTTTCCTGAGGCAGATTGCAAATGCGCTTGTCAGATGGCATGGTTTTATGCCCAGAGTGCTGATGGGGTGTTAGAAGGACCTAGGCTCTTGCAGGATTTATTCTTTAACTTCAGAGTAGTTAAGTTCTCTAAGCTTGAATTTTACCCTCTTTAAATTGATCAGAATACATTCTTATTTCACTTCCTTTTAGTAGTAAATTCTGACAGTGATAAATACAGCCTTCCTTGCTCATTTTCTCTTTTTCCATAGTATGTCAAATGCAAGGCATTGTCAGTTACCCTGTGTTGAGCACTTTCCACTCTGATCACTGATAGGATATAGAAAGGTACTGAAGCATAATGGAAAAAGCACAAGAATCTCAAAAGATAGTGGATTTACATTCAGCTAAATACTCAATAGCTCCTGCCACAGCAAACAGCAGGCTGTGCCCACAGGGAAAGGCCTCCAGAAGCCACAGAAGTGGGGAAGGTTATTTGGGCACCCCCAGCAGTCCACCTGCCTCTCTGTGCCCAGGCTCATGTTTCCCTCTTCTTCCATTCTCACTCAATTTAGGGGGCCCACAACTTTATCATCACCTCCCCTCCTAGTAGAAGAGACTGTGGGAAGGGAGAAGCATGCCGACATACAGAGCCAACTTTTTCTCTAGTCCTAAATCAGCACTACGATTAGTGTGGTACTAGATTTGGGATTTTGAAATGGGGCTGATTTTAGTCTTCGCAACCCAAATTCAGTAGTAGCTTGGACTTGTCTAAAAATTTTAAAAGAAGACTATGACAGCAAAAGTGGGAAAAAATTTAGAGTGAAAGTAAGTCCTTATTGGTAAGGAGCATAATTAGGTATAAAACAACTGGAGATAATGAGAGTAGCAGGAGCTAGAATTCCCAGCAGGGTGGGAAATGTTATATCAAAGGAAAGGGCCAGAGAAAAGGAAGGTGGGGAAATGAGAAGGGTGGGGCACTGATTACACTCCCTCTTAAACTGCTCTCAGAAGGCCCTGTATACAAAATCTGGAGCACAGCCAAACACCAGTCCCGAGCACACTGATGGGGTTCCCCATTCAGCGCCTACACTTGTACAGGCACCGTGTGGCGTGGGATGGTCAGTCCAAGGTGACTGTCCAGGGAGGGAGACCCTGGTGAATCACAAGAGGCAGGAGAGTGCTCTGCTAGCCAGACAGTGCAGGGAAACGCCTGCCAGGTAACCACGCCTCCACACCCCACCCCATCCACAGTGTGATACCCTGCTATACAGACTGACAGAATTGCAGGACAAGTACAAAGCCAGCCAGAAGGAGATGGGGCAGCTGCAAGTGGAGCAGTGTGAGCTCCTGGAGAATCAGAGGAGGATGCAGGAGGAGCAGGGCCAGCTGCAAGAAGAGCTGCACAGGCTCTCATTCCCGCTACCCAAGTCTGGGCTCTTCCATAAGGTAACCATAGGCAGGGAATGGCTCGCTCTCTAGGGAGAAGCTGCTTTGAGAAGCCTCCCCAGGTGTGACTGTCCTTGGAAAAAATAAAAGGGTGGGTACTGAACTCTTCCTTTTCTCAACCAACCACTCCTTACTTTCTCACTAGTCTCCTCAAACCAGGTAATTCAAGATAGCTGATTAAGGTTTTAAACCTTAAATACTCGAATCCAGCATTTTATGTTTCAATATTTAGTCCATCTGGAGAAGATGTTCCTTGAAAGCCCTTTGTAAGTGACAAAATACATCCAAACATACAAGATAATTACTTTGTAAGCAGTTCTTCGTAGAAAGATTTCCTGTCCCAAGATGGGCTGTGCAGGGCCAACGCAGAGACTCTGCTGGGAAGGGTCCCCACAGAAAGGAGGTGTAGGTCTTTCCCTGTCACCACCCAGTTCCTGCCCCTTGCTTCCACTCCACCTCACAGAGTCGGGAGCTTCTGACAAAGTTACAGGATCTGTGGGAACTACAGCTGCTCTACCAAGGAATGCAAGAGGAGCAGAAAAAAGTGATACACAATCAAGAAAGCATATTAAAAGAACAATCAGAGCTGCACAGAGAGCTGCACCTTTTCAAAGTATCTCGTTTCCAAGAAGTGTTGGAGAATCCTGAGGATTCCAAATCACCTAAGTCTTCAAAATGTGGTCAAAATAAGGTAACCATATTAAGAGGCAGGGAGGCAGCTCGGGGATAACAGCCTGGTAGAGAAAAGGGGCACCCCACAGGTCACAGTTGGGAAGGCATGGTGACCAGGAGTAAGGATGAGATTGAAGTCATGCTCTTCCCCAGCTACGACCACCCATGGGCCCATTAAGATGTGGCTTTAGATTGCGGCCTGAGGACCCCACCCACATGCATGCCCAGTTGAAGCACTGTCAGTGCTTAGAAGCTTATAGACCCAAAGTCTGTAATCTCTTGATAATTTGACTCAACCCTTTCAACATAATCATTTTCAAAATGTATTATGGCAATTTTGTTTTTGTTTGGATTCCTTGGGGCTGACTCTAAATGTATCATCCTTTTCTCATGAGCTGGTTGATAGTTGAGAAGCACACGGTTCAGTGATCAAAGACCTTAACATTTTGGTTTTTGAAGCAAATTTAGGGCCATTTATTTCCAAGGGAAGAACTTCTAACATGTGGGTTTCTTGGTATTGATCACACTCTTCATTGGAACTTTGGTGGCTATAACAGCCAGTTGGGGGGTTGCATCTCAAGCACTAGTGTGGGGTCATGCCTCTGAGATCACAATGAAGATTTATTTCCACATAAGACTATTCAGGGTTGGGGGATGAATTTGGTCTGAGGTCTTAGTGTAGACAAGGAAGAACAGATAGGTAGTTTCAATTTAGGGTAGATCTATTCATTCAGATGTTAGCCTGGACAAGGAGAACAAGGGAATAGCAGAAGTTCAAGCTGTGAGATTTGCTCAGATTCCAAGGGCATCAGATTGTAGCCTGGATAACATGGAGACCAGAAACCAGGTACAAAATATCTCCTTAACTGATTAGATCTCATCCTGGGCATCAGGAACCAAGAAGTCAGGCCCAGAGGGCCAGGGAAACATGCCTAGAGCCCTGATTCAGAATTGGCAGGAGGTACAGTGAAACCTTTATTCCAAGTCCACAGCTTCTGAGGAAGGATTTTTCATATGCTTATATTCAGGGCCAGGCTGATTTTAGAATTGGGGATGGGGGAGGGTACTGAGTCTAAAGGTGAGGATAATGGGTACACCTGACTGAGAAGAGGGTAGGCTAGGGAGCCACGGCGTTCATGAGGTCCACACAGCTCTGCTTCAAGGAGAGGATGTGGAACCAGCAGAAATGGGAGCCTGGAAGTGGTGGAGTGTCTGCCCCAGGGACAGTTTGCCCAGTGAGCACGAACCCTCACGTGCCCATTCCTTAGGCTGCGGTGAGACAAGCATAGGTGTGAGGTTGCTGGAGTGCGCTCTCAGACTCCTGTGCGACAGCGGAGCTGCCAGTGGTATGGCAGTAGAGGGTAATGACAATGTCCCCCTCCGCTCCCGGCAGTCCAAGCTGATCATCACCCAGATGCAGGCCCTACAGGAGCTGTATGAGGCCAGCCAGACCGAGCAGGAGCTGCTGCAGCGGGAGCAGGGGCGGCTCCTCGAGGAGCGGACGAGGCTGCAGGCCGACTTGCAGCTCTGCATGGAAGAAATGCAGCTGCTCCAGGTCCAGGCCCCTTCTATGAAAGTGAGCCTTGAGTCCTACAAGAGGTCCTATGGTAGCATGGCCACCAGCAGTGAGAAGTGTCACAGTAGTTCCGGTAGCAGCACTGGTGATGAGAGCTGCTACAGGAGCTATGGCAGCTCCCAGGCCAGCAATGAGAGCTTCCTGCAGAGCTATGGCAGTGGCAACAGTGCCTGCGAGGCCCAGAGCAGCAGCAGCAGCGGCTCTAACACCTGTTGCAGGAATCATGGCAGCAGCAGCAGCACTGACGACAGACCTGCTGAGCCTGAAGACATGGAGGTAAAACTACCAGGTGGGGCCAGACGAGGAGAGGAGGCCGTTCCTTGTAAAGGCGGGAAGGGCACAAGACATGAGCGGGGCAGTGGGGTCAGAGGTGAGCTGGGTACTCCCTGGAAATAAATCAGGCCCTCCACCCCTCTGATACGGAGATGCTTCCACCCGGCTGGAGGCCAAGATTTGGAACTTTTCACCAACAAGGCCATGGTGCTCTTTGCAGGAAGAACTACAAGGGGACCTAGACAGTTCCAGATTCTTTTGGCCATTGTTTTGTACCCAAGGAAAGGCTCAGGGAAGAGAATAGGGCAGAGGGCCGGTGGTTCTTGGTGCCGTCTTACTCCCCACCCTCCACAGCACTTTGAAGACACAGTGGCCAAGGTGCTGTGCCAGCTGCAGGGAGTGCAGGCCAAGTACCAGCTCAGCCAGGAGGAGCATGGGCTGCTGCAGGAGCGCATGAAAAAGCTGCTGGGCAAGCAGAAGTTGCTGAAGGAAGAGTTGGACACGTGCGAAAAGGAATTCAAGGAGTTCATGAGAAGCCTTGAAAAGCCTGTTGCCTCCCAGAATGACAAGAATGAGGTAACTGCTAGCAGTTCTTTTGAAATCCCTGGAGCCAGAGGAGGTCACAGCCGTTTCAGAGAAGCTAGGGAGGGACAGGAGCCCACTGCAAGCCTGCATAGTTGTCCTGATCAGAGAGACAGAGCAGGGTCTGACTCCCGGGAGGCGGGGCAGTCCGCTACATCACTGGTGGGCATCTCTCAGGTGCCCACTACACTGGGATTTCCTGGCTAGCAGCTGAAAATTTTTATTTTTCCTTTTGCCACTTATTTCTTTTGCTCTGTGTCCAAGAGCACTTCTGTAGAGTTGTATTTTTTTATCTGTCAATTTTCTTTAGTTATTTTATGTGTATTTGTCATATCCAACTAGATTGTAAGCACCTCAGAACAGGGCCTTGTCTCCTTTTGGATCTCATAATGCCAAGAAGAGTGCTCTGCATCTGCTAGGTTGGAGACAGAAGGCATTGTTTCTGCTTAAGGATAGTCCACAGTCCAGTGGGGGTCACTGTGTGTGCATGGGAGAGATTCAGAGAGCAATAAACAACTGGGCCTAGTTTGCTTGGTATTGGAACCTACAGAGGAGACCATGATGTACTGTCAGATCAGGACAGACCAAAACAGAGATTAGGGAGCAGGGTTACAATTTGTTTCCAGGGCAAGGTGCTGGAGCCCAGGTATGTGGTCAGGAGCATGCAACACAGTTTCTTAGGTAATTGTACCTATTAGAGAAATAACTTGGGTGAAGCAGGAGTTTCCATTTAAAAAAACCTATTTAATAAACAGGTTCAAAAAGAGTGCCCAGTAGTTACTCCCCAGCCACAATAAAACATAATTTAATCATCGTGTTTTGATCATGTTAGATCATGAGGTATGATCAGGTGCCTCAAGAGAGGGAGAAGCTATTTCTAGAACTGCTTCAGAGGTTCACTTTCCACAGCTCAATGTTTCCTTTATTGCCTGCTTCCCCATGGGTTTTAGCAGAGAGATTGCTATGGCAGTGACCCCCAGGAAGGGCCCAGGCTGAGTGTGGTAACTGGCCCTCCACTACCAACAGATCAAAGAGCTGCAAGCCAGGCTGCGGGAGCTGCAGCTGCAATATCAGGCCAGCATGGACGAGCAGGGGCAGCTTCTGGCAGTGCAGGAGCAGCTGGAGGGGCAGCTGCAGTGCTGCCAGGAGGAGCTTCGCCAGCTCCGGGAAGAGAAGTCTGTCACCAAAGAAACCAAAGGAGAGACTGGCAATAAGAATATGAACAAGAATGCTGATGGGGTTAAAAATAACAAGGTTACCAAGCCAAGCCTGGACAGTCAGGAAGACAGTTGTGAGACTGGAAAGGTGAGTAGTAACCTTGGAAGGTGGAGGAGATCCTGAGAAGAAAAATCATCCACCCTTGTTTCAGTCAGGTGAGACATTTTGTAGAGAAGCTTCTGGTCTAACATGGTTCCACCTTAGTAGCAAATTGGTACTCCCTTTCCTGTGATTAAGGGGCAAGTGGAACACAGACCACTTAACACTGGAGATGTAGCCCCACAGGACCCCAGCCCTGGGCCGACGACTGCATCAAGTAGCCCAGCCCAGTTTTTCTGGGGCACTTGTTCTTCCTGGGTCATATGCCCAAGAGAAAGACCAAACGGATGAAGAGAGGAATTTATTCAAGCAGTGTATACTGATAAGTGAAAGAATTGAGTAAAATAGGAGTCACCATGCAGGGGTAGGAAGCAGCAGTTGAGGTGCAGTGGTGAAGAATCTTGCTCTAGTAGCTGTCTGAAATGGCTAATGGCCAGATAGATGTATTGGTCCAGAGGCTGGGTGTGACTGCCCTCCACACTATGCGCAGGGAGATTGACTCAGTCCAGAATGCCTGTTGCCCATGCACTGGGGCATGCTGGGAAACAGTGTTCTTGAGATAGTCCACTGTCCTGAGGGGAGGGATCTTCATGGGTAACAGCATCCCCGTCCTGCCCTGCCCCTGCCCCACAGAGTCTGGAGGTGGTACTGTACTACAAGGCTGACTCTGCAGACTTAGATAGTCTAACAAAAGAGGAAATGGAGGAAGGAAAGGAGGACATCAAAATGGGAACAAAGGAGGAGTGCTGGGATGAACTAGCTTCTGAGCCATCAGACCCGCCAGGGATGAAGTCCCTAGAAGATCAGGAGGGACATGGGAAGTCCCAAGACCAGGATGGCAAGAAAGAAGACAACAAAGATGAGGATAACAGTGACTCTTGTCCTGAAGCTTCAGAGGAAAACAACCCCCTCAAACTTTCTAAGAACAAAAAGGTAACCACAGCCACAGGGAGTCAAGTGGGAAATGGGCTTGTTCCTTATGTCAGGAGGGTTCTTCACCCTTCCTCTAGCGCTGCATTAAGGGTGCTGACAGTGTGAGGCCTTCTTCAGGATATTTCTCTCATCTTGGGCAAGTCACTCAGTCCTGCTTTCCCTGGTGCCCTGTTAGGGTTAACCTTTATTGTTAGGCGTGTGGGGAGGCTTGTGTCACCCGCTAGTCTCTATATATTGCAGGGCATGAGTTGGGGGTGATCAGCAGTGATAGTCAGAATACTTCAGTCCATACAGCAAAGCCATCAGCCAGTCCAGGGAGACCTAACCCTTCAGTTACTGGATCTTCAGAGGTTGGGGTGGGAGTATCCGGGGTAATTTGCCAACTGTTCAAAAGTACTTCAGTATCTTAACTGCTGATCCATCTGTGAAGGCATGTACTGCTGAATTCCTGCCCTGGTTGGGGTTAATTTGGGGGCTCTGGTTCCCTGAAGAGTCTGAGTACTTCCTTAATAAGTTCTCAGTTTCCAGTACAGCCTCTTTCCCTCTAAACACCAGGGAAGAAAATAAGTTTGTCATGGTGGGATGTCCCATCAACTCTAAGGCTATCTGGAACTTTCCAGCAGTTCACTGTGGTGCACTGGCTAAAGATCCCATGTGCGGTTCTCTGCTAACTGTAGTGGTCCTGGCAGAGGACCATTACTTAGGATATAAAACTTGGGAGAAACCACCGCCTCTTACCCAGTGTTATATTATTTTGGAACCATCATATTCCACCGCATGCTGGTTCAGAGCTTCATATGTTTCCTTGCCTTGGGTACCACATTTCTAAATACCACACCAATTTCACTACTTCAAAGTCGAGCCCATTCCTTGCATCTATACCTGGAAGTGCCTCTTTGGCTCAGGGGTTCCTAATTGTTTTGCAGGCAGCTACCGGCATGCATGTTATTACCTGCAAATTCAGTTTCTTTCTGGAAGATTGTTGCAGTCAAAGAACTAGCCTTCTCCATTGTTAGCTTGTTGTAGTGCATCTTGTCTCACAAGGACAGCATTAGACTCCTAGGGGATGGTAGAGACCAAAACCCAGAACCTGAGATTTGATGGAAATCAACCAGAACAAGTGGGCTAACAAAGGGACAGGTGGCCTGGCAGAAGACTGGCTCTTCCTAGGGTGACCCAGGGAAAGTGTATATCCTAGCCATCTGGGGAGCCCAGCTTTACTCTCTGGAACTTCACTTTTCCAGAGTTACAGCCCTACAAGAAAGGTCTCGGTGCAGAGAAGCCCTGATTGACAAGATATGAGAGGGATATGACAAGCCAGAAAATGACCCAATGCTTGATTTGGACCTAAACTGCCACTAAACCATCAGTTTTGCATCTTCTGCAGGCTACCAGTGGGAAGAAGCAGTCCTGGGCAGTGGAGAAGAAATACTGTCACCCTCACTTACCTGTTGTTTAACCTCTTGATATCTTTCTCTTTTCCCTTTGTTTTCTCATCTCCATTATCTGTTGGACTCATGTGTTTATGTCATTTTTACCACCTCTTATCTCCTGGCCTCTCCTTGTGCTTCTTCCTCATTTGGTATGTTGCAGCCATCCCCTGCCCCAAATCCCCCCATCTTCTCCTTGCCTCTTGTAGGCCTGGTGGTCATATCGGCTTTGATCTGGTGCTGGTGGGCTGAGATGTCCTAATGCAGGTACTGGAATAGTGTCCCTCCTTCTCAGGGGTGGAGGGAGGGTGCAGCTTGCCCTGGCCTCTCCTCTTTCCCATTTCTCTCAGCTGCTTGCTTCTTGCTTTTGCCATTTTTTCAACAGATAGATACTTGGGTCTGAGTTTTAGTCCCAGTTTTTTCTTGGGCTACTGTGAAGCCCATAATATCTCTAAGCACATCTTCGTAACACATAGGAAGCTAGAGTGCCTACCATTGACATGGTTTGAGTATCTGTCATCCTCTGGCTGGGAAAACTTTCATTGATTCCAGCACTGTTGCTGCTTTCAAAGCTGCCTGACTAGCTGATGTCTGCTGCAAGGCTATTCTGGGCCTCTATCTTTATTTAGCCCCAGAGCCGAGTTCTCACTACTGTCACCCCACAAGATGGCAAAGAAAGGAATCACTGCCTCCTCCATTGGGTGAGAAGAGGGGTCTGGAGAGCTGTATTCCCAGGGGCATTGGTATGAGAACAGCCTCAAATTGTCCTTCAGACTTGGTGAAAATGAATAGAAACCGCTACCATATTGTGTACTTTCTACTGAGAAGTTCTCTGGTTTGGGACTTTGGGTCTTCAGAAAAATCGACCAAGAATACCAGGAAATATTTTATTGTTCTCTGTTGATCACTTTTGGGGACCAGAGTCTATTGTCATTTGCTTCTCAGGCTAGGCTCTCTGGAGAGAGTGTCATACTGGTGAAAAGTTTTCACTAACCAAGATGCAGGTGTTCTCAGGGAACCAAGGTTGATGTATTCTGGGTACCTTCCGGTTGGCCTCAGTCATGTAAGTTGGTCTGCCAGCAGGAGGCAGAATGTGGTCTTAGGGCCCAAAGTAGAACCCTAAGTTTCCACCTGCCTTCGGGGACCCATGAACTGTTCTCTCTTGGCCTGTTTGGGCGACCCTACCACTCCCACTCCCCCCACCCTGTAAATGGAGAGCAGTTGGCTTAATGCACAGGTTCGAAGCAGCAGCCAAAGCACTTCTCACCATTTTCTTTTCTCCTTCCTCTGCCCACCCCTCACTTTTCTTCCTTCTCTTCAACCTTTCTCCTTCCTTTCTTTTAGGCATTACACCACTTACTCCCCACCAACAGTCTTTAACTTCCTTTAGTGATAAGCATCTTTCCCTGTACCTGTTCCTCCCCTGTATACTCCCAGATTTCTAAGTCCCTATGGGATGAGACCCTGAGCATTCAGCCATCACCTTTCGCACTCCCTCAGGCAGGCCCAAGCAGAATGGGGCTCCAGGAAGGACGTCCTTGCAAGGCTCCTCTTGGAGGAGACTGTTATGCCCAGAGCCTGGCTCTGCCCCAATATGCAACTCCCACCCAGGAAGGGAGGCCGTGTAGTACAGTAGAAAGTGTGGCTGACCAGTAGTCAGAGAACTTGGTTGAGTCTGTCTCTACTTCATACAGCTTAAGCCCAGTGGGCAAAATGCATACATTGAACGTTAGTTTCTTCAATTGTAAACAAAGGATGAGAAAACCTTTGTGTCCCTTACATGAGGAGCAGATGAGCTATGTATATGAAAGTACTTCACAAGTGATAAAACACCACAGAAATAATGAAAAGCATACATTTACATAATACATATTATATGCTAGGCACTGTTCTAATCACTTTACATATATTAATTCATTTAATTCTTGCAACAACCCAGTGAGGTAGCTGTTATTATTGTTTTATATGTGATCAAACTAAGGAATAGAGGGGTCAAGTAGTATGGCCAATAAACTATGAATCAGATTCTAAGGACTTAATATCAGTGAAACAAGTAAAACTCCAATCCTGTTTTCTCCTTATAATCTCTCCTCATTTTGAGCAGTTTTCTTTGGTTGCTTCCTGGTAATTAGGAACACACCATAGTTCTCATAACTGCCAAATCACATTGGCAAGTTATTTCATGTATTGTTTATAAAACCCCTTTGCACATTGCATATACTAAGCATCCTCTCCCATGCTCTGCCTCCAGTTGACTTTTTGGATCCAAAGCAGAATTTCCATTCATCCCTATTAGGTATAGTCCTTGATCAACCTGTGAAGTTTGGGTTTTTTAAAAAGTCTTGACCCTGTGGTTTAAAAATTCTCACCTTCCCTACCAATTTCACATCATCCTCAAGGGCGGCAGGCCCACCTTCATGTCTTCATCCACATTACGGGCAAGGGCTGAGCCTTGTCTTCTCTCCAGTCTCTTATCCATCTCATTGGTCACTTAAATAGTCACACAGCTGCCCTGTCATCCCACTCTTAATTATTTCCTCATATTCTCTCCAAGGATATCATTGAAAATTTTGTCAAACACCTTAAGTCAAAAAACATGACTTCCTTGATCTGTTAATTTAGTAATTCAGTGTGATGGAAGGCCTGGCATGACTTAGTCCTTTGGGACACTCAGACCAGCCCTTTACTCAGTCAGTCTGGAGTCTAGCCTCTACCCAGGATAAAGGGCACCAGTTCACACTTATGGGTTTCAGCTCTTTCCTTCTTGAAGAACATCAGACTGACATTGTTAGCAATGCATGTTAGGATATAAGCACCTGAACTTGTAAATGGTTTTTCCAGCTCCCTTTCCAGTTATTTTCTTACAGAATGACTCTCTATATTCATTTCCAAAAATGTTTTGCTTTCTGTTTCATATCTTCTGTTCTTTTTGATAACTGTTTCTACAAATGTAGATGTTCTTTGTTCTTTGTAGTTGGCTTAAAATCTTTTTAAATCCATCATTCTCTGAGTGAATGCATTCTTAGCATTAATGAGCTATACTCTGTCCTTACCTAAACCATCTCCCTGTTACTTTAGTTGGTGCCAAAGCTTATGACTCAAAATCCAAATCCTGTCCTTCAAGCAATACAGTAAAAAAAGTAATACCAATAGCAACTATTTCCCCAAGTATGTATTTTCTTGTCCAAGATTTCACATTCCCAAATTATGCTTGTTTATTGTCCCACGAACCAGCAGTAGGATTCGCTATGGTCAGCGGAGTCTGAAAGCCTCAGCACACTAGCACACGCTCAGGAAGTCAGTCAACACACTGCTGACTTGTGTTTCAATGACCCTAGCATTTGCCTCCCAGAGCCAGTGACTGGCTACTCTGAATTTCCTTGAACCAACATCATTCTCTGGAAAAAGTCTGATGGTGTGAGAACCTCATATTTGCCTGCACTCCGTGGTGCATTTTTATTTCCCCTCAGTCGTCTTATCCTCTTGACTCCAAGTTCTTTTCTCCTCCATAAAGCTAATGAGGTGTTGCTGTTTTCCTACAGGCCCAAATTTGCCCTTTCTTACCAGAAAGGCATCCAGTCCTTTCTCATTGCAACTGTTTGGGTACTCTGAAGTCTGGCTCCTGAGCTTGCTTTTGTACCCAGGAGCCGGTATTCTCCCTCCACGGGGCACAGATACAAGCAGGCACCTCAGATGAGCCACATAGTGTTGTTCCCATTACCTAGTGGGGCCAGGACTAAGACCACATTGTCTCCAGCGGTTACCCAGGAGGTAAGAGACTGGACCGTGATGTTCTGAGGGTTTCTCCAGCACAAGTAGGCAGGGGATCTCTGGCTTAGGGAAGGGTTCAGAAGGCTGGACACTCACCACTTGTCTTTGGTCCCCACAGAACATGTCTGGGATGTGGAAGCCTATGGTGTTCTTGGCAATTGCGGCTGTGGCTCTGTATGTGTTACCCCACATGCGACTGCACGAGACAGGGGTCTACCTCACGGAGTGATGGCAGATCTTGGCCAGCCGAGGGGCGGATCCCCAGTGCATTACCCTCAACTTTGGGCAGGACACACTGTACCAGAGCCCCTGCCTTCCATATGCCCCGTGTGTCCCCATTTCCTTAGCCTCAGTCACCCAGGCTAGAAAGGCTTATGGGGAGCTGCTGGCTGCCATCTCCTGCCTTGTATAAGAACCTGGGTTCATTGTAATTAAATATCAAACTAATTACATGAGACTTTGTGGCTTTTTACTTGTTAAATACCTCACAACACAACAGGAACAGAGTGGTTCCCCTTAGCCAGGTACCTCATATAAAGATCGGCTCCTAAATAAATTTCTTACCCTATGAACGACCTCAGAAATGAGGCTGACTCCTTGTGCTGCCAGCTGAACCCACCTGAGCACAGAGAAATGGAATGAATTGGGTACTTTGTGTGAGGGAGGCCAGATGACCAGCCCTCAAGATCTGTGCCCACACATACCTACTGGGAGAAGGATGCCCTGAGAAGATCAGCATGTGAGCCTTTGTGGCTTAGTCTTCATGACTTCTTGAGGGATTCACTCTCAGAGGTGGCTTATTAGTCACTCAGGGTCCTGGCGCTAGTAAAGCTTTACCTGAAGAGTGTTTAATGAAGGGACTGTGTATAGAAGGCAGTTAGGAGAACCAACAAGGAATAGCAAGGTCCCCAGGCACCAGCAGTGGCATGTGACTACCACCCAGGCCTGAAGGGGAAAGCAAAAGAGCAAAAGTTAAGAGGTCTGAAAAGGTGCCCAGACACACACTGGCTGTGGAGGGATTGTCAGAGCCAAGGTGAAGTGAGGAGTTTAGTACTTCCCCACCTTCTCTTCCCACCTGCCAGCTTCCTGTCGGTACCTCTCATTGGATGATCCCAGCTGGGAGTCAGAGAGCAAAGGTGCCCATGTGACACAGTCCTTCAAATTCAGCCGTTCGGAGTTGAGAGCAGGACAGAGGATTGAGAATGGATCTGAGTGGGCTCAGGCAGAATGATGAAGCTAACTTATGAGTGTCCTTGTTTACCTTCATTCCTGTGGAACCCTTTGTGATTGGTGGTTGTCATCATGGATGTTTCCATATGAAAGCCCCCAAGTATTTTGTAAGCCACAGTGGATAGAAAGGCCCCCATGTTTGCTGGTTTCCTGGGACCCCTGTCTCCTTTCCGCCCGATGCCAAAGGAGTTTGTTTCATCCACCCAAATATCTAAAGCAACACATTCCCATAGAGTGTGTCCTGTGGTGGGCCCTGCTAAGCACTAAATGAGTTAATTTATTCCCTAGCCTTTTCCTAGGGGGAGTAGCAAGGACATTTAGAATTAGGAGATTTTAAAATTGTGTGCAGCCCAGAAGATTAACAAGACTGAACTGAGAGTCCGTCCGACCAGGCTTGGGGGCAGTGCTGACATGGTGACCAGCCCCTATAAATAAGGCTGCTTCTAGGCAGATGGAAGGTGGTGCCATGTGTCCCTTTGCTTCCCTCTAAATGAAGATCACCCTGGTTTAGGGTGGCCTAGGCCCTTGATACTCAAAGTGTGGCCCATGGACCAGCAGTACCAGCATTGTTAGCCTGTTAGAAAACAGAATCTCAGGCTCCATCAGACTTGCTGACAAAGAAACTGCATTTTAACAAAATTTGAGAATAACTGGCCACCATTATATTAGATTTTGTGTTCTCAGTTGTAACCTAATTGAAGAAATTCCTTCACAACCCATTTGGTGCTACTGGCCCCTTGCTATTGAGTGTAGTGAGACCCTGCTTTTTATCCATTTTACTCTGGTCAGCAGTAAGTTGTAAAATGTGGTGAAAGGACTAGAAGATTATCTATCACCAAGGATCACTGATATAACTTGGAATTAGAAGCCAGGATAGAGGTCATGGTCTGTTAGGCAGTTGGCCCCCAGGCCCAGACATAAATCCTTGGTCCTGCTTCTCCCCAGCCTTTTTGCTTTAGAATACAGAGCTCTTCAGAGTATTTCCCCCTACTGGCCCATTTACCAGGCATTTCTCTAAATTGGTTTGAGTTTAGTGCCTCATAGTCTTATTGATACACTGTTTCCAGAGTAGAGGTGTCTCTCTGTATTGAATGTGACACAGTCACTTGAGCTAGCTTTACAGGGGTGTCTCTCAGAAGCCACAGACAGGCATGCACCAGGCCGAGGTACACATAGAACCAAGTACTCAAAACACCTTCAGGGGCCTCCATCTCCCTGCTTTGCTGCCGTCTGCATAACTGCTTCCTTTCTGTTCTCTCACCTTTCCTGTCTTAGGCTACGTGGTAAAGTAGTAAAGCACACCATTGCTGCCCTGTCAGGACCCAGCTGCTATTGGGGGCAGAGTGGGAGTGTTCTAAAGATCAGAATCACTCTGGTTCTGACTCGTCAGGTGGCATGTTAGGATGCAGCAAGGGAAGAGGGGAGCAGTGTGAAGTCCCTGTCACTGGACTCTACAGGGACAGCGGCATAACTGAGATCAAAACCCACGAGGTTCCCAAGACACCAGCAGAGGAAACTGACTTTTCTCTGATCACCTGTTAGCTGGGAAGCACCATGCTAATAATTTTACATGCATTAAAAAAGAATCTCTATGAGGTACTCCTGACTCCATTTTACAGATGAGAAAACTGAACCCAACATGTTACTTTACATGCCCAAGGTAGTGGAGCCAGAAATGTAGGTGAGCCAGAAGTACAGAGGCTGGAATTCAGCCTGTGGATCTTTTCACCCTACCACACTGTGCCTGGCAGCCAGGTCAGGGCCACAGTCAGTATCACTGATTGATCAAAGTGCCTGCTGTGAGCCTGACCAGCCCAGTATCATTACAGATGACTATAGAGATGTCCCTAGCTCTAGAAAAATGGGGATTTCAAACATGGCCCTTTGGACCTGCTCACTCAGATTTTACTCAGCCCAAGTTAAATATGGCCAATGTTGGTGCCAATAAGACACCTAGATGGGAGAGGCAGGGTCAAGTGACAGGTCAGACAACTGGTCTTCTGAGACAGGTCAGTGGGTTGTGAATTAGGGGGCTATAAACAGCCTGTGGCCCACACATCTACCCTTCAGGGAGGGGGCCCCACTTGGCAGGTTCCAGGACCAGCATTGCGCACGGTCTGTTCCAGGCCGTATGGCCCAGCCCCGGGCCTGGGCTCATGGGCTATATTGAGGGCTGAGTCACCAGCCTGCACTTGGGTCAGGCTGACAATAACTGGCTGGGGCCTGAGTCAGGCCCCGATTTATCCTGGAGAGCAACAGGCTCAGGTTTCTTGCGGAGGGGGTGAGAAGGGTACCCTCCTCTGCCCACCATTCACCCTCTCCCCTGGAGAGGAGATGGGAAGAGGGAAAGGGGAGGCTCTGCTCAAGAGTTCTTTCTTCACTTGCTGGCTTCCCTCTGAACTCTCCCCACCTTAACAGAGGTTCTTACTTTACTGGAGGATCTCAGGTAATGCCCACAAAATGGAATGTGAGCCATTAGGGTTTGTAAAGGGACTCAGCTCCAAGTGAACCCACCTTACCCCTTTCTCTCCTCCCCAGCAGCTCAGAGAGAAGAATCCATCCTTTTTTAGATCTGTACCCCAGTTTCTTCATCAGGGCTCCAAAGACAGCCGTTGCTGAGCCCTGGGCCAGCATCTCAGATTTGGTGTCAAAAGCCTACCTTTTTACACACACACAGAATTCCCTTGTGAGACACAGCTATGTGTCATGTGTCCCCAGGAGCTGGGCACTTCTCCACAGGAGAGCTCAGCCTCTCTAGTAGACAGTCAGCCCTGAGGCCTGATGGTTGGTCTTGGCCACAGGACAAAGGTGGCGCGGGGAATGAGAGTTCTGAGATGGGGGGGTGCCAATAGGAGAGTGGAATTCCTAAGCGCCTCGTCACAGGCAGCCGACAGAACATGAGCTGCTGGGCCCAAGCTATTTATACCTCGCCTGTCACTATCAGGGCCCCCAAAGCCCCCCTTCCCAAGCCATGCACAGTGGTCCCTTTTCTGTTTCTGGACCTTTCTCTACTCCTCCTCCCTACCTAATGAGAAGGGAAAGAAATCACTCATGAACTCCTTCATCAGAAGCTCTGACCCCCACTAAACTCAGCCCTGAACTTCTTTCTGAACTTCATAACGGAGATTGCCCTCATTCTGTCCTGGGAGGCCAGCCCTCACAGATGCCCACTATCCCCTTTCTTTTCACTGGGCCTCGCGGGAGAAGAGGAGTATGGTAGAATGATTCACCTGTAAGGTTCCACAACCTTCTCAAACTTCAGTCATCACACAGCTTGACTTAGGGGCTGTCTGGCCCAAGCTTCCTGCGTGTAGAAGCCTGGGAAAGCTGAGGCAGTTTGGCCTAAAGCGGTTACCAGGAGATATGGAATACATATATGCTACAGAATTGCAGAATATATGTTCTCCTTAGATAAGTATATTCTATAGCTCTTTCACCTCATCTCAGGCCAGCTCCTCTGAGTGCCTCAGTTTCCTGGCTGTCACCATTCCCTAAGCCTCCAGCTGCCCTTGGTTTACCCTGAGCCCAGTCCTGCCTAGAGTTCCTGGCTGGCTCCCTCCCGCTCTCCCTGCCCACCAGCCCCCGTCACGTTTCCCCTTGGCTGCTCTGGGCAGGGCTCTCCCTGTTTCTATCTGGCTAAGCTGCCCTGTCCTTGGATCTGCCCTGTGGCCCAAATGGGCACATTGCCCAGGGGGCTCCCTGTCTCTATGGGGCAGATCTCATCACCTTGGTTGAGTCAGACATTGGGTTGGAGGGGAGGACAACACAGTGTGACTCACTGGGTACTCTTTTTTTCTGAGCTCAGCTTCATTATGAGGGGATGAAGCCAAATAGGCTGGTGACAAGGACACTGAGTTAGAGGCAGCCTCCGTCTTTCTTCTGGAACCCTAGGTTGAGCTTCGAAGTAGGCTTTTCTACCTGTAAAGTAGAGCCTCCCCCCCCCCTCCGCCACCAAGTGTTCTCCTTAATTGGCCTGGACAGTGTCCCTACTTCCTCTCAGTCCATCTCTACACAAGCACACACTTCCCTTCCCTGTCTGCAGGTGGACAACACCCTGGGCCAGGAGCCAGGACTCCCAGGCCCTGTCAACAGCCCTGCCACCAACTTATCCAGAAAGTTCTGTCAACACCAGATCAGTGTGTTTTGCCCTAACCCCGTTTGTTTTTTGTGTTTTGGCCTCAGTTTCCCCATTTATCTCTTTAGTGCCACGGGGTGTGTAGGGAGCATGTTTAATCTCTGACTGGCAATGCTTAGTTTTGGGGTGTTGGGTGCCCTCACCCCGCACCTTCCAGCTCTGCTCCCCACCTCTCCAGTGCCGAGACCTGGGGTCCGGCCGGGCCGAGACCCTGGACCGCAGACCCGGGTCGGGGGCCACTCCCGTCGCCCTGGCCGCGTGGGGGAGGGGAGGGGAGGGAGGAGGCGGGGCCGGCCGGCGCGGCGCGGCCCCCACCCGCGGGCCGGGCGGCATTCCTGGGAGGCCGGCGCTCTGACGTGGACCCGGGGGCTGCGAGCGCTGCGGGAGGGGGGGCGCGGCCCGGGGGCTTCTTAAACCCCCTGGCCCGGCCAGGCCCGCACTTCGCGAGCACCGCTCCGCCCGGGGAGAGAGAGGGAGAGAGAGAGAGAAGGGCCCAGGAGCCAAGGAGGCCCGCCGAGTCCGACCAGCCAGGGGCGCGAGAGAAGTTGAGAGCAGCTCAGCGCAGAGCCGCGAGTCCCGCGTCGCGCCCCGACAGCTCCCCAAGCCCGAACCCAACCCAAGCCCAGCAGGCCGCGCAGCCCCCGCCCCAGCTCGCGCCAGCATGATGAACAACAGCGGCTACTCGGAGGCCGCGGGCCTCGGCGACGAGGTGGACGACATGCCGTCCACGGAGAAGGACCTGGCGGAGGACGCGCCGTGGAAGAAGATCCAGCAGAACACGTTCACGCGCTGGTGCAACGAGCACCTCAAGTGCGTGGGCAAGCGGCTGACTGACCTGCAGCGCGACCTCAGCGACGGGCTGCGGCTCATCGCGCTGCTCGAGGTGCTCAGCCAGAAGCGCATGTACCGCAAGTTCCATCCGCGCCCCAACTTCCGCCAGATGAAGCTGGAGAACGTGTCCGTGGCCCTCGAATTCCTCGAGCGCGAGCACATCAAGCTCGTGTCCATCGGTCAGTGCGGGCAAGGAGGGCACGGGCTCGGCGGGGAGGGGGAAGTGCCTGAGAACCGGCTGGCTCACGGGGACAGGGGACACAGGTGCTGGGTGGCGCTGGGAACTGAGACCGGGCAGAGCCTCCTGGGACACAGAGAGGACTCTGGCCCCAGCTCTCTCGCCCACCTACACAGGCCACACGGGCACTGCTGCACACCCGTCTCAGGATAGCGGCATCCTGGGGGGTGCCCCTGGGAGCCCAGACCTTATCGTTTCTGAATCCTCCAGCTTCAGTCTGTCCCCCACAGACTCCCACCAACCCGTCTCTATTCATTGTTCCCTGCCCCTGCCGCGGGGGAATGCCCCCCATGCTTGAGAGGACAGGGCCAGTGCCCATTACTGATTCCTGGGGATGTCTTCCCCCAGACAAAGCCAATGGCTTCCCAGCCTCCCAGCACTTCGGTGGAGGCAGGTCCCAACCGCTGTCTGATCCAGGGGCTCTGGGACAGAGGGAGAGAGCTGGTGGCTGGTTAGACATGGGGCTGGGGCCCTTTGCAAGCTTGTGATTAGCAGCTGGGTTTAGGTTCTGGGGCCAGGGCTGGCAGGGCCCAGCCTCAGAAACCTAAAAAGGCACTGAGTGAAGGCAGGGAGCCTTAACCCTTGCCTGTCCTCCCGATTCAGCTTGCGGGGCGAGGGGGCTCCCTCCAGTCCCTGCCGGGCCCCAGCCTCAGCCCACCCCCTAAGCCCGGATTGGCTGCAGCTAACGGTCCGGACTGAGGGGAGGGAGGGGCAGGCCTGTAGAAGGGAGGAAGTCATTGAGTGTAACCAGATTTGGAAGGTGTGTCAGCGCTGGATGGGGGTGGGGAGGCCCTCTATGCTTAGGAGTAGGGAAGCTAAGGGTGGACTTTGAGTGGCCAAAGGCTGCTTCTTCCCTCACAACCCTTAAGAGTTCTGCAGTGCTTTACAGGAAAGGGCCCCTTGGGGGTGCCCCCCTTAGGGTACCAGGGGGTTGGGTGCCTCCTCCACCAGGCTACCCCAGAGACTTCTCCTGATAATTGAATGTCTGCTCACCCCCCACTCTTCCTTAGGGCATCTCTAGGCCTCCTGAATTAGCAGCTGAGGTCAGTCTGGGGCCCTTTGCCCTGTCCAGTCCCCTCTTTAGGCCTTACCTCTCCTGCCCCAATATTACCCCCCCCACCCCACCCGCTCTGGCTTGGAAATAGTCCTGCCTCCGTGACACAGCAGATGTCTCTGAGCTTTCCAGAAGGACAAGCCTGAGGACGGTGGGTGGGGGAGGGGGCCTTGATGTGTGTAGTGGGGCTGAGGGCTGTGCGTGTGTGCGTGCGTGTACACGGGTGGTCAGAACCTAGTCAGCCCGGGGCAGTCATCTTCCTGCATGCTGAGATTTGGCAGACAAGAGTGGCTGTCTGTCCCAGGTGGGGTCTCCAGGGTAGAGTCTGGGACCTCACCAAGGCTTTATGGGAAACTGCTTAGCCTTCCCCTCCCCTCCCCTCCCTGCTGCGGGTGCTGGCCCTCCCCCGGCCTCATCCTTCTGAGTGCGCACCTCTCCCCACCCCTGTGGTCGTGCCTGGCTCCAGCCCTTGACTCCACATTGGAGGGGCCGGCTCAGAGTAGAGGGGGAAGAAGCAAAAGCTGGTTTGGGAGTGGAAGGGAAGCTCCTTGGTTCCCACTGAGAGGAAGGGGAAGAACCATTCCCCATTTGGGCCAAGTGGCTCCCTCACTCGTGCTGATGAGATAAGCTGTCAGCAATTCAGCAGGGCTGATGGTAGAGGGAGGCGGCACAGGCTGCTGAGGCTGCTCAACCCTGAGGAGATGTAAAGGGTCCCCTGCTCAGGGAGCCTGCGTCCTCTAGCCACCTCTGTCCCACTCAGTGGTGGGAAGGGGCTGTCCAAGGGGCCTCCTTTGGGCATCGTCTCAGGACTGAAATTGAGAATCTGGGTACCAGAATGGGGAGACAAAAAGACTTCTCACCTCCCTTTCTAGGAGCGGGGTGGGAGCTAAGAAGTACAGGAAAGGGCCCCTCGGAGGAGGGGGCCTGAGCCTGGGCTGAAGGAGCTGTGCCCCTCTTACCCCCACTGCCCCAGGTCCAGCCTCCGAACAAAGAGGCCTCTGAGGCAGCTCTGTCCCGCAGCTGCTCCACAGTTGCTGTTCCTTCTCCTGGAGCCAGCAGCCGAGGGAGGGGCTGGAGGGGCAGCAGCTGTCCCGGCCCCTCCCTCACCCGGCCCTCTCTCCTCCCCTCCACTCCAGGCCTGGGGTGGCCTCAGGGACTGGCTGTCAGGCTCCTCCCTCCCCTTTGGGGGTATCCCCAAGCAGGAGAAACTGTAGCTCCTGGCCTGAGCTGAGCTCCCCTCCTCCTGGGGCCTCCGAGGAGGGGAGGGAGAGGAAGGTCACTGCTCCCAGAGCCCAGATCCACCCATCTCCTACCAAGGCACAGTGGACCACTTGCTGTCTGGCCCAGAGCCAGTTGCTGGGGAGAAATCTCTCCCTGCCACAAATATGCATGACACCCCCTGAAACCCCAGCAACCTCAAGGCCTCCCTCCTGGGGCTCTGGCTCCAGTTTGCAAGAAGCCCCTCTGGGTAGGGAGCACCAGCTCTGGAGGCCATCAGGGTCGTGGAAGCTGTGGGCACTGGGTGTGAACACTGTGTGAAAGTATGTGGGCCTGTGTGTTTGAGAGAAAATGCACTGAAGCACCAGGAGGCCGGGAGCGAGTGTGTCATGGAATGTGCAGGCTGCCAAACCATTGTGCTACAGTGGAGCCAGGGGGAGAGGGGGCAGGCAGAGAGCTGCTGGGGAAGGAAGGATGAATCAGTGAAAGGGTGGGGGAGCCAAGGAGGCCAGAGCCCCAGCCAGGGGGAGGCTGAGATTCCCCTCCTTGGGTCAGGTGGGGTGGGGTGGGGGAGGCCGGGGTGCCCTAGGCGTTTGGTCTACTAATGCCATCCTCCCAGATCTAGAGAGGGCAGGAAAAGAGGTGTAAGGGTCGCTTCCAGCCCCACCCTTTCCCATCTCTCAGGCAACACCAGTAAATAAGGCTGATTCTCCCCCCACATCCCAACCTCCTAGAAGCAGTGCTCTGGGAAGCTGATGGATTTCAGGCTTGCATTGTCCTTTGCTAATAATTTGGTTTTGGACTAATATCCAGATATCTATATTCTAGGCCACCCTGGCTCCTGGGTATTTTTCTCTGGCTGTTAAAGGGGAACTAGGTCCCCCACTCCTCAGAGGGGAGGGGATGGGTAGAGAGTCTCTGCTTTTGGGATTTGAGTTCACCCGGGTGATATTTCCTCTGGCTCCTGTGAAATTCCCCTGGCCCCCAACATTTGAAAACATGATTTTCAAGCCTTAACAGAGCGTGCACTGTACCCCTTCCTCCTCCCAGAACTTTGTTCCAAAAGTCTTTTATGGCTTCGGAGTAGAATTTGGCTGGAAGCAGGTGGTCCTACTCCTCTCCAGCTTCAGTTTTTCAAATACTCATTCAATTTATTTATTTATTGAGACCACACTCAATTCTAGGCTCTGAGTATAGAGATAAAATACCAGGACTAGAGTGAAAGACACCAGATACAAAAGAATACATACGGTATGATTATATTTGTATAAAACTCTAGAAAATGCAAGCTAATTTAGAGTGACCAGGAGCAAATCAGCTGTTGCCTGGGAAATGGGGACAGGGAGGGACAGCAGGAGGACTCACCAAGGGATACATGCAAAGAGATTTGAGGAAGGATGGATATGTTTATTACCTTGACTTGTGGCAATGGCTTTATGGGCACAAACCCGTTGTCAAAGCTTATCCAGTTGTACTCCAATACATGCAGTTGGTTGTATGTCAAATACACCTCAGTAAAACTTAAACAAAACAAAACAGTGTTTGCCCCTCAGAAGCTTACAATCTGAATAATTGCAATATTGACTGTAACCTGATAGGAAGCCCACTCACCTGTGATAGAGGTGAGAGGGTCTGCAGCAAAGCCTGTTGGGACGCAGCCTCATTCCCAGTGAGGGATCCATAAAAGGGTGGGCAGGTCTTGCGGACAGGAGAGAATTTGGTAGGCAGAGAAGGGGTTTGGTTCAGAAGTGGGAGGCCTGACCATGGTGGGAGCTGGGTGGGAGCTGAGGGGTCTGGGCAGCAGAGGGTGGGGACCCCCTGAGCCAGCTTGTCCCCTCTGCTCTGCAGACAGCAAGGCCATCGTGGATGGGAACCTGAAGCTGATCCTGGGCCTGATCTGGACGCTGATCCTGCACTACTCCATCTCCATGCCCATGTGGGAAGATGAGGATGATGAGGACGCCCGCAAGCAGACACCCAAGCAGCGGCTGCTGGGCTGGATCCAGAACAAGGTGCCCCAGCTGCCCATCACCAACTTCAACCGTGACTGGCAGGACGGCAAAGCTCTGGGAGCCCTGGTGGACAACTGTGCGCCTGGTGAGTGGGCCAGTAACCCAGAAGGGCAGCTGGGACTACCTGATGGAACTGAGGCCTGTGGTTGTCAGAAAGGCATATCTCAGGGCTGGGGATCAGGGCTGCCTGTGGGGCTTGCCCCTGCTCTAGCTGAGAATCACTGCCAGAGTCAGGCTTTTTTCTGATGGCATGTCAGATCCTGCAGTGGCAAGAAAAAGTTTAGAACTACTCATTTTACAATGATGCTGAGGTCCAGAGAGGGCCAGTGACTTGTCCAGGATCACACAGCTCATCTGTGGCAGAACTGAGCTAGGTTCTAGGGCCTTGTTTACCTGCTACATGAATTTCCTGTTTTGCCTCATGGGTGTCATTTCTGCTGAGCTAAGAGAAAGGAAATATGGGGGCACTTGTAGCATAAAGGCCAGGAGTTAGAACCCAAGGTTCTTCTTTGAGAAGGGGCTGAGGCCCAGAACAGTGTGGGCTGAGGCTGGTGTGGCACTGCCCAGCAGCAGGTGACCAGCCCTGCCCTCTCTCAAGTACCCCTGGCCTAGTCAGGTAGTGGCAACTCAGGGTCCATGAGAAGATTGGCGCATTACAGGCTTGAGCCTGTCCCTATGTGCAGCTCTCTTTTTGACCGTCATCTCTGGAGAAGATAGGTCTACCCTGGGTCTGTCAGCTTTGCCTCTGGGAAGCTCTGTCCCTGTGAGAGAATCCTCCTCCAGCCTGGGGTCAGCTGGGGAGCAGGGACTGGGAGGTGGGGGCACCAGCCGCCTGGGAAGCATTCCCAGCTGCTGAGCCATTGCCCACCGCTTGTGCGGCTGCCAGCAGTGAGCTCAGCTGTTCCGGCCAGTCATGGATTCCAGCCTTTGAGCTGGCCCCTCCCCGCCAATGAGCATCAACACCCCACTCCAGCTCTGGGCTGGACCTAGCACCCCCTAACCTCTGCACCCCTTCACAGGAGTGATCTAAGGCTGCCTCCCTCAGCATTCTTCCTGGCAGGGCTGGGTTCTGGGTGGGCATAGATGAGACACCATTGGCTCCCAGCAGGCCCTTCAATGCCTCGGCTTCCCCAAGTGGGCAGTGAGGGAGAGGGAGTCTTATGTCCTAAGGCTGATGTGGAAGTGCTTGGGGATCTAGGACTCGAGTCAGCTGTGAGACCTTTTGGAGGTGGGTCAGCTGCATATGTGGGGCAGGCACTCTGTCCTCTGTCTATCTCTGAGGCAGATGAAATGAGGCAGGAGGGCCCGAGGGGTGTCTTCATGGCATTCGGTGTTCAGGGTCTGTGTTGGGGCCTGGGCAGGCAGGAGGCTGGCTGGCAGGGCTGGTGCCAGGCTGCATCAGCCAGGGCAGAAAGGCCTTATTGTTGGTGCTCGGCAGGGCTACCAGGCCTCTAAACAGCAATGGGCATCCTAGCTGCAGGCAATAACGTCAGGGGCCAGCAGGAACCTGGCTGGTCAGGGCCCTAGAGCTGTGTGGGAGGGGGAGCAAACCCCCAGCCTTTGCAGGTGTTGATGAGCAGATATTCTGCATTCCGGCTGACTGCTTTCCCCTCATTGTCTCCCTCTACCACCTCTCCAGGCCTCTGCCCTGACTGGGAGGCCTGGGACCCCAACCAGCCCGTGGAGAACGCCCGGGAGGCCATGCAGCAGGCGGACGACTGGCTTGGGGTGCCCCAGGTACACTAGAGATGGGGTAGGGGGAGAGGTTGGGGCAGAGGACCAGAATGAAGTTTGGGTCTTTAAGGATGCCTGGTCAAGATATGGGTAAGAACCAAGTTTTGCCAGGTGAAGAGGACACTCCGTAACCTTGTTCCTCCCTGCGGCAGGTGATTGCTCCTGAAGAGATTGTGGACCCCAATGTGGACGAGCATTCCGTCATGACCTACCTGTCCCAGTTCCCCAAGGCCAAACTCAAGCCTGGTGCCCCTGTTCGCTCCAAGCAGCTGAATCCCAAGAAGGCCATCGCCTACGGGCCTGGTATGTGTTGAGCCTGACAGCCCTCCGTGGACAGCTGGGCAGAAGCCTGGATGGATCTCCCTAATCTGCTCTGCCTTCTGCCCATCAGGCATTGAGCCCCAGGGCAACACCGTGCTGCAGCCTGCTCACTTCACCGTGCAGACAGTGGATGCCGGTGTGGGTGAGGTGCTGGTCTACATTGAGGATCCTGAGGGCCACACCGAGGAGGTATGGAGAGGGACTGGGAATGAGAGGAATTAGCATGGGACTGGAATCAGAGACCACAGGCTAACAACAGGAATGGTGTGGGGATGGCTGTCGGAGACATTGCTATGCTGGAGCCTGGGGTAGGCATCACCATAGGGGCCACCAGGTGGAGAGGCTACAGCCACTGTGACAATCTTTTCCCTTCCTAATAGGCCAAGGTAGTTCCCAACAATGACAAGGACCGCACCTATGCTGTCTCCTATGTGCCCAAGGTCGCTGGGTTGCACAAGGTATCTCCCATTCTGCTAGCTCTGTGAGTGGACCCCTCTCTCAGCTTGCACCCCACCCTGTCCCAGTAACTCCGTTGCTCCCCTCTCATCCTCCTTGGCTCTGCTCTGACCTTCACCCCCTCTCAGAACTGCTGTCCTCTAGAAGCTAATCTTTGAGCCCTGACCCCCAGGTGACCGTGCTTTTTGCTGGCCAGAACATTGAACGCAGCCCCTTTGAGGTGAACGTGGGTATGGCCTTGGGAGATGCCAACAAGGTGTCAGCCCGTGGCCCTGGCCTCGAGCCAGTGGGCAATGTGGCCAACAAACCCACCTACTTTGACATCTACACTGCTGGTGAGGATGGGCCCCGGGGGGTGTCGGGCTGGCTAAAGGGGGTTGGTCTCAGGGCGATGGAGCCTGGAGCAGCTCCATGTGTCCAGAGCAAGGCTGACGGCCTCTGTCTGTGTCAGGGGCTGGCACTGGCGACGTTGCTGTGGTGATCGTGGATCCTCAGGGCCGGAAGGACACGGTGGAGGTGGCCCTGGAGGATAAGGGCGACAGCACGTTCCGATGCACTTACAGGCCTGTGATGGAGGGGCCCCACATGGTGCATGTGGCCTTCGCTGGTGCCCCCATCACCCGCAGTCCTTTCCCTGTCCACGTGGCAGAAGGTAAAGGCCCTTCACCCATTCCCACAGTCACCCTCGCCAAGGCCAGAATGTGGAGGGAATTGTCACCAAATTCTGGGTCTGAGGATTTATGGGAAATGAAGTGCTAAGTTCAGGGGCAGGTGGAAAGCCAGTGAAGGCTTAAAACGCGCTGAAGGAACAGCTAGGGCTGGGGCTCTGGAGAGGTCTCCTGATGATCTCATCATCCCTCCCCCGGGGGAGGGTCAGGAGACCACCGTGAAGGATAGCAGACAGGTGCTACTGTGGAATTGGTGAGGGGGAAGCAACAGGGTCACATGGGTGGGGGCATACATGGAGAGCACCATATGCCAGGCCCTCAGGTAGTGACTCCCCAACTTGGTTCTCTTCCCGCCACTCAGAGCCCTTGCCACCGCTTGCCCCCTCCGTGCCCATCATCCACCAGGCCAAGAGAGTGGTGCCATGTTAGTACTGTCCAGTGGAGGTGGGGCCAGGCATGGCCATAGCTAACTGGCCTTACCTGTGCGGTGTGGCATGGCCAGGTGGGGTGGAGTCACCCTCCCGTGGTATTCCGTGACAGGCCCCGGGTTCCATGCCATTGCCTGTGTCCCGTGGCAGGCCTGAATTACATGTTATTGCCTGTTTGGTGGCACCCAGTGGGTTCCATGCCATTTGTCGTGTTCTCTGGCAAGCTGAGGTCACCATTTTTTGGCCTGTGCTGAGTAGCAAGGTCTGGGTTTATTGCCACCGGCAGTGTTTTGTGAAGGGCTGATGTCCATGTGTTGCATGTGACCCGTGGCAGCCTTTCTGACATCCATGGCATTGCTGGGCATGATTTAGTCCCCAAAGCTGCTGTGGTAGCTGATGGAAAATGCTCAGGTGGCCTTGGGTGGGTGCAGGGCCCTTCCCTGTCTCTGTTTGTCCCACTCTCTGCCTAGGCTCTATCATGCCTGGGTCCCAAAGGCACTGACTCTGAGAAGCCCAGCAGGAAGGGTTTCTTCTAACTGGCTTGACGGGGGGCCTGTAGCCTCCCTTCCCAGCATGGCTTCATAGCTCCAGTTGTGTTGGGGGCTCCAGAGAGCAAAGAGGAGGATCACATGAGGCCATGGCCTGTGCACAGTGGTAGCGGGGATGAGTGGTGAGGAGTCAAGGTTCTGTCCAGACCCCTCAGCACTCCAACCTGCTTTCTCTTCCTCCCTGCAGCCTGCAATCCCAATGCCTGCCGGGCCTCTGGGCGGGGCCTGCAGCCCAAGGGTGTGCGTGTGAAAGAGGTAGCTGACTTCAAGGTGTTCACCAAGGGTGCTGGCAGTGGGGAGCTCAAGGTCACAGTCAAGGGACCAAGTGAGTGCCAGGGCCCAGGAGGGGGCTGGGGGAGCAAGGAGGAAATAGGGCCAGTGGTTCTGGCTCCCTGAAAGCAGGAACAGCCAGCTAATTACACTTCCTGGGGAGACTGCAGGGAGACACTGGCCAGAGGCACCATGGGACCTTAGGCACAGCCTCTCTGCCTCAGTTTCCCAATATGTAAGATGTGAATGATCCTCTTTGCCCTACATGCTATGCTGAGCTGTTATGCATGGGGATGACATGTGGTCCCTGCCCAAGTTTCAGCACTGCCCACTGGTAGCACTGCCCTCCTAGACCACTGATCTATCTTCTTCACCCCACTTCTCCTTAGAGGGCACAGAGGAGCCAGTGAAGGTGAGGGAGGCTGGGGATGGTGTGTTCGAGTGTGAGTACTATCCTGTGGTGCCTGGGAAGTACGTGGTGACCATCACATGGGGCGGCTATGCCATTCCCCGCAGGTAAGCCCTGTGCTGCCCTGATGCCATCCTGTCTGGGCCGTCACAGGGTGGGAGGAGGGGTGGGCCACCTGGGACTCTGAGGGAAGACAGGAAGGGTACCCCTGGTGGGTGCACCTCCCAGCACTGACACCAGCTCCCTCTTGGTCCAGCCCTTTTGAAGTACAGGTGAGCCCAGAGGCAGGAGTGCAGAAGGTCCGAGCCTGGGGCCCTGGCCTGGAAACTGGCCAGGTGGGCAAGTCAGCCGACTTTGTGGTGGAGGCCATTGGCACGGAGGTGGGGACATTGGGTAAGTGGCTGGGTGGCAGCAGTGGGAATGCTGGGAGTGTGAGGGTGAGACAGATGGGACACTGGGTCAACTGGGGCACAGGTCTTGGGGAATGATGGGGGCCCTGTTCAAGTGTCCAAGCTGCCTCTTGTGCCCTCTGACCCATCCCATCTCACACCCAGGCTTCTCCATCGAGGGCCCCTCGCAGGCCAAGATTGAGTGTGATGACAAGGGGGATGGTTCCTGTGATGTGCGGTACTGGCCCACAGAGCCTGGGGAGTACGCTGTGCATGTCATCTGTGATGATGAGGATATCCGAGATTCACCTTTCATTGCCCACATTCAGCCAGCCCCACCCGACTGCTTCCCAGACAAGGTGTGGTCCTAGCTGCGATATACCAGCCTAGGACGGGGTGAGCAGGTCCTCCCCAGTCCCCAACCTGGCCCTCCTCTCTTGCCCTTGCACAGGTGAAGGCTTTTGGGCCCGGCCTGGAGCCCACCGGCTGCATTGTGGACAAACCTGCAGAGTTCACTATCGATGCCCGTGCGGCTGGCAAGGGAGACCTGAAGCTCTATGCCCAGGTGTGGCCTTGCCCAATCTTGCTGCCCCCATTGCCCTGGGCAGGAGCCCTGGGAGGGCAGAGGCAGATGAGAGGCAGGGGTATCCAGGCAGGAAGTTACAGCATCACGGGACTGATTCTTATGGGTCCATAAGAACTATGGAAAGTTGTAAATTTTGTGTTTTCTTATTGCTGACAATCTTAAAAACATATTTTACCAAAAGTATATTTTTTGTACTAATACTTTTAAATTAAAAGATGATTTGATTGAGTAAGACACTGGCTTTCCAAGTCAGTTTCTCAAACTGGTGTCTCTTGAGCCCTAGAAGTTAATGCACAGAGTCTTGGGTCCAAGAGGATGATTTTTCTTTAAACAGTTCATTATTAAATTTTAGGAACATTGATTTAGCCCAGCCTCACCCCTACTGACACATTCAGATACCGAGGCCTGGTGACACAGCCACACAGAAGGCCAAGAGCCAGACCTCTTGGTTCCCAGGCTATGCTCTGGCCACTAGAGCATGTGGTACTAGGCTCTTGTGGCCTGAGTCCTTGGTGGGGAGGGGCCTGTGAGAGTGGTGGTGGTTAAGGATGGCACCCGAGGCCATGTGCTCTGAGGGCGCCAGAGCCTGGTAAGACCTTTGCTTGGTGATTCCACAGGACGCTGATGGCTGTCCCATCGACATCAAGGTCATCCCCAATGGCGATGGCACCTTCCGCTGCTCCTATGTGCCCACCAAGCCCATTAAACACACCATCATCATCTCCTGGGGAGGCGTCAATGTGCCCAAGAGCCCCTTCCGGGTATGTCCTCTGCATCATGCCCTGTGCCCACTGCCAGGGGCCCCAGAGGAAAGCCCCAGATGGAGCCCCATGTGGGAGATGTTGGCTCTCCCTGGTCTTCATCACTGCTCTCCGCCGCAAGGGCCCCACCAAGAGGCTGACTGGTCCCGCCAAGGCTGGAGTGGTAGTGCTGGGAAGGGGCCTTGAGGGAGGGCCACTGTGCCAAGCATCCATCTCCTTACAGGTAAACGTGGGAGAGGGCAGTCACCCCGAGCGAGTGAAGGTGTATGGCCCTGGCGTGGAGAAGACTGGCCTCAAGGCCAATGAGCCCACCTACTTCACGGTGGACTGCAGTGAGGCGGGGCAAGGTGCGCCCAGCAGGGTGGGGCTGGAGTGGGTCTGGGCAGGTGGGCTCATACTCTGGTCACAGCTGGTTTCTGGGCACAGCTCTAGTGGGACCTGGCTAGTCGAGGATTTTCTTGAAGCCCCATTCATGGTCTTGTGCCTGCCCCCCTTCAGGCGACGTGAGCATTGGCATCAAATGTGCCCCTGGTGTGGTGGGCCCCGCAGAGGCTGACATCGACTTTGATATCATCAAGAATGACAATGACACCTTCACAGTCAAGTACACACCCCCCGGGGCTGGCCGCTACACCATCATGGTGCTCTTTGCCAACCAGGTACCCACCCTTAGTTTTGGTAATCATCGGTGTCCTACACCCATGTCTAAGCCAGCTGCATGAGATGCCATCATGTGCGGACAACTCCACAGCCACTGACTGGCACTTCCTTTGTGTGGGCAGCATGCCTTTGAGGAAAGGACGGGGGCTCTCTCAGAAGCTGCCCTTGTCCACCTGACCAAGCCTTTTCTCCATCCAGGAGATCCCGGCCAGCCCCTTCCACATCAAGGTGGACCCGTCCCACGACGCCAGCAAAGTCAAGGCTGAGGGCCCTGGGCTGAACCGCACAGGTAGGTGTCTGGGCAGGGGCTGGCCTGGGGCTGGGGCAAGGTGGCCACTAGGCCCTCACCACCCTTTTGGGGTGCACTCCCCAGGTGTGGAAGTTGGGAAGCCCACTCACTTTACGGTGCTGACCAAGGGAGCCGGCAAGGCCAAGCTGGATGTGCACTTTGCTGGGGCTGCCAAGGGCGAGGCTGTGCGGGACTTTGAAATCATCGACAACCACGACTACTCGTACACCGTCAAGTACACGGCTGTCCAGCAGGTGTGCCCCGTCCCGTCCCGTCCTATGCCCCTGTCCGTCCTGGCTGATTGGATCCTGGGCCTCCTGCCTCCAGTCTCATAGGGCCAGTCTGGGTCTTGGCTGCCTTCTGCCTCCCATTCTCTCTCACTGTGCATCTCTGCACCTTGAGTCCACATTGGCAAGGGCATGTTGCCAGCCTGTGTTGACTTCCCGTTATACCCATAGGGCAACATGGCAGTGACAGTGACCTATGGTGGGGACCCTGTCCCCAAGAGTCCATTTGTGGTGAATGTGGCACCCCCACTGGACCTCAGCAAAGTCAAAGTTCAAGGCCTTAACAACAGTAAGTGGGGTGAGAGCTGCCCTGGGAGTGAGGGGTATTGTTGGGGTGGGCTGGAGTCTTCATTGTGTCCCTTGCCCTCTACGCAGAGGTGGCTGTGGGGCAGGAACAGGCATTCTCTGTGAACACACGGGGGGCTGGCGGGCAGGGCCAGCTGGACGTGCGGATGACCTCACCCTCCCGACGACCCATCCCGTGCAAGCTGGAGCCTGGGGGCGGAGCTGAATCCCAGGCTGTGCGCTACATGCCCCCTGAGGAGGGGCCCTACAAGGTGGACATCACCTATGACGGTCACCCAGTGCCTGGCAGCCCTTTCGCTGTGGAGGGTGTCCTGCCCCCTGACCCCTCCAAGGTGAGGTGATGGGGCTGGTGGGGGCTGGTTGCTGAGGGCTTGTGGGGATGAAGGATGAGTCACAGGAGCAGAGGCCAAAGGGCCTGCATACCTGGAGTGAGCACAGCGAAAGACTTGAGGCCCAGTGACCCTCCATCCCAGAACCTGCCTTTGGGACAGCCTCATTATTGAGAGTGTGGCCTTTGATCAGACCTGGGCTTGAACCCCAGGTCTGCTTACTGGGACAAATTATTTATCTCTGCCTCCATTTCCTCATCCGTAATTGTCATAAGGACCCAGGAAGGCTGGGCATGGGAGTGGCGTGCTGGAAACCCACGAACCTGCCCCTCTCCCTAGGTGTGCGCCTATGGCCCCGGCCTCAAGGGCGGACTGGTGGGCACTCCAGCCCCATTCTCCATCGACACCAAGGGGGCTGGCACAGGTGGCCTAGGGCTGACCGTGGAGGGCCCCTGTGAGGCCAAGATCGAGTGCCAGGACAATGGTGATGGCTCCTGTGCTGTCAGCTACCTGCCCACAGAGCCAGGCGAGTACACTATCAACATCCTTTTCGCCGAAGCCCACATCCCTGGCTCCCCCTTCAAGGCTACCATCCGGCCCGTGTTCGACCCAAGCAAGGTACGGGCCAGTGGGCCAGGCCTGGAGCGTGGCAAGGCTGGCGAGGCAGCCACCTTCACAGTGGACTGCTCGGAGGCGGGAGAGGCTGAGCTGACCATCGAGATCCTGTCGGACGCCGGCGTCAAGGCTGAGGTGCTGATCCACAACAATGCTGACGGCACCTACCACATCACCTACAGCCCCGCCTTCCCCGGCACCTATACAATTACCATCAAGTATGGTGGGCATCCCGTACCCAAGTTCCCTACACGTGTCCACGTGCAGCCTGCTGTCGACACCAGTGGAATCAAGGTCTCCGGGCCTGGGGTGGAGCCGCATGGTGAGTGAGTGGGAGTCAGGAGGGGGTCAAGTCACCAGTCAGGGAGCCAGAGCCGTTGGTGGGATGGAAGGAAGCAGGCATAGGGCCTTAGGGGAGCCAGTATGGGGTGAAGGGAGACCTTGAGGGTAGCCCTAGGGTCCTTAGGGTTCAGACACCCAGAGGAGTGGCCAAGGGCAAGGACGGGGCATGGAGCTGCTCTTGTGACAGAATTGCATCTGCCCATGGGCATCTTTCTGGGGGAGATCTCCACTTTCATTAGCTTAAGGGCTCCCTGACCTGAAAAAGCTAAGGACCCCGCTGTAGAAGGTGCAGAGGGAATGCTTTGGGGTACGGGTGACAAGGGTCAGGAGACAGTTTAGCTCAGCTCAGTAAATGTGAGTGGATCACCTGCAGGGGCCAGTCCCTGGGCTGGGCATGGGGTGGGGTACACAGATAGGGGGGTACACAGATGGAAGACCCACGCCTGTCCTGGGGGCTGACAACCTGGGGGTGATGGCACAAACAGAATGTCATTGTCTGGGGAAGGGAGTGTCTGTGAGAGACTGGGCCTGGAGCCCACAGGGGCGCAGAGGGTGGCCAGGCTCAGGTGGGGAAGCAGCAGCTAGACAGGAGCAGCAGCTTCTGAGTTGGGGTGAGGAGAGGAGGGGCGGGGTGAGCGACTGGGTGAAGGTTGCCCCCAACCCACACTGAGCTCTCCTCTCCTGGCACCCAGGTGTCTTGCGTGAGGTGACCACTGAGTTCACTGTAGATGCAAGATCCCTCACAGCCACAGGTGGGAACCACGTGACAGCTCGAGTGCTCAACCCCTCGGGTGCCAAGACAGACACCTATGTGACAGACAATGGGGACGGCACCTACAGAGTGCAGTACACAGCCTACGAAGAGGGTGAGGAGCTGGGCTGGGTGGGACTGGGGCATCTGATCACAGCTTTCTCAGGGTGGCTGGGTGTCAGGGTGGCACATGCACACCCTGACCCGCTCTGTGTGGCCGGCCTGCAGGCGTGCATCTTGTGGAGGTGCTGTATGATGAGGTAGCTGTGCCCAAGAGTCCCTTCCGAGTGGGTGTGACTGAGGGCTGTGACCCCACACGAGTTCGGGCCTTTGGGCCAGGCTTGGAGGGTGGCTTGGTCAACAAGGCCAACCGCTTCACTGTGGAGACCAGGTATCCTCCCCCTTCTGAAACCTTGACCCTGACATAGTGGTCAGCCTGACCCCAGCCACTTGCCCTCCTCCTTTGCCCTTCTGTTGTATGCCTCACTCCTCTCTCTTCCCCTCTAAAGGGTGACCCAGAAGCAAACCTCCCAGTGTCCCAGATCAGCCCCTGTAGCTTGTCCTTCCTCAGCCAGCCCCAGGCAGCCTGCCCTCCTCTCCGCCCAGCCCCAATCCAGCTGCTTCTCCATCCCTACTCACTGGCCCCAGTGGAGCTGATGGGGGCATCATCTTGCAGGGGAGCTGGCACTGGGGGCCTGGGCCTAGCCATCGAGGGTCCCTCAGAAGCCAAGATGTCCTGCAAGGACAACAAGGATGGCAGCTGCACTGTGGAGTACATCCCCTTCACTCCCGGGGACTATGATGTCAACATCACCTTTGGGGGGCGGCCCATCCCAGGTGTGTGGCACAGGGGGTGCTCGGGGGAGGGAGGGCCTCGTGGAGATTCATCCCCAGAGCAGGACAGCCATTAGCCGGCCTAGCGGGGAGGCCACAGAGTAAGCAGGCCTGTGCCCTGAGGCCATGGCCAGCACAGGGCAGTGGGTGCCGATGATGTGCCGACCCCTCCAGGGGTTGACCCTTTGTCTGGAATACCAGACATTGTAGGTTTGTGGGTTTGGTCACAGCCCGGGCCAGTCCTGCTAGCTCAGCAAGGACAGCCTCTCCCACTCTTTGGCTCTCACTGCCCGCAAAGAGCTCCCCTTTGTCCTGCAGGGCCCAGCAGCTCATGTCCACAGTTACTGCAGGACTTGGGCCTGCTGAAATCGTCATTAGTCTCCCTTCACTTTACTTATTTTTTGCATGCAAAAATGCGTTTTATTTTTAAAATATTCCATTTTTAACATTTAGGAAGGCCTTCTTCCAGGCTTGTGGCCCAAATGAGGTTTGCTCAGTCTCTGTTTGCAGCCTACTTTATCTTTGCATTTTCTTAGCAAGTTCTTAAGCATTTGCACACGTTGGTCTGGCCTCCCTGGGGGCATTTCAGAGGCAAGAAAGGCTTCTTCTTCTGTGGTTCCTCAGTGTCCGGCCTCCAGGCAGATGGGTAGGGGCTGACGTCTTTCTCCTTGCAGGGAGCCCATTTCGGGTGCCGGTGAAGGATGTGGTGGACCCTGGGAAGGTGAAATGTTCGGGGCCGGGGCTGGGGGCTGGAGTCAGGGCCCGGGTACCCCAGACCTTCACCGTGGACTGCAGCCAAGCTGGCCGGGCCCCGCTGCAGGTGGCTGTGCTGGGCCCCACAGGTATGGCATGTTGGGGGCAGGGTGGAGGGAGGTGGGGCAGGGTGCTAGGAGGCTCTGCTGACCTTGCTGCCTTGCCTAGGTGTGGCTGAGCCTGTGGAGGTGCGTGATAATGGAGATGGCACCCACACTGTCCACTATACCCCAGCCACTGATGGGCCTTACACTGTAGCTGTCAAGTATGCTGACCAAGAGGTTCCACGAAGGTGAGGCCTGGCTTTGCCCCCACACAGTGGCTGAGCTCTGGGGTACTCCTACAAGGGCCACACATACAGGCTACTGCCAGGCCTTGGGAGGGCCCTTCCCACCTGTCTTAGCGTATCTGCTCGTCCTCGGGACTCCCAGCCCGTCTCTGCCCTGGAGGCAGCTCGGTTTCAGGGGCTCTCCTGAGGCTGGGATTTGCCACCACGTAGCTACAAAATTAGTGCCTTGGGAGAGGGCAGCCCCTCCACCTTCCTCTTCAAATAAACCACAGCATCTTCTGGGGAATGGAGAAATGCACAGGCTATGTCAAGGGTGTCCTGAGTGACCTTCCCTCAAGACCCCAGATGTGAACTGGCCCCTCCTCTCTGCCCCTCATTATATTCATGTCTGTGGGGAGGATTCCAGGCCCAAGATGACATGGGACCCCACTCCTGACCCCCAGCCAACTGTCCCTCCCTTTTTCCCCTCAAGCCCCTTCAAAATCAAGGTGCTTCCAGCCCACGATGCCAGCAAGGTACGAGCCAGTGGTCCTGGCCTCAATGCTGCTGGCATTCCTGCCAGTCTGCCTGTGGAGTTCACCATCGATGCCCGGGATGCCGGTGAAGGCTTGCTCACAGTCCAGATCCTGGTGAGTCCACCTGCAGCCCACCTGGCAGGACAAGCTGTAGGCACAGGCAGGCCTTGACCTCTGCTGCTTCTCCAGGACCCCGAGGGTAAGCCCAAGAAGGCCAACATCCGAGACAATGGGGATGGCACATACACGGTATCCTACCTTCCCGATATGAGCGGCCGGTACACCATTACCATCAAGTATGGCGGTGACGAGATCCCCTACTCGCCCTTCCGCATCCATGCCCTGCCCACTGGGGATGCCAGCAAGTGCCTTGTCACAGGTAGGCACCCACCCCACCTCCCCTGACCACGATCCAGCTCCCCTCACAGCTCTTCCAGGTGCCTGGCAGTCCCTATGGGACTGCTGGTCAGAGGGCCCACCCCCTTCCCTGGTGCTGCAGAGCCTCATTCTCTTCTCTGTTTCCAGTGTCCATTGGAGGCCATGGCTTGGGTGAGTGCCCCTCTTCCTCTCTTCTTGCTGTGTGCTGAGGTGTTGGGGGCAGCTGGGAATGGAGAGGGTCTGGGCATAGCCCCCACGGACCCCTGACCTGTCTTGTGTGTGTGCAGGTGCCTGTCTGGGCCCCCGCATCCAGATCGGGGAGGAGACGGTGATCACGGTGGACGCCAAGGCAGCAGGAAAGGGGAAGGTGACATGCACAGTGTCCACACCTGATGGGGCGGAGCTCGATGTGGACGTGGTTGAGAACCACGATGGTACCTTTGATATCTACTACACAGCGCCCGAGCCGGGCAAGTACGTCATCACCATCCGCTTCGGGGGCGAGCACATCCCCAACAGCCCCTTCCACGTGCTGGTAAGCTCCGTTGCAGCCAGGCTAGCGGGAGGCTGGGAGGTGGGGCTGGCCCCTGAGCAGCAACACCGAATCCCAGGATGCTCCAGAATGAAGCCTTTGCTTTCCTGCCACCTCCACACCTGGGAGGTGAGCACAGCCTGGCTCTGGACCCTCTGGGGGTTGATCAATTCTCTCTGGAGGAACTTGCCCTGTCCCTCTCCGACCCTTAGACCCACTGTCTCCATACATCTCCCCAAGGTGGCCCTGCAGGACGATGAAGCCCTCCAGGGGGTAAATAAAGCTCCCAAGAGACCCATCCTGCCCCCAAGAGAGCCCAGGATTTCGGGTCTGGGGCCGTTCTCTGAGCCGGCTCCTGGTCACTCGAGCTGGCGTGTGTGGCCTGCCACACCATGTGCTCTCCGTGCCTTGCCTCCCAGGCGTGTGACCCCTTGCCCCACGTGGAGGAGCCCTCTGACACGCTGCAGCTGCACCGGCCCAGCGCCTACCCCCCACACTGGGTACTGCTGCCTCCCCCACTGGGCAAGACCTTGCCTTCCTCCTCCATTTCTTCTCTCTGTTCCTCAGGAGCCAGGGCTGGGACATGGTTTGGGGGCCATCGTGGGGAACAGGAGGGAGCTGGGCTGGGCCGGTGGATCCCCAAGCTGGGCACAGCCCCTCTTCTCTCGAAGCTGATGCATCTCTCCTGCTGCACTGGTTTCATCACTAACCATCTTGTTCCTTCCTCACTTTCTCTGACTTCAGTCATGGCTCAGGCCAATCTCCCTCTAGGCCTCCCCCAGCCAATAACTGTCCCTTCCACCTCACAGGCCACAGAGGAGCCAGTGGTGCCTGCTGAGCCAATGGAGTCCATGCTGAGGCCCTTCAACCTAGTCATCCCCTTCACCGTGCAGAAAGGGGAGCTCACAGGTACTGCCTGGGGGCCCTGAGGCAGGAGGGGTCAGAGAGAGGACACCAGCCAGGCCCAGGCCTGTCTGAGATGGAAACTGGGGCCCAGAGAAGGGAAGTGAGCTTCCTGTGCTTACACAGCAAGTTGGGCAGAAACCCAAGCCTTCTGTCTCCCAGTTCATGGTTCATCCTGCTGCGCCAGGCCGTTTCCTGGTGCTGACCTCTGGGGTGGAAGCAGAACCACACGAGAGCAGGCCTGGGACAGCAGGGGGAGTGGAAAACCCGGGGTTCCCCACATAACTGTGTCTGCCCTGCAGGGGAGGTGCGGATGCCCTCCGGGAAGACTGCCCGGCCCAATATCACCGACAACAAGGACGGCACCATCACAGTGAGGTATGCTCCCACTGAGAAAGGCCTGCACCAGATGGGGATCAAGTATGACGGCAACCACATCCCTGGTGAGTCGGGTCGGGCTGGGCTGAGGGGCGCACGGCTACTTCATTCTTGCCTGCCTTTCAACAAACATTGCAGGCACCATGCAAGGCTCTAGGGAGGCAGAAACCTGGTAGGAGGCAGACATCCTTCTGCCGTCAGGCCCCTATGGCAGAGATGTAGGGCTTAGCAGGGAAGTTGCGAGAAGGTGGTGAGGGTCGAGGTGGGCTCAGGCACCCTTGTCCTCACTAGTGACCCAGCCCCCTCTCTGTCCACCCCAGGGAGCCCCCTGCAGTTCTATGTGGATGCCATCAACAGCCGCCATGTCAGTGCCTACGGGCCAGGCCTGAGCCACGGCATGGTCAACAAGCCAGCCACCTTCACCATTGTCACCAAGGATGCTGGGGAAGGTGAGAGGAGCAGCAGGCAGAGGCCTGGGGTGGGGAGCCAACCAGGTGCAGGGCGAGGGCAGGACCTCTGATCTCAGCTCCATTCCTACCTACAGGGGGTCTGTCCCTGGCTGTGGAGGGCCCGTCCAAGGCAGAGATCACCTGCAAGGATAACAAGGATGGCACCTGCACTGTGTCCTACCTGCCCACAGCACCCGGTGATTACAGCATCATCGTGCGCTTCGACGACAAGCACATCCCAGGCAGCCCCTTCACAGCCAAGATCACAGGTGGGGCGGCCACACAGGCACACCCCCAGCACACTGTGATATGCAAGCCCAGCATGCTCAAGTCACCAAGGGCATTAGGGTGGGGACCCCATGAGGTGTAAGAGGTCATTTTTGGATAAATATAAGGAATGCTGTATTCTCTGTAGCAGGTGAGACATATCCAACCACCCACCCATGCTTTGAATACCACCTCATTTAGTCTTTGAAGTAATTTGTGAAGTTAGAGTGTCCATAATCCTTTTTGATAGATGAGGAAACCAGTAGGCCCAGAGAGGCCGAGCAACTTCATTAGGGCCACACAGCAAGGAAGGAGTCTGTGCTGTCTGGTCCAGTGTAGTGTTCCTACAAAGCCACATTACTCAGGATTAAAATCCCATGTAGGATTGAGGCATTCACAGGGCAGGTTAGGTGCTGAGCCCATCTGTAATCTTTGACAGCTAACGTGAATATAGACTCTGTCTCCTAGGCCTTGGGCCTCTCTGCCTGCTAGCAGACCCCAATCTGTTGAGTCTGGTGGGATCTGCCAGGAGGTCCCCTGAGCCCCAAGGGCACACCTGCCTGGAGTCACATTGCCTGACACACCAACTTCTCTACCAGGGGACGACTCAATGAGGACATCACAGCTAAACGTTGGTACCTCCACGGACGTATCCCTCAAGATCACCGAGAGTGACCTGAGCCTGCTAACAGCCAGCATCCGTGCCCCCTCGGGCAATGAGGAGCCCTGCCTGCTGAAGCGCCTGCCCAACCGGCACATTGGTGCGTGTGGGGCTGTGGGGAGGGTCCTCGGGAGGAGGCAGGCCCAAGAGGAGCTGTGGGGACACTCTGCCAGGCCCCAGGCACACCATGCCTGACCCACCCCTCTCCACAGGGATCTCCTTCACCCCCAAGGAGGTTGGGGAGCACGTGGTGAGTGTGCGCAAGAGCGGCAAGCACGTCACCAACAGCCCCTTCCAGATCCTGGTGGGGCCGTCTGAGATCGGGGACGCGAGCAGGGTACGCGTCTGGGGCAAGGGCCTATCCGAGGGACACACCTTCCAGGTGGCAGAGTTCATCGTGGACACTCGTAATGCAGGTGCTTCCCAGAGAACCCTCATTTCAGCTGATGCCGACAACGAGGACATGTCTTTTCCTGCCCAGGGCCCTCCTGGGGATGAACTTCCTGGCCCAGTTTGTATTGGGATTCACATTCTGGGGTCCACCTGGGGGAAAGTGAATGTCCCCTGTCATTTCTCTCACATTTAAGAGAATACTCAGCTGTTCTGCGTTTCTGTCTCTCACTTACTGGAACCCAAGAGACCTACCTTAGAGAATTTTCCAGACTGCCTGATCCTCTGGGTCAGCAGCTGGTTCACTCTAACCCTCGCTGAGCCGTCTTCTGTTAGTAGTTACTGTGCATGTTGGGTGCCCATTCCAGACAGAGCCTGCAGTTTGGAGAGGGGAGAGCAGAGTGGCAGTGGGCAGCAGGGACTGAGGAAGCCATTTCTCTCATTTTGTGCCAGGTTATGGGGGCCTGGGGCTGAGTATTGAAGGCCCTAGCAAGGTGGACATTAATTGTGAGGACATGGAAGATGGCACATGCAAAGTCACCTACTGCCCCACTGAGCCTGGCACCTATATCATCAACATAAAGTTTGCTGACAAGCACGTGCCTGGTAAGACGTGGCTGTGGCTGGGTGGGGAGAGGCCAGGAGGCAGGTAGAGCTGCCTGACCCACCACCCCTTCTCCTGCAGGAAGCCCCTTCACTGTGAAGGTCACGGGTGAGGGCCGCATGAAGGAAAGCATCACCAGGCGCAGACAGGCGCCTTCCATTGCCACCATCGGCAGCACTTGTGACCTCAATCTCAAGATCCCAGGTGTGAGCCAGGAGGAGCTGGGGCAGGGAGGGCGATGGGAGGGCTGGTGGGCCCAGAGCCTACCCCTCAGGCTGTCTGTCCTGCTTGCTCACCCCCTGCTGCCTCCTCCTCCAGGGAACTGGTTCCAGATGGTGTCTGCGCAGGAGCGCCTGACACGCACCTTCACACGGAGCAGCCACACATACACTCGCACAGAGCGCACGGAGATCAGCAAGACACGGGGCGGGGAGACCAAGCGCGAGGTGCGGGTGGAGGAGTCCACCCAGGTTGGCGGAGACCCCTTCCCCGCTGTCTTCGGGGACTTCCTGGGCCGGGAACGCCTGGGCTCCTTTGGCAGCATCACCCGGCAGGAGGGTGAGCAGGGCTAGGGTCCTTGCAGGGAGGCTGGGCCTCCTGTCCTCTGCAACAGGACAGGGTGGGGAGGGTACAGCCAGCCAGCCAGGGCTGGTGTGAGTGTAGGCGAGGGTTTTACGGAAGAGGGAGGCAATGTCTGGGGAGGCCAGGAGCAGCCCAGAATGGCCCTGACAATTTGTCCCCTGCAGGTGAGGCCAGCTCTCAGGACATGACTGCACAGGTGACTAGCCCATCAGGCAAGATGGAAGCTGCAGAGATCGTCGAGGGGGAGAACAGTGCATACAGTGTGCGCTTTGTGCCCCAGGAGATGGGGCCCCATACTGTCACTGTCAAGTACCGTGGCCAGCATGTGCCTGGCAGCCCCTTTCAATTCACTGTGGGGCCACTGGGTGAAGGCGGTGCTCATAAGGTGCGGGCCGGAGGTACAGGGCTGGAGCGAGGTGTGGCCGGAGTGCCAGGTGAGGGGCAGGTGGCCACGACTGGGTGTGGGAGCAAGGCAGCCAGCCAGATGGGCAGTGGTACTAAAGAGCCACCCCTGCCCTGCTTCCCTGTCCCCAGCTGAGTTTAGCATCTGGACCCGAGAAGCCGGTGCTGGGGGTCTGTCTATTGCTGTGGAGGGTCCAAGCAAGGCAGAGATTGCATTTGAGGATCGAAAAGATGGCTCCTGTGGGGTCTCCTACGTGGTCCAGGAACCAGGTGGGTGTCTGAGATGGGGGTGGAGCCTGGGCCTGCCTGACCTTCCCAAGTATCTGCTCATTAACCAGGCAGGAGGTGGTTGGGGCTACAGAACTCCCCCTTCACCAGGGCCCCTGCTCTTTCTCTGCCCCGTCTCCTCTACCCTGCACCCCTGGGGATGCCTATCTGTCTCCAGACCTGAGCCCTGAACCAAGTAGCCTGCCCTGGGGTGAGGTGGGGAGGTTCCACCCTCGCTGTCCCATCCTGGGGCCTATGCTGACTGGCCTTCCCTCCCCAGGTGATTATGAAGTCTCCATCAAGTTCAACGACGAGCACATACCAGACAGCCCCTTTGTGGTGCCTGTGGCCTCCCTCTCAGATGATGCTCGCCGCCTCACTGTCACCAGCCTCCAGGTGTGTGTCCAGGTGTGGGGCCCCTCTGCCACCCTGAGAGGCAGGAGTGGAGGATGGCATGCCCATGTAGCCAGAACTAGGCCGTGACCTTGGGAAGGCCAGTCAGATGTTCTCTCCCCCAGTGTCAGGAACAGTAAATGCCCCCTGCTGGCTGCCCATTGTCAACCTCAGAGCCCTCTCCTTTCACCCTCACTCTCAGACTGGGCACCATCCCCCATGCCCAAATTCCTCTTCACCTCCCTGTGCTCATTCCTCCGCACTGGCCCACCTCCTCCAAAGAGCCACTCCCAGCCCCAGGCAGGTACAGGCCACACTCCTTTTTCTTCACCCAACTACCGAGTGCCTGCGGTCCCCACAGCACTGTCAAGCACTGGCCCCCTCTGCCGTGTCTGGGTCTGACCTCCTCAGCCAGCACGGCCTGGAGGGCCCACCTCCTGGCAGGTAACTGCTGAGGCCTCAGCCCCGGCCCCTGCCTCCCACCTCCCAGGGCCTCACTGGCCTCCCGAGCTGGGCCAGGCTTGGGGTGAGAGGTGGGAGCATCTGAGCTGGGTGATCAGGGAGGACGGCATTAGGCTGCAGAGGGAGCTGCAAGCCTGAGCACCCTGTGGCCCCCCACAGGAGACGGGGCTCAAGGTGAACCAGCCGGCGTCCTTTGCGGTGCAGCTGAATGGCGCTCGGGGTGTGATCGATGCTAGGGTGCACACACCCTCGGGTGCGGTGGAGGAGTGCTACGTCTCTGAGCTGGACAGCGGTGAGCTGGCCCTGCCCCGGCCCCCCGTGCCAGACCAGAACCTTCTGGGGAGGACAAAGGCTTACTTACCAACTCTCTGCTCCATAGACAAGCACACCATCCGCTTCATCCCCCACGAGAATGGAGTCCACTCCATCGATGTCAAATTCAACGGTGCCCACATCCCTGGCAGTCCCTTCAAGATCCGCGTTGGGGAACAAAGCCAGGCTGGGGACCCAGGCTTGGTGTCAGCCTATGGTCCTGGGCTTGAGGGGGGCACGACTGGTGAGTGCCTGGGGCTGGGGAGGAGAAGTAGATCTTGGGGGTGCTCAGCCTCTAGCCCAGAGGCAGGGGCAGTGCTAATGAGCCCTGAATCCTCACAGAGGCCTGCTCTGGGAGTCCCAGACCTTCTTGCCTATAGCCTTGCTACCTCTGGCCCCCAGGTGTGTCAGCAGAGTTTATTGTCAACACCCTGAACGCGGGCTCAGGGGCTTTGTCTGTCACCATTGACGGCCCCTCCAAGGTGCAGCTGGACTGTCGGGAGTGTCCTGAGGGCCACGTGGTCACTTACACTCCCATGGCCCCTGGCAACTACCTCATTGCCATCAAGTATGGTGGCCCCCAGCACATCGTGGGCAGCCCCTTCAAGGCCAAAGTCACAGGTGAGTGCCCCAGGTTGGGGGAGGTCCCTCCAGCCCCGTCTGCGGCCCAGGCCAGCCCAGCCTGGATGGCTCCACAGTCATTCATATCCAGATCACAGTCTGCCCCAGATACCATGGGCAAGTTACAGTAATAAAATGGACCTGGCTGCCTTCCTCTCCAGGTACCAACAGCATACCATTCTGTGGAGTCATGTACAATCGTTTTCAAAAATCAAAGTCGCCTTCTCCTTTGTTGTCCAGCGCTTATCTTTTCCCTGCAATGGCTCCCCCAGCTTTAGTTTAACTTCCTGCCCTCCTGGCTTCCTGCATTACTGGCTTCCAAGACAGAGCTCAGTAAATATTTAGCAAGCTTTCCTTTGGGAAGCTGTGTGAAGGATTAACTGGATACGTGTTCCTTTTTAAAGCAAGATGTGTACCCTGTGACTTGAGTTCCCAGACAAAGCCTTAGAAGGATGGGGGATGGAGCCATTAGAGGCCTGAAACCTCAGGATAGGCCTGACCTGGGGCCCAGAGCCTGGGCTCATTTGGCTGGGATACCACAGCCAGAGGAGTATGGCCCGGGACCTCTAGTGTCACCCAAGGGCCTGCTGCCCAGGGAGGGGCAGGTCTCTGACCCAGCTTGTGGCCACCCTACTCTGCCCCTCAGGTCCTCGGCTATCTGGAGGCCACAGCCTTCATGAAACATCCACGGTTCTGGTAGAGACTGTGACCAAGTCGTCCTCAAGCCGGGGCTCCAGCTATAGCTCCGTCCCCAAGTTCTCCTCGGATGCTAGCAAGGTGGTGACCCGCGGCCCTGGGCTGTCCCAGGCATTTGTGGGCCAGAAGAACTCCTTCACCGTGGACTGCAGCAAAGCAGGCATGCTGGGGGCAGGGCGGCACATGTGCACAAGAACCCAGGGCAGGGGGTGCGGGGGGCCTCAGGAGCCTGGTGTGAGCTTCCCCTCTCTGCCTTCCTCTCCAGGTACCAACATGATGATGGTGGGCGTGCATGGGCCCAAGACCCCCTGTGAGGAGGTGTATGTGAAGCACATGGGGAACCGGGTGTACAACGTCACCTACACTGTCAAGGAGAAAGGGGACTACATCCTCATCGTCAAGTGGGGTGACGAGAGTGTCCCTGGAAGCCCCTTCAAAGTCAATGTGCCCTGAATCCTAGAAATGCCTCCCCCAGCCTCGGCCCCGCCTCTGGCCAAACACACTCACACACACACAAATGTACCATACCCAGATGCACGCGCAGAATTTTGACACCACAAACACGTGCCTTGGGGTGTGAAACGAATGGCATGGCCACCCCCACCCTACCATGCCCCCAGGGCTTGGAGGGCCTTGTCTGTCTCAGGACAGTGTCCCTCCCATCAAATGTGACATGATGGCAGACTGGGGGTTGGGAAGGGCCAGGGAAGCCCTGAGTTTTCTGCTGGGACTGAAGCCAGCGGGGGAGCATGTGTTTGGGATGTCTGCGTGTGTGAGGGAGGTTACCCTCAAACCATACTGTTGGCCAGCCCTCCTTGCTGCGAAGGACTGCATCTGGCCCCTCTGGTGGCCACGGCTCCTGAGTGTTAAGGACTTGGAAAAGAAAGCACAATCAGAGGAGAAAGAGACCCAGAACCAGTGGCAGCATTGGCACGTGTCCTGGTCAGGGCAATTTATAGCTGCCCTCGCCAGGCTTCCTGCGGGACTGATTTCTCTCTCTCTTTTTTTTTTATGGTTGCACAGCTCTGCCCCATGGGGGGCCTTTTTTACACACTGCAAGGCCCAGCTTTCTGGGGGGACTTTTGCACATGTCATGCAGCTCTGCTAGGAGCTGCTTAGGTGGAAAACTCCAAATAAAGTGTGGCCTGTCGCAGAGGCTTGACTATTCCTTGCGTGTGTGTTCTCCATGGCTGGTCTGTTGACACTGAATCAGGCCCTGGGGAAGCAGAGGCTGCCTGGCTGGCTGTCGCTGGAGGACTGATCCAGGCCAGGGGGGAGGGCCTGTGGCAGGCAGCCACCCCACTAGGCCATCTATTTGGTAAGGCCTGGGATCTTGACGGCATGTTTGAAAAAACCAGGAGGGTAGGACTCAAAATTTGGGATTGGTTCTCAGATACCTGGAGACCTGATGGGTGGGAAAAGGAGGTAGACATTATGTTCTAGAAGATGGCCCTAAGACCACTGGGCAGGTCAGCTTCCATTCAGCCTGATCTCAAGAATGTTCTCAAATTAGGACCTTGAAAGAGTGAGCACTCCTCAACCAGCAGGGGGCGGCAGAACCACATGCAAACACAAGAACCTTCACTCAGGTCAGTTCCAGAGTCAAATAATGGGCCTGCTCCCTCCCCATGTTCAGGTCAGGGCCTGACCTTGCTCAGGGCCTCCCTCTCAAACCGGTCCCCTCACTTAAGGCCCTCCAGGCCACTCTCTCAAACCTGCCCTCCATACTGCAGCCAGAGGGTGTCATGTTAAAGGGATGATTCTCCTCTCCGGTCAGCGCCATTCTGTGGCTCCCAACTGCTCCAAGCTAACACACTAACTCTTTCTAACTAGGTCTCTAGATTCAGACAGAAGCTTCTCCACTTGTTCATTCAAGAATCCCCCCGAGTCAGGCAGTGTACCCACTCCCCACCACAACCTCCACCTGCAAATCTTCTTCATTGCCTCTAGTTTCCCAGCACCTGGGCTGCAATTTGGGTCAGTGCCCAGGAACATCCTGGCCTCTCTACCCTCCTCATCTTCCTGGCCAACAGGAAGCCTCCTAGACTCCTTCAGCAACCAAGTCCCAAATTGCCTGAGGCATATCTCTGACTGCACTGACTACCCTAATCTGTGACCACATATTCATAGGCCAGCCTCCCCTGCCAGACTGAGCTCTGTGGCCCTGAGAGGTCCTATATGGACAGGTGTGACTAGTGAAAACGTGAATGAGCAACTTAGTAGCCAGAGCAGGGCAAAGATGGTTTCACTCAGTTGATTCCCTAACTCCAGACCTGACCCAGACATTTCAGGACATGGTGGTGGCTGGGCCAGAGAAGACCCAGCTCTGAGTCCCCCTCCTCCCCTCTTCACTCAATAGCCTACCTGTCTCCTCGCTCCTTCTTAAGCTTCTTCTTGCTCTTCCCACTCCTTGCTCTGAATTCAGCCCCCTCAGGACTCCCAGGGTCTCTCTTTACTATATGTCTGCTCAAGGCCATCAATCATATTTTATCAATCTTGTGTCTTCAGCCTCTTCATGGTCACATTTGATAAATGCTGGTTGAATCAGAGTGATGAATGTGGTGCTGTCCCAGCTCCTTACTTTACTTGATAAACAAACCCACTGAAGGTGGGATCCATTCTCTTAAGTACCCAACAACTCATGGCCATTGAGGGACAATTCTGTGCCAGGTGCTTCCACACACCCTCATGGTCTGCCCTCCCTCCTCCACCCCCAGATGTGAGCCTTTTCCTGGATGGTTTGCTGCCCACCTTCTCAGCTTCAGCTGCCCTCCACCTGTGTGTTAACATGTTTACAGACATCCAGCCCAGCTGCTCTCCCCCAAACACAGTGTGGCCCTGGATGCTGAACATTTAAGGGCTCTAGCTCACTTCATCCTAATAGCCCTATGAGGCAGGCATACTATTATCTGAAGAGACCAAGGCCCTGAGAATTTTGGTGATAAGTCCAAAATCATACCTCTAAGGAATAGGGCCAAGATTGAAGATGAGACATGCCCAAATCCCAAGCCTATCATACAGATGACCACCAGACCATTTGGGTGTCTAAAGCACACTAAACTTTGAAATCACATGCCAAATGCCAGGATGCCTGTTTGTTAAAAGGGAAAAGGAAAGAGTGGACTTTTCCCCTTCAAGCTGTTTGTCTCAGAGTTCACTCTCTCAGAAATGTTACTCGTATACACCCAGCTGCAATGGCCAGAAACCTGGAAGTCACCTGGGTTTCTCTGTCTCACACCCCAAACACAGCCAATCCAAAACCCAGCTTTGTCCATTCTGTCTCTAAACATCTCCTGACTCCATTCATTTCCCCACATTCCCATTATCACCACCTGAGTTCTGGCCACCATTATCTCTTACCACAATGGTTTCTCCTGCAGTCTACCCTCTGCACACAGAACCCTGACAGTGCTATCTCTAGAACATGTACCTGGCGATGTTCTCTTGCTTAAAATTCTTCAATGGCTTCTGTGATAACTTCGTCCTCAGGATAACTTCCGGATTCTTTTAACTTTTCTGGAAGGCTCTTTTGCTCTTTAGTCACTAAGTCTTTGCACATGCTGTTCCTCTTGTCTACAGCACCCTCCTGTCCTCATTTCTATCTCCTGCATCCTGCTGGTAACCGTCTTTGAGCGACCCCTCCTCCCCGTGGGTTAGTAACCTCTGAGGTGGGCTACCATGTACTTTCCACATTTTAGCAAGTAAAACGCCGCTTTGTAATTGCCTGTTCACTTGACTCTACCTCACTAGTTAATATCATCAGTAACTTGTTCACTCCTGTATTGAACAAATATGTACTAATTAACTATAAGCCAAAGTTAAATACTTAAATGCACAATACAGGCCCGACCTTGACCTCGAGAACAGACACTATAGTATCTCTTCTTTGTGGTCTCAGTATCTAAGAGCAGGGGGCTCAACTGGCTTGTCGAACGCTCCAGCGAGAGCCCGTGGTGCCGCGCAGACTTCTGGGAGTCGTAGTCCCAGTTTCGGACATCTCTTTATGGCGCATGCGTAATCAGATTGAGGCAGTTTTCTATTAATGCGCATGTTCCGGGTGGGAGTGGTGGAACTGCGCATGTCTAAAGGGTGGCTGAGGGGTGCGATAGAAAAAGACCACTCACTGCGGAGGCGGGGCTTCGGCGAATTCAGGTGATCCGCACTGAGCTGTTCCCGGCTGCAGCGATGGCGGGGAGAGGGAAGCTAATTGCGGTGATCGGAGACGAGGACACGGTGACTGGCTTCCTGCTGGGTGGCATAGGGGAGCTTAATAAGAATCGCCACCCTAATTTCCTGGTGGTGGAGAAGGATACAACCATCAATGAGATCGAAGACACTTTCCGGTACGGTATCCCGAAGGCCTGAACGGGACCCTGTGCTGCCTGGTTGGGAGCGCGGGGAGACGGCGGGCGGGGCCCGCGCTGAGCTTCCAGACCTTGCTGGCCAAAGTGTCAGACCCGGGCCTAGAGAGTCAAGGAAGTGGGTCAGCCCACCTTTCTGGAGCGTAGGCCTCCGCCCCATGTTCTCTTTTGGGGCTCGGTGGGACCGCGGCTGTGTCAGGCCCACGAGCTTTCCCCTCATATGACCATGTGTCAGGAAAGAAAAGGAACAGAGCTCGTGACGGGCGCCGCCCCTAGGCCCAACCTGCCCACCGCAGTTGAGCGTCCAGAGCGCCCAAAGCGCCCAGCCCCTAGAGGGGGCCCGTCTCTATCTTCTTCAGTTCACCTGTAAAGCAGGCTCCGAGCCTGGCAGGCAAGCAGTTGCTCCTTTTCACAAGTGCCGCGTAAAGGAACCACACACGCAGTGATAGATAGCTAGGCAGAGAGATTGGGTTTCTATTTACATCTACTTTAGAGGCTCACAGTTCTTCTGTAAGGTCAGGGATATTCCACTTACAGGTGAGAAAACTAAAGTTCAGAGACGTTGAGGAAGGCATGTACCAAAGGCATAGCATTCGGAAGAGGTGGAGTGGGGATTTGAACCCAGGCCCAGCCCTTTCTGCCTCTCGTGAGGCAGGTCCATGCTCTGCCGGTGGGGCTCTTCTCAGTCTCCCTTGGAATGTCCCATTGTCCTGAGCACAGTGGGCAGAATATTAGGATTGTGTCCTACCTTTGCTAAGACCTTAACATTTGAGGTTCTCATTTCGTGCCCAGGGTCAAGAGTGATGGCTTCAAAGTGGGTGCAAGCATGTCCCTCAATCCAGGGGGTGTCCTGGTGACTTGAATTGAGGATGCAGTCCCCTACTTTTTCCCACACCCCTTCTCTAGGGCCCCTGTTGCCAACTCTTAGACCACTCTGAACCTGTTTCCCTCTAACCAGTCCAGCTCTGAGCTACTGGCTGAGATTGGTTTCTGCTGCCTGGGGTTTAATAGGCCCTGAACTGGAAGGCTGATCTCTGGGCTGATCTCCAGGCAATCTAGTAAAGTGAACTAAGTTGTCATTGGAGGACAGATTTTACTCCAGACTTTTCCATTTTTTGGTTTTCAGCCAAAAAGGATCTCAGAGTTCATCAAGTCTAGCCTACCCTAGTGCCTGGTACAGAGCAGGTGCTCAGTAAATAGTTTTTAATGAATAAACAAATAATGAATGGTTGGGTGATCACAAGAAAGGAAGATCCCAGTGCCAGGCCCTCTCTCTGCATTAAGTAAGATTTTCTTCTTCCTATGTTGTGCTCTTGGCTCATGACAAACTTCCCCTGTGATCCATCCTCCATCCTTACCAGCATAGACCTGGAGACGTTTAGTGGTCTCATCAGCCCTTTTAAATTTTTTAAAATTTGTTTCCCTTTGAAAAGTTAGTGTATTCATGTGGTTTGTAAATTAATGTTTAAAAGATGTACACATTGAGAAGTTTCTCTGCCACCCCATCTTCCGCTTCATTACCTCCCTCTTCCATCCTATAGCCACTTATCTTTCTGCTTTTTTTTAATGCACATACAAAGGGACAGACATGTATTCTCACTCTCTCCCTTTCTTACACAAGACAGTGTACAGGGCACACTGGCATGTACCTAATCTTCATTCCTAGTTCACTCGGAAGCTTTCTAAGCAGGGGTGGTAGAAGCCAACCCTGAGAGCCCTAGCCCTCAGCTTTTGAATGAACTTGATTCTGGTTAGAATGGAGGAAGTCTAATGTAACAACCTTTTCCCTTATCTTCTTCACCTCTGGGTCAAAACAGTTCCCTTCTGTGGCCCAGCCTCACCACCTCAGAATGGGCTGCCCTGGACTGTCTTCTGTCTCCCAACAGGCAGTTTCTAAACCGGGACGACATCGGCATCATTCTCATCAACCAGTACATCGCTGAGATGGTGCGGCATGCACTCGACGCCCATCAGCGCTCCATTCCTGCTGTTCTGGAGATCCCATCTAAGGAGCACCCTTATGACGCTGCCAAGGACTCCATCCTGCGCAGGGCCAGGGGCATGTTCACTGCCGAAGACCTGCACTAGGGAGCTCCGCACAGCCCTGCAGCCTCTCCCCAGGCAGCCATCAGCCCTTCCCTTAATTTTTGAGCCTCTGATTTCCAATTACCTGTCCCTTCTCACAACATTGAGAGGCTAGGTGAGGTGCTTCCAGGTGGTTGGGGCTCTGCCATTAAAATCAAGGCTGGTTAGGGAACAGGAAGCCTGTGTGTCTTCTCTCTCCACTACCTCTTCCGTGTGCTGTTACACAGTGTCATTGTTGATGTTAAATTAAAGTGATGAATTTGCTCCTCTCTAAACTGAGGCTGAGTGCTAGACAGGACATGTGTGGATGAGGCTGTTGGGGGATTAGATTGTCAGGGCTAGAAAAGGTTCTGCCAATGGCCCAGACACAGAAGAGTTGGACCACAAAGATTGTGCCAAGAGGTCACAACTCAAGGACTGGTTCCCTGAATAAGAGATGACCAGCTCTGGCTGGGAGGAATGGAAGGCAGTTTGTGCCCAAACCCCTCGCTCACCTACTTCAGGCTGCACTGGGCTGGGAGGGGACCTGACCGCAAGGGGTGGGAGCAGAAACACACAAAAAACCTGGGAACCTGTGATACTAGACCGAGCCTGGGTTCTGCAAGAGGTCTAGGGATCAAGGCTTTTGGCCAGTGGGCCCTGGCCTGAGGCCACCTCAGTAAACAAGTCTGTGAGGTCTGCTGAGGGCTAGGCAAGTAGAACCCTGGCCCTGTGTGAGGTGAGGCTTGGTTGCCAGGTGACTGTCCCTGGGCAGCCACCTGCTGTCAGATTCTACTTGCTGTGCTTGCCCCTTGACTGCAGCCACTCTGGTACCACTCTTTCCCTTGCCACTATGTCACGGCAACTCAATATGGACACACTACGGCAGAACTTCTGGAAGGAGGAATATCTGAGGGAGAAGATGTTGTACTGTGAATGGCACCGCAAGTATGGGTCCATGGTGAAGGCCAAGCAGAAGGCTAAGGCTACAGCCCGCCTGCCCCTCAAACTGCCCACTCTGCACCCCAAAGCTGCACTCTCACCTCCACCTGCACCCAAAGCAATTCCCTTAAAGGCTCCCAGCCCTGGCCTGGAGGCGCCTATTCAGTCAGAAATGTACCCAGTGCTGCCTTCCATCCGGGCTCTGCTGTATGACGGCATCTCCCATGACCTCCAGGGGCGCTACCACTACCTCAACACCCGAAAACTGGACTTGCCAGAGAAGCGTTACCTCTTCCCCATCACCACCAACTTCACATATGGCTGGCAGCTGGGTGAGCCCCAACCTCCCATAAGTTATTCACCTCACAAACATAGTGCCTGTCACCAGCTAGATGGCGCCCTCGGCACTAGGCCCACGAGACATACGGATGCTCCTTTAAGGGGGCATCTGGGCCATAAGCATGAAGGAAATGTCCAAGGGACAAGTTCCCTGCTGAGACTAGGGAGTGATGAGGGAGGACAGGAGCCTGTGCCGCTTGGGGTTGTCAGGTTCTCAGGGCCTGAACCTGAAAACTAAGAGACAAAAAGGACTTTAGATTTTACTGTAAGTGCAAGGGGAGGCCATGGGGGGCTTTAAGCAGGTGGATGACACTGATTTCCTCACTCTGACTCTTCAGTAAGGGTGTTTTCAGGGGAAAGAGTTGGCACTGGCATATGAGTGAGGCATATATTTTGAGTTATCCTGGCAAGGGAGGCGGATGGCTTGGGAAGAGGCAGAAGTAGATCTGAATAGATCCAGGATATGTTTTGGAGGAAGAATCCATGGAACTGACTGATGGGTTGAAGTTGAAAAAAAAAGCAGTGGCAACACCAGGGTGTTTGGCTGGTGCAGCTGGACAGGGAAACGGGAGAGGAGCAGGGCGGGAGTGTGTGTGTAGACAGGCTCCGTGGCCTTGTTGCGCTGGAGGTGTCAGTGTATGAAGTTGCCCTCTGGAGCCCGGCCAGAGAGCCAAAGACACAAATTTGGAGGTCAGCAGAATGTAGGTGCTATTCAAGCCTCTGAGACTGAGCTCACCAGGTACCCCAGATAGAGAGGAGCAGAGGCACTTGTGTAGTCTGAGGTGTAGTGCTGAGATGCAGTGTTGAAGTGTGGGAAAGAGAACATGAACGGGAGTGTTGTGCTGCAGGACCGCTGGGCGATGCTGTGTCCTGTTGCTACCTGCGGTTGTGACTTTCAAGTGAGACTACTCAGTCATGTGTTTTTCTCTGCAGGCTGGAGAAAAGGTGGATGGTAGGGGATAAACACAGTTGAGGTTTTGCCTGAAAATGTCCCCACTTTCCCCAGGGCCCCAAAGGGAAGAAGTTTCCAGCAAGAGCAGGAGGCAAGCCCCAGAAGGGGAGCAGGACATAGAAGGAAGCTCCATTTCTCCCAAAGAAGTTCTGTCGGTCCTTGTGACAAGCAGAGCTGGGTGTCCCACCACGTGCCTGTGTGGAGGCGCCTGAGGCTGGGGTAAAAATGGCACACGGCTGACCAGCGTTCTGCTCGCACTGCCGCTCTGAGCACCCAGCCAGCTCCATTTTCCCATAGCCCCCACTCCTCAGAAGCACTTTTTATTTCTTCACACTTACAAACTGGATAGATTACAGCAGATTCCTAGGACCACGCAAGCAGGGGCCTTGCTCTGGGAGTTCCTCTAGCAGAAACCCATTGCTGGCCTCTGACATCTTTTCCCAGGACCCCCAGAGAAGCAAGAACTAGTCTTCTGCAAGATGTGCCGCACTGAATCGTTTTTCCGCAAGAACGGGGTTTTCGCGCTGCTTGACTCTCAAGACCTGGCCCTCTGACCCTCTGGCTGTGGTCCAGGCAATAGCCTTGCTGGAGGAAAGAAGAAATAGCATGCCTTCTGGCAGGGTGAAGTTACTGTGTGTGTCTGTGTGTCTGGCCCTCCTGGGCCCTAAGGCAGCATACTGGGCCTTTCTGAAACTATCTCTGACCTGCACTTGCAGGTTGCCAGTTTTTTCCTTAACTCCCATCTCCAACCATCCCTTTAGGATTCAGCAGTGACTAGGCGGGGCTGGTAAGGGCAGGCCAGCGCTACTCTCCAGCAAAGGATCCTCAGCACCGTGAGGCCACAGCAGCTGCTGAAACTGGGTGTTCCTGAGGAGAGAGTGGCCTGTCATCCCAGATGCCAGGGAAAGGGTACCACCGCCACCCCACAAGCTTCTCCGTCCTCCCTTCACCTAGCCCCGAGGGCCCGCTGCCGGCCGTCCTCTCCCGGAGCATCTGGCAGAGCTGCTCGCGCAGTGTGCGCCGCTGTGTCCCCGCGTGCTCTTGGGACGGTGCTAAGGGCTGGATGGGGCCAGCAGGGGGCAGTGCCCGGACAGGCCCGCCCCACCCGCCCTCGGTAGTTGCGAGTCCAAGGGCGTGATGCACGCACTTGGAAGGGACCGAGGTATTGCCCAGCTCAGTCCCCTGCCTGGGCAGGATAGTTGTAGTCCCACCGCCTTCCCTTGGGGGGCTTCCCTGTAGCGGAAGCTGAGCTGGGCCGTGTAGGGGCCCCAGGGAATGCACCCGGCACTGGCGGTTCCTGGAGAAGTGCAGGCGTTCCAGGACCTGGAGGGGGCGGGGGCGGCTGTCAGCGGCCGGCCGCCCCTCGGTGTCCCGCCTGCGCGCTGGCCGGCCCGGCGCGGGCACACACCCGGAGCCGCTGCTGCTCTCGGTCCTGCTGCCGTCGGCGCCGGGCTTCGCCGCGCAGTGTCCTGCTGCACCGCGCTCACGCCCGCAGACGCCTTCTCCTTGCCCGGGGACTTAGGGCGCCCAGCGCTGCCTCTCGGCTCCCCGCTCCCGGGGAGCCGCCCACCTCCTGCTGCACCGGGGGATCGCGCACCAGCCCTGGGTATTCCTGGAGAGCTGCTGGGCGCTCTTGCTCCAGTGCTCAGCGCCGCCAGCATCACGGCTCCAAGGACCTGGAGCCGCGGCTGGGGTGGAAGGGGAGCCTGCGTCCCTTCCTGGGCTACTCTCTGCTCTCCCTCGGCCGCTGCCGCCTTGGTCTCTGGCTCTCTGTCTTGCCCTGCATCAGCTGGGTGGTCTTTCCTCGGGGGCTGGGGCTCGCTCTTTCCGCAGGCTGCAGTACCTGTTCTCCCAGGGACCTGCAGAAGTGCCTCGGAATTCCCAGGGGGCCGCCTTCTTCCAGAGGCAGTGCAGGCGCCTCTCCCTGAGCCACCTCCCAGGCTTGTGAAACACTGCTTCTGGAAGACTCGACCATCTTTGCTTCCAGGCCCTGAGGAGTCTCCTTACTTGACTCCTGCAGGCCCTCCTTTCTCTGGCATTCAGGGCTATTTTCTTTTTGACCTTGAAGATCTTTGTTCTCACTCTGGGAGGCCTCCCACCTCTCCCATCTCTCCTCTCTAAAAGCCTGCGGAGGCTCCCCACTCTGACCCTGACTCCAAGGAACTTCTTTGTTTTACCCCTGGAGGGCTCCCCTGCTCTGACCCTGGGGGGTCTCTTCTTTCTGCTCCTGTGGGTCCTCCTCTCTCGGACTCTGAGGCATTTCAAAACTCAGCATTTTCTGAAGCTCTGCCCTCTCCTGGCCCAGGCTCCAGCGAGCGCAGCCCCTCAGGGGGATCTTGGGGTTCTGGCAGGCCCTGGGAGGGCAGACCTGAGGGCTCTGGGGCCCTCTGAGCAAGCTTTCTCCCCCGATGGCTCCCGGATGGCGGTTGAGGGTACCTCTGGGTCATGGGTTCTGCCCTCTCTCCCCTCTGGGCCAGGTCCTGGGAAGGAAGAACTCTTTAGGCCCTGGCTGATGAGGGAAGCCCCATGCCAGGGCCACCTCCCCCAGGGGAGCCTGTGGACCCCAGTGGCTGCTCCAGTGGGCCTCACTCCCATTAGGGCCCTTGCCTGATTGCTGAATTCATTAAGCCCACTGTGTGTAGTGTAAAAGGTGCTTCAGTGAAGGTCCCTTCTCCCCCAGCCCCCCAGATAAAGAAGGTGGCTTCCACCTCACCCCAGCAGCCGCCTCCCTGCTATGCCCAATCTGAGATGGCCCTTGCCCAGGATGCTTTGACCCTTTCACCTTGAACTCAGAGCTTCCTGGGTCCCCAAAGCTACTGCTGGTAGTGGAGTTCAGTTCTTGGGGGCAACCTTAGGGAGAAAGACCAATGTAGGAGCACTCCGCTTTCATCCCAACCCCTCACACACATGCAGCTAAACTGGAACCAAGAAACCTAGGCAGTACCCAGCACATAAGGGGAGGCGGACAGCCTGAGGGCTGATGTTTGAACCTCAAGGCTGTCAGAGTTCATCAGTCACCCTTTATTTGCACAGCCTTCTGTGTGCTCCTTGTTAGGTGTGCCTGCCAACAGCTGACCCCACCTTCCTCATCCTCCCAGAGCGGACCACCTCAGAGGAACCTGCACACCCTCATGAAAGCCACCAGGGGGTGCCTGGGAGCAGAAAGGCCTGCTTGCCAGGCTTACCAGTCCCTTAAGGACACCTCCACCTCACCCTGGTGTGCCCATCCAGGCCCATAAAGAAACCCACTGTATGAACCTTACTTTACTACTCTTAAGGAAAATCTTCTTTAACTCTTTTCTTGGCTTCTGACAGGAAAATCAAACAAAATTCAAGAAATGAAATTTTAGGCTGGAGCCTGGCCTAAAAACTGAAAGTCCTCATAATTAACACAAGGAATCTCTCCTAAAAAGAGATGTCGCTGCTCCCTTGCAGCTGTGGAGGAAGGAGAGTCGTTGTGCATCTATAAAACTAGTTAAAAGAACTTGATTTCATAAGATCTTAAGTTAAAAACTTTCATAAGAATAGTTCCTCTTTATGCAGTATGGTCATGTGACTATTCATACCAGTAACCAAATGGGTATGTTCTCTGTGAAATGTCTTTTGAAGAATTTTTGAACGACGGAGTCTGATAAGACTCCCAACCTTTAGAAATTATTGCCATGAACTGTGACAATATCTCCAGCCTCCACCTCCCATAATTCTTATCTGTGGTCTTACTAGATAATTTATTTCTCTGGAATTTGCTTGTAAAAATTTCTCTGTCAATAAGAAGACAAGCATTGTCACTTTCCTCTTCTCTCACATGCACGATGGAACAATAAAAAGTGTGTGGCTTTGCTAGGTGCATTATTTAACAAATAATTTGAGAATCCGTTTCATTTAAATTAACAGGCCCAGGGTTCACAGTGTCCATCCCACTGAGTTCTGATAGCCTGTTTGATGTCATGCTCTCACTAGACTGTGGTCTCCTCAGAGGTGGGGACCAAGTGATGGGGCCAAGTGTCTTGTCCCCAGTGCCTGTCTTGAGCGTGGCAAATAGGCAGCAGGAGCTGCTATTCTATTCCCTCCTCCCGGGGCAGCCAGGGACGGTCATTCCCAGCACTCTCTCCCTTGAGTCCCAGCTTCGCTTCAGAATCTTCCTGGACACAGTGCCTGAGACAGCTGGTTCCAGTCAGGTAGAATTAGCACATAAAATAACACCTACTTGTTAGGTGTCCCTGGCACCCAACAGAAAGGTCTGAGATGAAGAGTGAGTGAGGAGTGGACTGGGGTCCTGGGACTTGGGGTGAGGCCTTCCCTACCTGCTCTCCATCTGGTCTGGCCACCCAGTGTAGTGGCACCTGCTGTCCTGGCTGACCAACCTCTCATCAACATACCAGGTGTGGGCTCTGCAGGCACTCCACGGCTCTCCCAGCGTGGTTCCGTGTCACTCTCAGCTTCACCCTGATCTGGGGCTGACAATGGGCCCACTGATTGCCCCCTGCAGGAGTGCAAAGGCTGCCTCAGATACACCTTTTGAAGCCTGTGGGCTCTGGAAGCAGCAGGCAGCCTGGCTGCCAGTCTCCCCACCCCAATGCTCTAACTCAGCCCATGGCAGCCTCTCCCAGCCAATGCACCCACCACTGGGTCCTGCAGGTTGGAACTCAGGGGTTTCCCTTCCCTGGGGCTGTGGGGCAACCATATGCATGCAATTGAGGGCCTCTAGGAGGAGCCTGGGGCATGAGGAAGAGGTGCTAGGCAGGGTTGTGGAAGGAGACAGGGAAAAGGAGTCAATGCTTGGTCCCTTTGTGTGGCCACACAGAGTGGACAGAATTCCCTGGGAGCAAGATTCACCCCTCTGGGAGCTGATGGTTCTGGCTCAACAAGTCACCAGCCTGGGACAGTGGGGACACCCTGGAAGTCTGGAATGGTTGCAGTGGGGGGTGCCCTGGCCCATAGACCATCATTCCCCAGTGTGGCAGGCAGCCTCTGTGATGGCCCCAGTGACCCAGCCTGTGACCCCGCCCCTTGCTATCCATGCCCTTGTGTGACCCCCTCCTCTTTCCTCCCTGTGAAGGGAACATGGATCTCTCCTGCCCACTCGATGCCCTCCTGCCCTTCAGATGAGACTGCAGTCCTAGCCAAGAGTGTCAGCTGGACAGTTCCTTAGTGGTCACCATTATCACCCTCTCCTGCTACAGCCGAGGATGCCTCAGCCCAGAGAGGGCTACCAACTTGCCCAAAGTGCTCAGGCAGTTGGTGGCTGAGCTGGGACTGGGAGGCACAGTCCTAGTTCCCAGTCACCACAGCACCTCCTGCCTGGGGGGCTCAGCTCAGCCACCAGCCCAGGAGAAAGGAGCCTTTGCCCTCTGTGCCTGCCAGGCCTGCTTTCCTCCCATGCTGTGGCATGTCGAAAGGCTTCTGGGTATCACCACTCAGTTGATTTGAACAAGATAGTCATTAATGGTGGAATGCAGCAGCAGCCCACCTACAGTGAGAAGGTCCTGTGCACAGGGCAAGGTGCTAAACCCTGTAGACGATGAGTTCACTGGTCCTCCCGATGGCCCTCTGAGAAAGATCATTACCCTCCCCCTTTTGTAGCTGAGGAATCAGGCGATTAGCCCAGGCCCCTTCCACTTCCCTTACCACTACGACCACCTCGATGTGACACGGACCCTCCTGCCCTCAGCTGTACCCCTGTGCACCTGACTTGTCAGCTGCTTAGAGCCCTCACCCGTTCTACCACGGGGCTTGCTACGCTGGCCCCAGGCACACTGGAGCTGCAGAAAGATGGGGTGCTAGGGTGAGAGGGGGTACCCACCCTGCCTTCTGCATACCCTGCTGCCAGTCCTTACCTGCTCCTGGGCCTGGCGGCTTTGCTCCATTTCCAGTGGCACCGCAGGCAGCTCTGGGCCCGAGGGACAGGCTTGGCCCTCTCGCACCTGGGGGTATGAGGCGCAGTCAGGCTCCCGCCTGCCCCTCAGAGACAGTGCCTTCCCTCCTCACTGCTGCAATGCAGTCCGGAGCTGGCCCAGGCCGGCAGGGCACCTGAAGAGGTACTGGTACAGAGCCAAGGCCTGTTTAGGACTACAAGGAAGCCTTAGGCCCCCAGGTATGGCAGCCTGCTCCATGGGGTAGGGGCCAGGCCTTCTCCTCTCCCTCTGCAACTGGAGCCTGGAGAAAGGAGGAAGACAGGAGCAAGGAGACAAAGCCCCCTGAACTCAGTAATGCAGGGCTCTGACATCTGAACAGGGCCTGGACCCCAGTCAAGTCGCACAGAGACTCTGGCCTGACTCTGATACAGATTTCTTATTCTTGGGGGTGGCAGTGTGGGGTGAAGAGTGTGACCCTACCGGAGGGAGAGGTGTGTGCATCTGTTTGTAATCCCGAATGAGTATCTGTTTTACATATACACGTACATATACATATGAAGCTGGCAACTGCATTATATAGGCATGTAATATGCCCAAAATGGGCAGCAGCTACCAATAGCTTGCTATATGCCAAAACTATAGGACAGAAAACTCTATGTACATGTAAACATTCTGCAAAGCAACTCTGTGAAGTAGGTGCTGTAATTATCATCCCACATTCACAGATAAGAAAATGTCCCCAGAAAGCAAGCCCCTAATAACATGTGGCAATGTCTCCCTCATATGGAGACAGATGGCCAGGTGGTAAACTGGCTCTGGGAAAACAGGGTCCCTGAGTGTGAGCATCGCACAGGACGATGGAGAGCATGTGATCCAAGCTGTCCGTGTGCAAAGTACTGTCCATCGGTCACTCTGTTTCTTCCTCGTCCGCATAGGAGAAACATCAGATGAGGGCACAGTTTGTACCGGTTACAGCAAGGGGAGTGAATGAACACACAAAGTGATCTATGCTCTTCACATCCTCCGCTGTCACGAGCAGCCCTGGGACCCTCCATTGAGGGAATGGAGCCAGCTCTACGGGCCACAGCAGAAGCAGGCGGACTAGCGCGCCAGTGCTCTCAGTCCAAGCCAGGGCTCTCTTCACTCCCATTGAAGTATTAGGGACCTGGCAGTGTGACAGAGTCACCCGGATCTTCTAGCCAAGGTCCTAAAACACCAAGGTCACACAGCCACTAGGTGGCAGAGAGAACTCAAAACAGAGTTCTCTTTGAAAGGAGACTTCTCAAAAATTTTTTTTTTCTATTTCAGAACCCATGTTCTTCCCCCTACCAGAGGTCTTCACCGCACACAGGTGTGGCTGTGAATGCACGTGAAAAACATCTTCTGTTGTTCCTGCTCCCCGCCCCCAGACATGGGGTCCCTGTGTCACCAGCTCTTAGAGTGGCCAGGAGTGCCTAGCATGCAGTAACCCCAAACCAAGAGGAAAGGGCATGTCATGTGGAGACTGAACCCCTTATTCAGGTTCCTCAGCCCTGCAGAATTCCACATGGATCCCTAGAGGGACCTACATGGTGGCCATGGGCCGTGCTTACTGCACAGTGTGAGCGCAGGGCTCAGACAAGGACACCTAGGTCCTCCTTCTGCCTACTGCAGGGTGTCCCAGGCAGCACCAGGTGGGGGCAGCCCAGGGACACAGGTGCAAGGAGTGAGCAAGGTCCAGGGCTCAGTCCCCACAGCTGTCACCACTCTGACACTGGAGACATTGACCATTAGACCCCATGTTCCACACAGCCCATAGCACCACCCCAGCACCAAGAGGAAACACACATACACACAAGTCAGCCTCACAGCAGGCCCCAAGTTTACTGCTTCTGACTGAACACAGCTAGGTCTCTGTGGGACACAGGTTCAGGCCTCCAGTGCCCAGGTGGGGCAGTCTCTCCGCAGCTGTAGCTGGGGTGGGAGCTGTTCTCCAAAGGATGGCTTGTGGCCTGATGTGTCCCAGTGTTGTCCTGGCTCAGGGTGCCTCCTGGGGCTCCTGACTGGGGCTGGGCACAGCACTTGGTGGCTGGTCGCCAGTGAGTTGGACTGGAGGACAGGCCTCTGGTGCAATGCAGTGGGCCTCGTGCTCTACCAGGCCTGCAGGGCACTGGCATCCAGGAACGCAAGGCCTCACACAGTGGGCTGCCAGCTCCCCCAGGGGGACATGCTGGTTGAAGCAGGTGCGGGGACAGGGCGGGCCACACTCATCAAACACGAAGCCACGGTCCAGGGGGCAGCCCAGCACTGCAGGCGGAGTGGAAGGCAGGGTCACAGGGACACCTCCGGCAGCATTCCAGTGGCCATGCTCACCCTTGCAGCCCTCCCTGTGTCTTCCCTACCTAGACCTGAGCCCTCTGTGCCACCCCCTTTCTCAGCCCTCACTGGGCATTGTCCCCTTACCACAGAACCTGGGGCCCCGCCAAGCAGGGGTCACCCCTGCCTGGCGACAGTGGCTGGCGTAGGCTTCTAGGGCATCACAGAGGCAGGCATCAGCTGAGGAGCCGGGGCCACAAGCACATAGGTCATACACACAGGCAGCAAAGAAGGGCTCTGGTGGCACCACAGCATGGCAGCGGCTGAATGGGGAGGACTTGAGCACCCCACACCGGGCATTAGCCTCCCGCCTGGCACGGTAACCTGCTGCCCGGCACGGATCCACCTCGAGGCCCTGGGAACAGGACCGATGAGGTCCCTGCCCCTCTGGGACCTAGGTGAGGAGAGTGTCCCCAGTGAGACAGCTCGGGCCACAGCAGAAGCAGGCGGACTAGCGCGCCAGTGCTCTCAGTCCAAGCCAGGGCTCTCTTCACTCCCATTGAAGTATTAGGGACCTGGCAGTGTGACAGAGTCACCCGGATCTTCTAGCCAAGGTCCTAAAACACCAAGGTCACACAGCCACTAGGTGGCAGAGAGAACTCAAAACAGAGTTCTCTTTGAAAGGAGACTTCTCAAAAATTTTTTTTTTCTATTTCAGAACCCATGTTCTTCCCCCTACCAGAGGTCTTCACCGCACACAGGTGTGGCTGTGAATGCACGTGAAAAACATCTTCTGTTGTTCCTGCTCCCCGCCCCCAGACATGGGGTCCCTGTGTCACCAGCTCTTAGAGTGGCCAGGAGTGCCTAGCATGCAGTAACCCCAAACCAAGAGGAAAGGGCATGTCATGTGGAGACTGAACCCCTTATTCAGGTTCCTCAGCCCTGCAGAATTCCACATGGATCCCTAGAGGGACCTACATGGTGGCCATGGGCCGTGCTTACTGCACAGTGTGAGCGCAGGGCTCAGACAAGGACACCTAGGTCCTCCTTCTGCCTACTGCAGGGTGTCCCAGGCAGCACCAGGTGGGGGCAGCCCAGGGACACAGGTGCAAGGAGTGAGCAAGGTCCAGGGCTCAGTCCCCACAGCTGTCACCACTCTGACACTGGAGACATTGACCATTAGACCCCATGTTCCACACAGCCCATAGCACCACCCCAGCACCAAGAGGAAACACACATACACACAAGTCAGCCTCACAGCAGGCCCCAAGTTTACTGCTTCTGACTGAACACAGCTAGGTCTCTGTGGGACACAGGTTCAGGCCTCCAGTGCCCAGGTGGGGCAGTCTCTCCGCAGCTGTAGCTGGGGTGGGAGCTGTTCTCCAAAGGATGGCTTGTGGCCTGATGTGTCCCAGTGTTGTCCTGGCTCAGGGTGCCTCCTGGGGCTCCTGACTGGGGCTGGGCACAGCACTTGGTGGCTGGTCGCCAGTGAGTTGGACTGGAGGACAGGCCTCTGGTGCAATGCAGTGGGCCTCGTGCTCTACCAGGCCTGCAGGGCACTGGCATCCAGGAACGCAAGGCCTCACACAGTGGGCTGCCAGCTCCCCCAGGGGGACATGCTGGTTGAAGCAGGTGCGGGGACAGGGCGGGCCACACTCATCAAACACGAAGCCACGGTCCAGGGGGCAGCCCAGCACTGCAGGCGGAGTGGAAGGCAGGGTCACAGGGACACCCCCGGCAGCATTCCAGTGGCCATGCTCACCCTTGCAGCCCTCCCTGTGTCTTCCCTACCTAGACCTGAGCCCTCTGTGCCACCCCCTTTCTCAGCCCTCACTGGGCATTGTCCCCTTACCACAGAACCTGGGGCCCCGCCAAGCAGGGGTCACCCCTGCCTGGCGACAGTGGCTGGCGTAGGCTTCTAGGGCATCACAGAGGCAGGCATCAGCTGAGGAGCCGGGGCCACAAGCACATAGGTCATACACACAGGCAGCAAAGAAGGGCTCTGGTGGCACCACAGCATGGCAGCGGCTGAATGGGGAGGACTTGAGCACCCCACACCGGGCATTAGCCTCCCGCCTGGCACGGTAACCTGCTGCCCGGCACGGATCCACCTCGAGGCCCTGGGAACAGGACCGATGAGGTCCCTGCCCCTCTGGGACCTAGGTGAGGAGAGTGTCCCCAGTGAGACAGCATCTTTGTGGGCTATGTTCTTCAGAACAGTTTCCAAGTATTTTGTTTAAGCTTCAAAAACCTTCCCTCAAGAACAAAGGAAGCATCAGCTACTTTATCCTCAGCCTCCTCTTACAGAAGAATGAACCGAAGCCCAGAGCAGGTAAGTAACTTGTCTACGGTCACATAGCCAGCGAGCAGCAAGTCAGGGCTTGGGATTCAGATGATGACTCTTTCAACAGGCCAGCCTGCCTCCCCCGGAACCATGACAGCTGGAAGCCCCCAAACCACCCTGAAGCCCCAAAGACCAACCTGTGTCTATCCCCCCTTTCCATGCAGAAGGTTGCTCTGAGATTCATGCTCAACTGTGCCCCCCCAAGGCATCCAGCTCCTGTGCTGCTCACCTGCCAGCTATTCCCAAACGCAGCCTCAGTAGGCAGGAGCAGCCCCTCTGGGCCCCGGAGATCATCCTGGGCAAAGCCATTGAAGTTCCCGCAGAGCCCACAGACCTGGCCCCGGTAGGAGCCCGGCACTCTCACCTCCACCTGGGACTGCCCATCCCACAGCACCTGTGTGGAGAGGCTGGGACTGGGGAGTTGGGAAGGGTAGGGACCCCAAGACGCCCACCGTCCAGTCCTGTGCCCTAGGTCAGCATGCTGCATGCCGCAGAGGAGAACAGGCGGCTGGAGACTCCCTGTGGAAGGGAGGCTGCCTTGTGGCAAAGCCAAGTGGACACCTGCTGCGCGAGCCCCGGGCAGATACAAATGTGCAGAGCTGCCCATGGCTCTGGCAGGAGGGCACCTTCTCCGGTCCCTGAACTGGACCCCCAGGGGAAATGCAACCCACTTCCAGAGATTCACTTTCTCATGGGCCTTAGGGCCTTACAGAGGACAAAGCAGAGTACAGATCAGAAGTGTAGACAAGCCTTATTTTATGAATTTACAAACTGTGCTTCTTGCTGGAAACAGGGAGTGATTTACTCTTTGACATGGGAGTTGGGAGGAATCTCAGAAACCACATGGAAGACCTTGACATCCCCTCAACCCATCCCCCATTTTGCAGATGAGAAAACTGAGCCCTAGAGAGGGTTGGTATGGCCTAAGCGCTCCAGTGTGTTGGTAGCTCAACCAAGATTAGAAACGTTGCTCAGAACTTTCACTGCACCCAAGGTTTCTGACCGTGGTTCCTTTCCTCCCCTCAGAACCAGAGCTCTCATCTCCTTGGCCTCCTCTGGCCCCCTTAGCTGGTATCTCTAACTCCCTCCACAGATTCAGAAGCCTGAACAGGGCCAAGGCTCCCACACACCCCCTCACCCTGGCACGGCACCTGGAGCCCTGGCTGGGCGTGCAGGATCACTGTGCGTCCCCGCAGCTCCACATACAGCAGGGGCTCCTGCAGGAAGGGTAAGGCCACTGGGCGCCGGCCCACCTAGAGAAGGGGTTTGGGAGTAGGAGCGACTTCCGGACCCAGCAGTGGACAGAGCGGGATCGACGTTCCGGCTCCTGGCTCTGCTCACCGTGACCGCCCCGCCTTGGAGTAGCTGCACCGCCAAGTCCCCCAGCAACACCGTCACCTCCTGGGTCCAGGCCACGCCCCTCCTGCCCCGGTCATCGTTGGTCACGTGCACGCTGCGGTGTAGTAGTCCAGGTGTAGTGGTCAGCAGGGACAGGTGTAGAGAGTTAGGGAGAACGGGAGGGGGTTGCGCACCTGAAGTCCCCTCCATGGCAGTCCTTGGCCAGCACATAGCTGCAGCTGCCCTGGAAGTGCAGCAGGCGGCCATCGAAGGTGCGGTAATGGGGGTCTCCGAAGGCCATGCAGGAAGCCGGCCGGCGCAGGCAGCGGGGGCAGCAGCTGCCGGGTCTTAGGAAGGGGGCCTCGGCCTGGCCTCAGCCCCAGACACCATTAGATATATAGCCCTACCCGCCGTGCCCCATGCAGAGCCTCCCTAAGGATCGAAGATCGCCCGAGAGTCTCTGGGGGCCTCCGACTCAGGCGCCCAGGCTCACTGTGAGCAGGCTCAGCGCACCACCTCGTGACCACACTGGGAACTGCAGGACCCCGGTCCACTAACCGCTCGGCCTCGGAGTTGTCCCAGCCCAGCCTCCTCTCTCCCGCCTGGTCGCATTTGGATGGCGGTGCCACGCGCCCACTTACCCCACCGCCCTAGACCGCGGCACTCACGGGGCCACAGGAGAGCGGCGGGCAGCGCTGGCTCTGGCAGCGCACGGTGCCGGCCACGCAAGAGCAACTGGTGCAAGCATCCACGGCCCACCGCTCCCCAGAGGCCACTGCCCGGCCCTGGTGCGCACACGACTGGGCAGGGGCTAAGGGAACAGGAGAGTGGCAGGATCAGCTGCCTGTCCCTTACACTGGGTCTCGCTCACCCCATCATCCTGGCCCTCACCTTGGCATTGCTCACAGCAGTTGCCAGCCTCTCGCACCTTTGCCCAGCCGTGGGGGCAGGAGAGGGTCTGGCACTCCTCCTGGCGACACTCCACGTGGCCCCCCTGAAGACAAACGTCTGTGCTGTAGGGACTTCCTGCAGGGCCTGGGGTCCTGGGCCTCACACATCTGGGGGCCTCCTGGGTGATAGACAGAGGCAGCAGCCCCTTCTATCTCGGACACTGACGCACAAAAAAACCTGCTTCATGTTCAAGTGGGGGATGAAATCCAGCCCTCAGCTCCTTGCTGCAGCTCAGGGGCCTATGCCCGTGCTCACCCAGAGGGGGCACCTTTTCCTCATTACCTCAAAGACTCCGTATTCTCTGGTCCAGTGTCCTGAGGCTCCTCCCTTTATCCATCTACAAGGTCCTCCACCCCTCACCCTCCCACCTCCAGCTCACATGGCAGGTGCAAGTAATGCAGCTGTTGTTGGAGTCCCGCCAGCTTGCGCCGTCTGCCACTCTCCGGCCCTCCGCCTCCACCACACATTCTGAGGAGGAAGGAACAGGGATGGGGAGCACTTTTCAACTGCACCCATCCTCCCAAGAGCTCACCCTGAAGGTCCATAGCAGGGGACTGCCCCCACCCCATTCCATTAGCATCGTGATGGTGTTGATTTCTTCAACCAGTATCCAGGTGAGCTACTAGATGGCAGGCCCCGCATCAGTGCGAGCGACGTCTAAAGAGCCCCGGAAGCTTCCTCTGGGCTGCCAGCTCAACAGTGCAATGCCCTGCTAGTGGCCCTGGGCTTCCTGAGCCCACTGACAAGTCTCAGGCTAGGCCTTGAGAATCCAGACTTCATTCCCTGCTTCCCCTTGCCTTGCAGGTCTCTTCTCCACCCCAATGACCAGCCTTTGATATGCACAAAAGAATGAGGCCTGCATTCAGAGTGCAGACCCCCGGCTGCCCACTTGGCTCATGGATGTCCACCCTCCTGTCTCCCTCCTGGGCTTATGCTCTGAGGATGCAGGTCAAGGCTGGCACGTACCTGGGCACATGGGGCAGCAGCTCTCAGGGGGGGTATGGTGCTCTGACAGGGGACAGCTGAGCTCGGGACAGGCCCGGTGAATACAGAGCCAAGTCAGGTCCTGTGGAAGGGTGTGTGAACGCCATAGGTAGAGAACAGCAGGGAGGGGCAGGGTATAGTGGGGAGTAGGGCCTAGGCCAGGGGTGACATTTGGGACAAGTGAGTGAGTGAGGAGCCAAGAGCTGCTATAGGAGAGGAATTGTAGTCACAGCCGCAGAGGAGGAAGGAGAGGGAGCCCAAGGCAGGGCGCTCACCTGGCACCGACAGGTGTGGCAGGGGTCGGGCGGGGCCAGCTCAGCCCCCAGCAGGCCCTGTGCGCAGTCACTCAGTGTCTCTGTGGAGACAAGAAGGCAGCGGAGGAGGGTGAGGGAGGGCCAGAGGGTGAAAGCCCACCTCACCCCACTTGCCCACTGGGCCCCAGACAACTTGGGCCCGGGGCACACCCATAGCCCCAGCACCTTGACTCCAGGAGGATAAATCCTCTTTCATTTTTGGTTTAGCAAAGAAAAGTTTGGTTATTTTAAAAAGAACTCTTCTAGGCTACAAGGTGTGGGGGAGCTTGGAAACAGTGTTCCTTCCTCAGGCTGAGATGGCTAAGGACCGCCAGGCTGCCTGGCCCGTCCCTCCCCCACTTCCTTTCATACCATCTGGCTAGAAGAGCACGAGGACGCACAAAGACCCAGAGAGGCATGCCATGTTCTAATCCTGGTGCCTGTGTATTTGGGGAAGATTGATCAACCTCTCTGAACCTTATTTTTTTCATCTGTAAAAAGGGAGTAATACCTCCCTCACTGGGTAAGTGGGAGAAGTCAATGATACTATTGAGAGCACCAAGTGCAGTGCATGGCATGCAGTAGGTGCTTAATAAATGCTAGTCCTCCTCTCTTTCCTGGAAGCACATCCTAGCAAATGTTGATAAGAATAGCTCTCCCCACTCCTTAGTCTCTCTAGTCTACACATCACTGCCCTCAAGAAGCCGGCACAGGTCCCACCCGCAGTGCCACCTGCTGGGCAAGACACTCCACAAACTGCAGAGTCAAGGGATTCTCTAACAGCTTCCCCAGCTCCTGTTGGGGCCCTGCAGGCCTTACCCACCCGGCATGGGCTTCCAGAACAGTCCACTGGACCCGGGAAAGGGCTGGGGCTAGGGCTGCAGAGAAGAGCTGGCTGGCTTTTCCACTGTCACTCGGGGGGGGGGGGCAGCCCTCCCCTCTTATCTACCCTCATATCTGGGGACTTACGGGCACAGGTTGGGCAGCAGTGCTGGGGCCCAGGGGGCAGGAGATGGCTGGTGGGGCAGCCCACGAGGCTGGGACACTGCCTCCGGTGACAGCGAAGGCTGGGAGGCCCCTCAGGCTGCAGCTGCAATGAGGATGAGTGAGCAGGGCCATGGAAGGCTTCCTGACCATGGAAGCCAGGAGTCTCCCTCTTCGCCTGGACTCCAGGCCCCTCCATCTGCCTGCTGCACCTCCTCCGGGATGTACCTCGGGCAGGTAAGACTGAATGCCTCCCTAGACTTGCTCCTCGCCTCATACCCTAATCTCTGGAAACGGTGTCCCTTTCTTTTTCCAGTCACTTGGGCCTGAGTCTTTGTGTGACCCTTGACCCTCCTATCCTCTCCCATGCCATCCTCCTTTCTTCCACTGCCCAATCTCCTGACATATGATGTCAGTCACCAGCTCAACACCCTTCCATTGCTCACCATTTCCTTTCAAACGGCATTTCCCCAGTATGGCCCCCAACCACTTCTCAGGTGTCTCACCCACCTCCTACAGACACCCTATACTGCCACTGGGCCCCAGACATCTTGGGCCCGGGGCACACCCATAGCCCCAGCACCTTGACTCCAGGAGGATAAATCCTCTTTCATTTTTGGTTTAGCAAAGAAAAGTTTGGTTATTTTAAAAAGAACTCTTCTAGGCTACAAGGTGTGGGGGAGCTTGTACACACACCCTATACTGCCGCCAGGGGGGTCTGCCCACTGCCCCCCACCCGGCACCTGTGCCCTGTGTCTAACACCTGGCACAGCGCAACCCCCAACCCCGCCGCCCTCCTGGCCCCAGGGAACACTCCTATCTCTGACCCCCATGGTGCCTGCTCCCCACAGGTTGCGGGCTCCACAGTGATCCCCCCTCACCTACCTCACAGATGCACACTTCACAGGGGTCTGCCCCAGGCTGGAAGCTCTGCCCTGGTTCATACTTTCGACCCTTGTGCTCACAGTCTTGGGGGGTGGGGTAAGAGCAGAACAGGACCAGGGAGCCTTTAGGTTGGCAGCAGTGCTGGCGGGGTGGGGGTGGGGGTCTCTCCTCTCAACCTGCAAGCCCAAGGGACTGAGGTATGTGCAAGAATTGGGGCCACTTCTCCTGTTCAGCCCATTTCTGCCACCCAGCTCAGTACAAAGGTAGGGAGATGGTGACCAGGCTTTGCCTCCCTACTTCCCCTGCCCCTCCCCCAGGTTTCCAGGTTCCTTGGTTCCCAGGTTACTGGAGCATCGAGGGCAGCAGTCCCTGGGCTCCTGGTGGGGCTGGGCGCAGGAGCTGATGCACTGGATGCAGGCACAGGTGACAACACCCTCATGACAGCCCTTGACCCCCACCCTCGGTGGTCAGCAGGGCATGTGTGTGCCCAGAGGGGGGCTTGCAGGATGGTGGAAAGGTGGCCTGGGGCAGAACTCCTGCCTGTGGTGGAGAGGAAAGCACTGGACCAGGGTCAGAATCCCTGGGTTCTTATCTTGTTCTGTGTCTGCTTGTTTTCTAGGTCAAGTGTGTGTGCCTGGAGGGGGCATGTGTGTGCCTGGAGGGGGCTTGCAGGGATGGTGGGTAGGTGGCCTGGGGCAGAACTCCTGCCTATGGTGGAGAGGAAAGGACTGGACCAGGGTCAGAACCCTGGGTTCTTATCTTGTTCTGTGTCTACTTGTTTTCTAGGCCAAGTGCCAGACGGCAGGCACTATTCATTGTGGCCCAGTGCTGGCAGCAGCACCTGGCATGTAGCAGGCATGTAATACATGCACGTGGAATGAATGAAAGTCTCTATCCCTAACCATGTGCCCAAGGGAACTTAATCTCTCCAAGCCTCAGTCTTCTCATCTGTTAAATGGGGATTTCATCTGTCCTGCCTTCCTCAGGGGCAAGTGAGATGACACTGTGCTGGCTCTGTGGAAGCTACACCAGTGCAGTGGTGCATGGGGCAGGGGGCAGCAGGCAGGTTCCGAAAGGCTCATATTCTAGAGCCAGATGGACTCAGTGCAAATCTGGCTCACCACCTACTAGCTGAGTGACTGCAGGCAAGTTGTGTTACCTCTCTGTACCTTGGTTTTCTCACCTGTAAAATAGGAATAACAATAGTGCCTATCTGATGAGATCATTGTGTGGATCACATGAGATGAAGCGTTAGCTCAGAGTCTGGCATGTTGTATGTGCCCAGTAAATGTTAAGTATCATTATTATTATGAATGGAGTGTTATTAAAAGGAAGAGGGGAGCTTGGACAGTGAGATTGTCTGGGAAGGTGGGAGGCAGGGAGAGGTTGGAAGAGCTGAGGGTGAGCAAGGGTGAGAGTTCAAGAGCTGAGGTGTGAGAGGGCAGGTGGGTGGGCAGGGAGGTGGGAAGGCTGGGAGGAGAGAGGTGGGGCAGATGAGTGGGCATCGGGCCCAGGGGCAGGAACCAGGGGGCAGCCCCAGACTGGGCATACCTCTGCAGCGAGGGCAGCAGCTTCCCTGCTCTGTGACCTGCTGTGTGCAGGGCAGGGGTGGGCACCGCAGCCGCACGCAGCTTATCTGGCCAGCCTGCAGGAGAGGCAGCATCAGTGACTTGCCCCCTAGGCCAGGTACTCCAGAGGCACCGTGGCCCAGCCCCTGTCCCAGGCCCCTCTGCCCGCTCCCTACCATACCTGACAGCGACACCACTCACAGCTGCCTGGAGGCCCCTCAAACTCCTCCCCGTCCTGGTGCTCCCGGCCCTGGGAGATGCAGCCTGTAGGCAACACATTTCCTGGCTGGGGGCTGGGCCACCTTGCCCTGTCCAGCCTCAGGCCTGGCAGAAAGGGAGGGAGGAGAGGTAGGGATGGGCATGGGGGCTGGGGCACATGGAGGGCAGCTCACTGTGGCAAACAGGGCAGAAGCAGGGTCCTGGAGAGGGGTGGGGGCAGAGGACTGGAGGACATGGCTTCTTCTGGCAGTGCATGAAACCTTCCTGGGGAAGAGAGGTCAACTGCCACTTCCTGACTCCTGTGTCATCGCAACCTCGAAGCAGGCTACACGCTGCCTCATGGCAGGTGGCCTCACTGGGCCTGCCAGGCCCAAGACACCTCCTTGGCCCAGGAGACCTGAATCTAGTCCTGTCCCACTAGAGGGCTCCCTGTGAGAACCTGGGTGGAGGAGACAGCCCCTCCCTGGCCTGAGAGAAAGGTCAAGGGATGAAAGGTTACCTGGCAGGTGCAGAGGGAGCAGGTGGGATCAAGCGGGTCAGGAAGGGTCTCTCCAGGGGCAGCAGCGACCCCATGATAGAGGCATCCTGGCGGAGTGGGGTATGCGGTAGAGGAGGTGCCATCAACAGAGCCCTCCACTGACACACACACTCATGCACACACACACATGCACAGCTGGGGGTCTCCACCAAAGCTTAGGGAGTGAGAATATGGCCTGGAGTGGCTGGGCAGGTGAGGGGTGGGAGGAAGGAACTTCAAGGGGACTGCAGGTGTGAGGTTTGCATGCATGAAGGAATGAGGCCTGGAGGGGGCAGCAGAGACTGCTGTCTGTGGGGCCCCTGTGGGGCACTCCGGAAACAAAGGTAAGACACCGGCTGGGCTGGGGAGGGTGGGCTAAGGAAGCCAGGTGGGAAGGTGCCCCTCATAACTGGTGACTCAAGGGCAGTGGAGCACTGAACGGGTTTGAGTCTGATGACCCGGTATTTTAGGAAGGCAGCAAAACAATTTAAGACCAGGAAGGTCTAGAAGCACAGGACCAGTTACTTGGTGAAACCATCAGTTTGAGGTGGCAGAAGGGACAGAGAGGAGTGCATGGATGTGGTATGAGGAGTCTGAGGAAAATGCAGGGTGGGTTCGCTGTGCGGCTGTCTTGGGGTGGGGGTAACAGTGACTCTAGGCCTCTGGGAGCGCCAGCAGGGGCGGGTGACGGCCTACCCTGGCAGGTTGGGCAGCAGTGCCCAGGCAGGGTTAGTGGGTGGCTGCAGCCCAGAGGCTCACAGGGCCGGCGGCCACAGGTCACGAAGCCTCCGAGGCAGGCACACAGGTTGCAGGGATCTCGGGGATCCAGGAACTCCTGGCTGCTCAGGTAGGACTCCCCTAGATACTCACAGCCTTTGAAAGAGGACAGGGAGAGGCAGGGGGAGGGCAGAGGGGTGAGAGGGGAGCAGAGCTGGGGCCTGGCCTCAGTCCGAGGCCTCAAAGACCCAGCAACTGGCATGGGAGGGCTCCATCCAGGCCGGTGGGCAAAGGAGTCTCAGGGGTGGTCAGCTAGCAGAAGGGCAAACTTTCACCCCTTCAGCCAGCAGTCTACGGGGCAAGACCTATATGGGATCTGTCCCTCAGGTTAAATATTCAGCAGGCCACCGCCCTGCCAGACTACACCAATTTTCCCAACCTGGGGGAGCAGGAATAGCCTGAGATGACTTGGGTGGTGCAGAACCCAGATACCCCATTTCCAGGGCTCTTCCCAGCCCTCTGATGAATCAGGGTTGGAGAGGGGGCCCTGGGGTGGTGGCAGCTTGTCCTTAGCACCTCTCTGACACTTACTGACCTCCTACTTAAAAACGAGAGGGGGCTTTGGGTAATTATGATGTGTCAGTGTGGGCTCACCAGTTATAACCAACGTGCCACTGAGGTGGGGGGATGTTGATAATGGGGGAGGCTATACACGAGCGGGGGCAGCAGATATGAGAGCACTCTCTGCACCTTCTCAATTTTGCTGTGAACCTAAAACTGCTCTAAAAAAATTAAGTCTTTAAAGAAAAAGAGGGTGAGTCAGGCTCAAACCCTTTGGCAGGCAAAATTATCTGAGTTGAATTTAATATTGTATTTTTAATTGTATTAATTTTTATGGTAATCTTCTATTCCCGGCAAATCTAACTTTCCATTTACAGTATGATATAAAGATTTCTAAATAAATTTAAATCAAAAAGTGAGTTAATTTGAAGAAAAATACTAAGTTAAAAAAGGTAGGGGTTAGGTAGCAAAAGTTGCTAGGGTGGTTGGTATAAGACCAAAGACGGGGAATTGGGTCTTGTTCAACTCTCTTGTTTAGAGGGGTTGAAATTAGGCCTGGAGTTACACTTGAAAATGGTTAAGATAGTACATTTTATGTTATGTGTATCTTACAAAAATACACATTTTTAAAAAGTATTTTTTGATTGAAAAAAAAAAGATTAGGCCTAGAGAGGTTGTGAAACTTATCCCAGGTCACACAGCTGAATAGCATAAGCAACAGAAGAAAATCCAAGTTTTAGTCCAGTGCTTTTTTCTTATTGTAATAAATATTCTGGACCCACTGAGGGGCAATATAGAATGACGCCACCCAGCCCTCCAAGCCCTCTAACTCTCACCATCACAGGCAGGACAGCAGTCACCCCTGGCAGGGAAAGGGCACTGCGCAGCGGCACAGGTCCTGGGCTCGCAGCTGACGCTGCCCTGCCAGCAGAGGCAGATGTGGCACGAGGCAATGGGTGAAGGGAAGCGCTCCCCGCTGGCAAACTCCTTCCCCTGGTACAGGCAGCCTAGAGGGCAGGCCATGCCGACAGGGGAGGGATGGGAGGGCATGGTGGCTGTTGGCCAGACCCACAGCTGTCCCTCCACATTCTTAGTGAGAACCCCAACAGGGGAGGGGCAGGCTTGTAGGAAGGGGGATACCTGGGTGGTGCCACCCCTGGGGCTGGAGGAAGGGGGACATGGAGTAAGAGGGGCACCAGGGAGGGCGAGGTCCCAGGGTGGAGCTGGAGGAAGCAGGTGGCAGGGTGGCGAGGGCGCTGCCTAAGTTGGCAGGGGGACCGTCATGGTGTTACCATTGCAAGAGGGGCAGCAGGGCCCCTGGCGCGGGTGGGCACAGGGCACGGGTGGGCAGGGCAGCCGCTGGCAGGACACAGAGCCATGGAGGCAGAGGCAACGGTGGCAGGGGTTGTTGGGTGCAGAGAAATGCTCCTGGTGCCGGGCAGGGACCGCGCTCCCGGGCCTCGGGCAGCTGGAGAAGGCGGCTGCAGCAGGAAAGCGCGGGTCAGGGCATCCAGGGAGAGGCTGCGGAGGGGCGGTCCGGCGGGGGGCGGCTCCTACCGGGACACTGCAGGCAGCACTTTCCTGGCAGCTGTACTGGCTCTGGACAGGGCGGCGGTGGGCAGCGGCGAGCCAGGCACTGCACGTTGCCGCTCTGCGACAGACAGGTGGACCACGACAGGCCCCATTAGCGGTGGGAGGTCCCTCTTCTTCCCACCCCCGTCTTGGCGGGCCTCTTCTGGCCTCCCGAAGTCCTACCCCTTTCCCCCGGGACTCCTCCTCCCCCTCAGGCAGCAGACTCACCAGACAGCGACACAGGCGGCAAGGGTCGGAGCGGTGGGGGAAGTCTGCTCCACTGGGGTACTCTTTCCCGCCAAAGGCACATCCTAGGGGAGGGAGCAGCTAGAGGCCTGGGAGGGGCCCTGTGACCCTCAGGGTATGCTGCCTCTCCAGCCCTAAATTCCCAAAGAGGGGGCCAAGCTATTCCAGAAGACCCCCCGGCCCCAGCCCATCCACCTCACCATTGCAGTCGTTCTGACAGCAGGGACCAGGCAGCGGGTGGGCACAGGGGGCCCTGGGGCAGGCCCGAGGCTGGCAGTGGGCATGGCCTTCCTGACATTGGCACTCTTGGCAGGGGTCTCGGGGGTGAGAGAAGCTCTCACTGTCCACGAACACTTGTTTCTCCAGGATGCAGTCTGGTCATTGGGGGCAGGCAGGAATGGGGGCACAGACTGTGCAAGTGCCACTTGGAAGCCGGCCCCGGGGAAGGAGTGGAGGAGGGGCATTGTGTATACAGGCATGGGTATCTCTCTGAGCACATACTTGTGTATGTGTGCATGTGTTTGTGACACACACCCTAGCACAGACTGCCCATGCAGGCAGGGGTGAGGCCACACAGCATTCCAGTCCCTAGGTCCCACATAGCAAGCAGACCCAAATGTTTGCTGCATGAACCTGTGTTATACAGGTAGACACACAAATTAATCTGAGTAGGGGGGTGGGTACTAGAAGAGGAAATAAAGAATGAGAGGAAAGAGTGGTGTAGTAACATGAAGGGATAAATCTCTACTCTCCCTCCCACCCATACCCTGTGAATTCCAGAGAGTTCTAAGCTGTGTCAGACTGAAAACAATGCAGAAGGCTGTTGCTTTTTAAGGTGTCTGTTGGACTCATGGGGCCCTGGGAGAGCAGGGTCTAGGGCTCTCCAGCCAGACAGGGGCAGTAAGCACATACCTGGGCACCTGGGGCAGCACTGGCCAGGGTCACTCTGGGGCCTGGCACAGGTTGTGGGAGGGCAGTCGACCAGGGCGCACCTCACAGTCCCATCCTAGGAGCAGGGGCGAGGACGGTGAGGGTGGGCCCAGGGGGCACCCAGCAGGGCAGCAGCCCGATGAGGTACCTTGCAGTGGCAGGTGTGGCAAGGGCTGTCTGCATCTGTGAAGTTCTGCCCATTGGCGTACACTTGGCCGTGGTAGGTGCAGCTATCACAGCTGGGGCAGCAGGCACCTGTGTGGGGCAGGTGGCCAGAACCCAGCTGACCAGGGTAGGCTGGACAGAGCAGGGGAAGAAAGCTGGGTCAGGGTAGGGCACTCACCAGGGGGCTGGGTAGGGTGCTGGCAGGGGACTGGGGAGCAGAGCACAGCCCCGCATACGGGCGCCCCATCTTGACAGGAGCAGGCTGTGCAGGGCCGACCATCAGGCTCCCACTGGACGCCCTCTGCAAACTCCTCTCCATCGAGCGTGCAGGCTTCAGGAAAGGGGGCTGTCACCATGCAGCCCAGACACCTCCACCCATCCCTGACCTCCCAGACCACAGGACCCTCCCCAGGACCCTGGCTTTGCCATCGCCATGGCAGCATCTGAACACACACTGGAATGGCTGGTGGGCTCCGCTACTGTGAAGGAAATACCCCTCCACGTGCAGCCACTGGAATAGCGCCCCTTCATGGCAGTGTCTTCCCCTCTCCCTCCACACACACACCTGGGCAGAGCTGGGGGCCAGAGTCAGGCAGGGAGCAGGGGGCAACCGGGCACTCCTGCTCCTCACAGGAGACATCGCCAGCCTAGGAAGGAAGCTGGGTGAAGGGCCCTCAAAGAATGAGACAGAGCTGGGGTGTGGGAAGGCGGGCTGGCTACCTGGCAGGAGCAGAGAATGCAGCGGCCACCCTCTTGGAGTCTGAAGGTCTCCTTGCTCTGATACTGGTGTCCCTGGAACTCACATCCTGGACAGGAGGACCAGGGACAGGGCTGGAAGCTGATTGGAAAGCCCCATGCCACCTTGAGGCAACCCCCCAAACATGATGAGGATAGCCACTGTGTCCTCTAAGAGGCCCTGCCAGCCACCCCAGCCTCTGGAGGGAGGGCCCCACCATGGTATCCAGTTTGCCATGAGGTTAGGTGAGAACATGCCCGTCACCCATGGTGATAGGAGCTTGGGTTTATCAAGGATTTCTCCTGTGCTATACATAATTCAAGAGGGCTCCCCATAGGTCCAAGGGAAGCAAACCCCACCCCTGCACCCAGAGCCTCTCTTGGGCCAGTGCTTGCCCCTGTTCTGGTGACTTGAGTCCCCCACTCACCATCACAGCCTGGGCAGCACTGCCCAGGGATCCTGCCTGGGTGCCTGCAGGGTGCAGGTGGGCAGGACGGAGGTTCACACTGGACACTCCCGTTCTGCCAACAGGGCCTGGTCAGCATGCAAGAGGTAGGCCTGGCAACCAGCCCCTCCCTGCCAGGCAGCCACACTCACAGCGCAGTGGCAGTGCAAGCAGGGGTCCTCGGAGCCCATGGGCTCCCCGCTGTGGTACTCCCGCCCATTTAGGAAACAGCCTATTGGGAAAAGGACACCTTAGACCTTCCTTAGGAGTCCCCCACTGCCCATGTCCTGGCCTTCATGGGAGACCTGACCTGAGCAGACCATACTCTCTGAGCCCCTCCGGGCTCCACCCTCTGACTCACCATCACACACAGGGCAGCAGGTGCCTGGGAGGGGCCGGGCAGGGTATGGGCACAGGCTGGTGCATTCTTGCTGGCGGCACTGGATGTGGCCCTCCTGGGACAAGGCAGAGTGGGCAGGACAAGGGGCCATCAGAGCTCAGCCAATTAACAGAAACAGTTTTGAGTCCAGCTATCCACTTATTAGATATTGTTATGACTTAAACTGTGATCTCCCAAAATTCCAAGGTGAAGTCCTAACCCCTAGTACCTTGGTGTGACCATATTTGGAAATAGGGTCATTGCAGATGTAATCAGTTAAGTTGAAATAAGGTCATCCTGGAGTGGGGTGGCCCCCAATTCAATGAACAGTGTCCTTATAAAAGGGAAATTTGGACACACACACACACACACACACACACACACACACACACACAGGGAGGGCAACGTGTAAAGGGAGAAGGCCAGGGACATCAGCAGTTGCCAGGAAGCTACCAGAAGCCTGAGGAGAAGCCTGGGGCAGATCCTCCCTCACAGCCCTCTGAAAGGATCAACCCTTGCTGGCACCCTGATCTTGGACTTATAGCCTCTAGATGGGACAACAGTTGTTTAAGCCACTCTGTGGTAGTCTATTATGGCAGCCCTAGGAAACTAATGCAGATGTATGACCTAGCATGTTCCTGAAGTGCTCTGTGACCCAGTTTGCCCATACAGAGGGAAAGGCAGTCATAGTCCTGTCCTCATAGCCTTGTATTGGGAATGAAATGAGATAAGGTGTCTGGCGTGGCTTCCAGCTCTGGAAGCTGGCAGTTAAACAGTAGTTGCTACTATTCCCCATGGCCTTTCCCAGACAAACCCCAGCCCCTGAGTTCACACCTGAATCTGGACTCACTACCTCCAGCCTTCTAAGTGTCTAGGCAGCCAGTGACTCTTCTCACAACTTGGGTGTGTGTGTGTGTGTGTGTGTGTGTCAGTGTGAACAAGCAGGGGAAGCACATGGCTGCAAAGGGTTTGGGTGCCCCCATGGCCTTCACGGTGGAGTCCTCAGTCCTTGGCAGGCTGTCAGGCAGCAGTGTGGTTCTGGCGTCAGCGCCCATGAAATGTTCCTCCTCAGGATGCACCCTGCCTGGACATCAGGCCTCCATGTGCCCACCTCCTGGAGGCTTTTCCCTGACCGTTCCCTACACCTGGTGTTTCAGTCCCTGTGGGCGGCTGTAATACCCCATAGATTGGGTGCCTTATAAACAACAGACATTTATTTCTCACAGTTCTGGAGGCTGGGAAGGCCAAGATCAAGGCGCGGACAGACTCCGTGTCTGGTGAGGAACTGCTTCCCGGCTCCTACACAGCTGTCTTCTTGCAGAGTTCTCACGGCTGATAAGAGGAGCTAGCTCTCTGGGGCTCCTTTTATAAGGTCGCCAATCTTATAAAATCAGGAGAGCTCTGCCCTCGTAACCTAACCACCTCCCAAAGGCCCCACATCTAAATACCACCACTTGGGCGAGGATTTCAACATATGAATTGGGGGTTGGGGGCACACAAACATTCAGTCTATAGCACCTTGAGTGTCTTTTCCTATTTCTCCCTGTTCAAATCCTACCCATCCTTTAAAACCTACGCAAATACCCTTTCCGTGAAGACATTACAGATCTGTGCTGCCCAATAGAAATATACTGCAAGTCACATGTTACTTTAAATTCTCTAGTAGACAAATTTCAAAAAGTAAAGAGATGAAATGTAATTTTAATATATTCCACTCAACCCAGTGTATCTAAAAGATGATTTCAACACATAATCAACATGAAGTATTAATGAGGTAGTCTACATTCCTTTCTTTTGTACTAAGTCTTTGAAATCTGGTGTGTATTTCACATTTAGAGCCTGTCTCAAACAGAGAGCCTCATTCTGAGGGCTCAGGCCACACGCAGGAGCGGCTGCAATGGGTCGGCTCTGTTCTGGATGCACCAAGTCAGTCTCCCTCCCTGGAGCTCAGCCACAGGGCACACACCCTGCCCTGCTCCAGCCCACCAGCCCTGGCCCCGCCTCGGAGCCTGTAAGCTCCTTGAGTTTGATTTACAAACCTATGTGGCACATCTCCTGTGCTCAGAGCTGGGCATACAGAGGGGTGCGGTCCTGTCCCCACCCTCACAGCGCTGAGGATCAGGCCTACTCCATCTCTGTCCCCCCCCTGTGCCTCTGGGATGTGCTCAGTGGAATGAAGGAATGAACACAGTGGGCCTGTGGCAGGACGTGGCTGGGGGGAGCACAGGAGCAGATTAGGGCTCACCAGGCACCGGCAGATCCGGCAGGGGTCCCCAGGTGTGGTCCACTCTTGGCCATGCTCCCAGCGAGAGCCGCCTTCTGTGCAGCCTGAGGCTGGGGGCAAGAGGGACAGAGAGGAGGCCTGGTGGGAGCCAGCCAGGACCGCGGCTTCAGCCTGCCCCACGCCCACCCGCTTGCCCCCAGAGGGCTCTCTCCGAAGCCCAGCCCAGGCCGGGCCACTGTCTAGGTTCCTCCAGGGTTCCCAGTGCCTTTGGCAATGTAAGGTCCAAGCTCCTCAGCCTGCCCTTCCAGGCCCTCTGGGACCCAGCATGAACGTGTCCACCCACCAACTCTCTCCAGCCCCTCTTTATCTCTCACTCTCAGTTTTGGCCCTTTGTGCCTGTTTGCACCTTCCTGCTTCACACTGAGTGTCAGTCCCAGGCCTTTGTTTAAGCTGTCCTCTCTTCCTGGAATGCCCTCTGCCTTATTCTGCCCTTCACCTAGCTAACTGCTCTTTATCCTTGTTTGCTCAGGACACGTCCGTCTTTCCTTCCTGCACGCAGGCTGGATTAGGTCTCCTTCCTCTGAGTTTTTGCAGTATCTGGGGCCTGCTCTAATCCTGCAGTGGTGTGCGACTCAGGGTCACCCTCTACTGCTATGCCTTGAGGGTCTTATGTGCACAAAGCAGATAATAATAGTCAACATTTATTAAGGTATATATCATTATCCACAAGTTACAAATGGGGAGCAGAGGCATGGGGTATCTCCCTCAGAGGTGCACAGCCACGGCAAGGGATGGATTTGAGCCCAGACATTCCAGCTCCAGAGTAGGTTTGGTCAGGCACTGCTTTCCCACTGACCAAACCCCCAGGCCAGAGGCCAGCAAAGTGGGCCCTGGAGTTGAGGAAATGGTGTGACAACCCCGTTCTGGAGCTCCACCAGGGAAGGGTCTAAGGCTCTTACCTCGGCAAGCTGGGCAGCAGTGCCCAGGCTTCAGGACTGGCTCAGGGCAGGGGCTGGGTGGGCAGCTCATGGGCACACAGTGAACCAGGCTCTTCTGTAAAACCAACAGCTGTAAAACCTCTGGGTCTGGCTCCCAGGGAGGGTAGGGTGGGCAAGCGTCAGGCACTCTTGCAGGGGTGGTGCCAGGGTCAGGATGGCAAGTGGACCTCACTGGTAGTGGGTCTTGGAAGGCATGCTGAGGTGTGGCAGATGTGGCCCAGGGTGGGGCAGGGGGTGTCCAAGGAGGAGCAGGGCCTGGGAGAGGGTGTGGGTACTCACCAGGCAGGAGCACCGGAGACAAGGGTTGGAGCTGGACGGGAAGCTGGTCCCCTCCTCATACAGCTTTCCCTCATACTCACAGCCTGGGGAGGGTTACCAGGATGACAGGCTGGTCAGCAAAGAGCAGGGTGAGTGGACATCACCCGAGGGGAGGCATGACCCAAGTAGTCCTGCACCCTCTGAGGCTAGGGGCGGGGAGGGGGTGGTGTGGTCACCTGGCCAGCAGATGGGGCAGCACTCCCCACGTGGGGTGTAGCTCTCAGGCAGCTGAGCTCTGAGCATGAGGGCCCCTGGCACTGCATGGTCCCTCCCTGCAGGGCAGACACTGAGCCTCCCTCCCTCTCCACTGCCCAGCTGAGTCACTCTGCTGGCCTTGCAGGCCTAGCAGGCTCAGGCATCAATGCCTGGGAAGGAGAAGCAGCCCTGTGTGGCCCCCAGACTGGGCCTGGCACTGCCAAGTTGGAGGTATGCCAAGCAGCAGAGAACATGGGTGGTGGCTGGGGCTGGGCTCTGAGTTCCCTTCCCAGCAAGTGCAGATGACACAGGGCTCTGGGTGCCACATGTCCCCAGCCCTGTGACCTCCAGGGCAGTCTGCAAAAGCAGAGCCAGGCCCCAGGGGAGACTAGAGGACTGGGGTAAAAGCACCACAAGGTGCCACATCAAAGGGGCAGCGTTCAGGTGATTAACATCTGAGATTTTACATTTTGTGTATTTACTACACTTCCCAGCAGATGACAGTAAAGTGTCCAACTCTAACATAATCAGCAGATTTCCATTATTTTACAACAGGTGAAAGTGCTGAGGAAAGGGAGCTTTTTAAATTATTTTGCCAAAAATATCACATGGGTTAGCAGTGGCCCTAGGGCATTAGTCCCCCAGCTGTACGTGTGTGTGCCCCTTAACTTGGAGATATATCAACTTCCAAGACCTCATTCCTCATCTCTGGCCAAGACTCCCAGGCTACATTTCCTGCCCTCACCAGTCTCCTGAACCCCTGACCCACCTTTTGCACTACCAACTGGAATTCTTCCTGGAGTAGGGTGGCCAGACAAAAGACAGGATGCTCAGTCAAATTTGAATTCCAAGATAGACAACTCCTACTTTTTTAGCATAAGTATGTTCCAAATATTTGCACTCACCACGGCGACAGGGCAGGCCGGGTTTGAGGCCGCAGCGTGCCACCCCATCCTGGCAGACACAGACTGTGCAGGCATCAAGCTCCCAATGAGCCCCCTCCGGCCAGGCTCTCCCCAGCCCCCAGCACTGGAGAGAGGCTGGGAGACACTCACAGGATTCCAGTTGCCTCACCCTCACTTGCAGTTCCCTGTTCTGGGGGACAGAGGAGGGCAGGTGATAGGAGGTACTGGCTCAGTGTCCCCCACCATGTCCCACAGCTCTGTGGGGTATGAAGACTGAGGCAGAATGAGAAGGAAATCTGACAGTTCCAGAGAAGTGAGTCCCTCTGCACTCATCTGGCTCAGAAAGATGCCTCGAGAAAGTCACAGATCTCAGGGCCTGGGGTCTGTGCAGGTTCCCAGGGGAGCATGGGCCCCCAGGCCCTTCCTTTGGAAGCAAGGGGATCCAATCCCCCCTCCACAACAGTAAAAGACCTTTATCCATCCAAAATCTTTCCTCATGGTGCTTTATGTATAGTAGGCGCTCCAAAATGTTTGCCCAATACATGGCAGAATATGAAAATCTGGATTGACATTTGTATGAAAGAACCAATGTTATAACAAATGTTTAGATAAGAACCTTTCCATGTGTATTTAAAACAAACCTCTGTTTTAAGGCCCCAGGGGCCCCTAAGTCCAGCCTTTCTTTCCTCCCCCTACACAAGGCCTGTCCGACCGGATCCACACCCAACTGGCCTCTGGTGGCACCTGCTCTTTGAGCTTCATCACCTCCGCCTCCAGCCTTCCCCATCGCTCCTCCAGGGGGTGCTCCTGCTTGTGGGGGGCCCCAGCAGGGGCTAAGGAGTGGGCTGGTACCCGCTGCTGGTCGTCATGGATGTCAGCATGCCCAGGGGGGTCCCTGGGGAAGGCCCCACCTGAAAGGCACAAGAATCCAGGGTGGGCCTAGGAGTGAGGGGCTAGCAAGGTTTCCTGGCTTCTGTCTTCCAAACCATGCAGAGGAGGAGGGTCACGCTGTGCCTCACCCCTGTCCACCTGCCTACCCCCAATCCAGGAAAGGAGGTATGGCCTGTGAGGGTGCAGGAGTGAAGGCCTGGAGGAGAAGGAGGGAGCCCTGAGTGGACAGAAATGACCCAGCCCAGCCTCGTCAGGTGCAAACCCTCCCTGCAGGCTCCCTGACTCTGAAAGGTCCCCAGCCAGGGGAGTATGTCCAGGTCACCGTCTTCACTTGGGCCAGGGCAGTGCAGGGTCTGGAGGGAGACAAAGAGGAGGAGGGAGAGCAGAGGGTCTTTCTCAGGGAGGCAACTCATTAGTGAGGTGGGGCCTCAGGTGGCTGAAAGGCGTTATCACAGACACAAGTCCTGTGGGGCTGGGGAACAATGCCACCCACTGCCCATTCCCTGCCACCACCAACAGGGGTTTGGACATTCTAGTCCAAAACTTAAGCTGTCTTCTTTCTGCCAAACCGGCTATGCCCTGAATTTCTGGGCTTGGTTGACTCCATCCCCACCCCTCAGAAATCTGGGCTCAGCTTCCTGCTCCCATGCTCCTGCCACCCCTCAGTCTCTGGTCTCACCCAGTTGTGCCCAGCCCACCCCCCTCTCCCCTCTCCCTCTCCCTCCACTCAGAAGGCTGGTCACAGCTGTCCCCTGCCTCCACTTGCTCCCCTTCTCTGGAACACGGTTCTGAACCACACATCTGAAGGTTCCCAAATGTCCCCTTTACAAATGCCACCCATCTTTTCAGCCTGCCCTCCTACCCACCACATCCAGGGTTCTAATGATAGGGAAAAACTTACAAGGACAGCAATCTAGTCCAGGTGGCTCCCTTCTGCTTCTCAGCAAAAACAACAGAACCCTCCCTTAATTCCCGCTCTGCCAGGCACTCACCACCCAAGCTCCCTCCCCCTTGCGTGCTTGCTGTGCATGTAGAAGTGTTGCATGTAAGGAAGCAGAAAAATATATATTGCTCCCCTTGCCTTTGTTTGGGGCTCAGACCTTGGGAGATGACTCCTGTCTGAGCCCACCGGTGTAAAATAAAACCTCAACACTCCAAGACCTCCGAGCTCCGCTTGGTTCTTCCATGAGAGATCCAGTCAAGGCTTTTCAGTTCTTTTCTGTAACACTAACACCCCAACAGGTGCGTGCACCTGAACCCCTTGTGCATGTTCCCAGCTCCCTCCCTTGCCAGGGTAACCTGTCACCTGGACAGCACTGTCCTGCTTTGGCTCCTGTACCTATGTTCCTTTCCAGCCCAGTGACAGGTGGCCAAGGATGGGGTCTTAGCATCTTAAACTCTCCATGGTTTAAGCTCCCCCATGGTTCCTCCTCTAAGGCCACTCCTCCAGGTTATCATAAGAAGGCACAATAAGGGAGTCAGGGAGAAGCTGGGGGTACTCTGGGACCCTCAGGAAAGACAGGGCCAGTCTCCTGCCTGGAGACCTGCACAAATTGCTCCTGATTATTGGGCAAAGCATGATCGCTCCCACGGAACTGTCCTCAGCTCCCCTCTCCTCAGCCCACGCCTCTTTTCCTGCCACGCCGCGCCAAGGGCAAGGCCAGACACAGAGACAGAGTCAGCTCCCACAGCGGGCCTCCTTTCCGCCTCCTTCCCCCCACCCCCAAGATAAATAATTAACTTCAGACTCCCAGAATTCACGGCAACTTCTCCCCCAACCGCTGCCTGCAGGAATTCCTCCGGAGGCCACAGCAGGAAGCCCCCTCCCTCGCCTGGACCCCGGGCCTTATCCTCCGTGCTGCCCCCGTGGTGCTGGCTCCTCCGCCAGGGAGGACTGCGGCTGGCCTGGAGGCGCGTGCACCCCGAGGCAGCCCACAGAGGCCCCAGCTCGTTCCTGCAGACTGGACTGAGCAAGAGGTGGGGTCCCCCAAGCCTTCCAGGCCCGACTTACCCCCGCCTATTCCTGAGGCCAGAGCCAGGCTCACCAAGGTGGTGAGCTGCAGGATGAGAGCCGGCGGAGCTGCCCGGGACCCCGCCATGCTCGCTCCGCCTCGTTGTCTGTGGTCGCGGCTCCGCAGGCGCTGGGGGAGGCGGGGTGGGGACACACCAGGCCGCCTCCCACCCAGTCTTTGTTCAGGGAGGGCTTCTGGCGTCTGTCATCTCGCTGGGTGGTGCCTGCCTCCCTGAAGGATAGATACCTCAACCCCTGAGCCCTAGTCCTGCCTCAGAAGGGCAGCAGCCCCACAGGAAGATGGGAAGGGGTGGGCATGAGGTCTGCATACCAGCTGGGGAGACTCGGAAAATAAATACAAGTTCACGGCTCTCAGCCTCTGGGGCAGCCGGTCTCCCTGCCTCCTTGGGTTACTACACCTGTGCTGGGGTTCCCAGCTCAGCGCCTTCCCTTTCTTGCCTGCTTATAGGAGAACTGGACTGAACAGGGTTCAACTCTCTGCTCAGCCAATTCCATGGGCCCTTAGATAGACCCCCAACTGGGCCTCAGTCTCTGTTTGTGAACTGGGGATAGTAATGCCTACTTGCAGTGAGGATGAGGTAAAGAATTTCCAGTAGTGGTTGGCCCATGCTGAATCCTCAGTAAACAGTAGGTGCTGCCTCAGTCTCTGAAATCAAGGACTTCCAGGATCCTCCTCCTTTCTCTACTGGACTCTACTGAGCTCCCACCCCCAATCTACCCCAGTGGCCCCAGGCTTGGCCCCAAATGCCAAAGCTTCCCTTCGCTGTCTGGTCCCAGCCCATTTGCCAGTTCCTGAGCTCTGGCCTTGGGGGTGAGCCTGGGCAGGGGGGCAGGGCTGGGCCCTGGGATTAGCAGGAGGAGAGGGCCCAGGGGAGGAAGGAAGGAAAGTTGGCCATGTGGGCCCAAAAGGCTGGGAAACTCCTCAGTGCAGCTGGGAAGCAGGAGGAGGTGGGGATGGGCCCCAAGCTCACAGGCAAAGAGACGCTGAAGGTGCAGCCCCGAGTCCTGCTGGAGCAGCTTCCTCCCTGCCAGATGGGCCAGCAAATCAGAGGCCACCCCTCCCCACAGCCAAGGCAGGGACTAAAGGTCCCGTGCCCCCTCTCCATGCACCTCCAGAGAGGACAGCATCTCTCCCTAGGAGGGTGGACCCCTAATAGGGCCTGAGCTCTTGGCAGCAGGGGGAGGGGAAGCTGTGAGCCAGTGCAAAGGGCTGGCCTCCACTGGCCTGGAGGTAGGCTCACAGGAGCAGAGGAGAGCCAGGGCTGGCCAGCCCGAAAAGAAACAAGGAAGTGGCGACTCTATTCCTACCACGGCTAAGGAAAATGGAGCCTGAGGGGAGGAGCGCTAAGAGCAGGATTCAGGGCAGATCCTGGGTCTGATGACCCTTCCTGCTGGGGACCTCCAGCAAGTCATTTAACTTGCAGTGGCTAGTTTTTCTCAGCTGCGACGTGTAGCTCTAATAGAACCCACCTCATAGAATATTTATAAAGGTGAAGTGAATTAATGACTGAAAAGATCACTCAGCACATTCTTTATCAGCAGCAGAAGGTAGAGAAGCTTCTGGAAAACTCACTATATGACATAAAAAGCCAGGACCCTGAGGAAAGGGTATTATTTGGAGAGGCATTTGAGATCCACTGTGATCACTGTGAGCCTCTTTTGTGCCAGACATCAAGCCAGATATGGGGATATAGTGTGAATGAAATATTGTCCTGCCCAGAATGCCCCATGTGGGCCAAGGGAAGAGGGAACAGGATTCCTGGCAGAAGGCAGGGTATGAACACAGGACAGTAGATGCACACACATCAGGCTTGGAATAAAGGGTTCATACTTCTCTGCTAGACTAGTGGAACCATGTGCAACCATCCTGACCAAAACCCAGTCCTTTCTTCAGAAGAGGTACATTCTGGTCAGCAAAGAAGGAATAACTAGGGCCCAGGCTTGAGTCCTTACTTGGTAGGATGGATGGCTGCACATCTTGGTGTGTGGGACCCAAGGAGTCATGGGCACAGTGGGGTGTATTGCTGTCTTGCCAATGGGTTTCAGCCCCGGGCAAGTGCACTATGGATTCAGTGTGACCAAAGAAATGACATAACGTTCCTGGGGTGAAAGGGTTATACACAACTTTATTTCCACAGTGGCAGGTCAATCACTAAAATCCCTTTCAGTCAGAGCGAGTCTGCACACAGCAAGCCGGTCTCTGCCTCTGGGCCTCTGTCCTCGGTGCTGCCACCAGCCCAGCCTCTTCTTTGTTCTCCTGCAGCTGTGCCACTGCGTTGCCCAGAGCACTGGGCGGAGCTCTTTATATAGAATCTATAGCAATGTACTGCTCACATGTGTGTAGTGAGCTAGCCAACCAGGGCCAGGTGAGAATCCCGACCACTGGAACCTTCATTTTTTTCTTTTTTTTTTTGAGAGGGCATCTCTCATATTTATTGATCAAATGGTTGTTAACAACAATAAAATTCTGTATAGGAGGTTAATGCTTAATGCACAATTGTTAATCCACCCCCAGCCTAATTCTCGTCAGTCTCCAATCTTCTGAAGCATAACGAACAAGTTCTTACATGGTGAACAAATTCTTACATAGTGAATAAGTTCTTACATGGTGAACAGTACAAGGGCAGTCATCACAAAAACTTTCAGTTTTGATCACTCATTATGAACTATAAACAATCAGGTCAAATATGAAGATTCATTTGATTTTTATACTTGATTTATATGTGAATCCCACATTTCTCCCTGTATTATTATTATTATTATTATTTTTTAATAAAATGCTGAAGTGGTAGGTAGATGTAAGATAAAGGTAGAAAACATAGTTTAGTGTTGTAAGAGAGCAAATGTAGATGATCAGGTGTGTGCCTGTAGACTATGTGTTAATCCAAGCTAGACAAGGGCAATAATACATCCACGGATGCAGAAGATTTCTCTC